GTTGCCCGCGGTTATAACAACAAACGCGGGTAACACCGCGGGTCTCAGCTAGTCTAAACTAATAATAAAAAGGTGAAGTTTGTTTATTTGTTAGATTATTTTTTGTTGTGTATTATTGGATCTTATTTACACCACAACCGCTGCAGGCACATTCGGTGACATTGGTGCATCTGTCTCTGTCGGAAACACACGTTTTTTTATAATTATTTCGCTATTCTTTAAGGAAACAGCCTTGCGTACAGAGCTTTCACTGTCACAGCGTCGAATTTCAAACAAAGTTAGTTTTAAGTTCGACGATGTTGCAGCGAATATTTCCTTAGACCGTTCCTTTCACCGAGTAAGTAAGATTACTTGAGCCCAAAGCTTCCTCCTTCCCCCTGAGTCTGGTATAGGCTGGCTACTTACTTGTGACCCTTGAGTTACATGAACGTAGGTCCATGGGTGGTGGCACCGAGCTGGATACTCCTCACTCCGATGGCCATCACGAGGCCACGGCTCTGCTCCACCCACGCCACGACGCTCACAGGCGTTACTCAATTCACTCCTAGCGATCGACTGCTGGTACCTCCCTAAGCTGACGTGCCCAGAAAAGACCCGCATTAGTCAAAAGAAAAGGATCCCGTGCCTGCGTGGAGGCTCCAGGGGCGACTATAAAGTCATCGTGGCTCGGCAAGCAGGCTTTAGCAACTAATTACCGCCTCTAAATCCCATGGCAGAGGTCCGCCAGCACCCTCAGAGCGCGCCTTATTCTGGGCGATCAGAGCTTCAGCCCACAACTTTTAGTGCCATTGACTGGACAACCCTGGTCTAGTACTACAACTTATAGAGTAATCTTTACCACAGCTGCAGCTGTAGCAACTGCATTTATGTGTACATGCACTATCCTCAATCTTAGTAGCTATCAGAAAATCACAGCTAAGAAGTAGTGACAATTAGGTAAGCATCTCTATAGAATCAAGGCATTGTTTGTATTGAGTAAGTATGTGCATACTTACTGACACAGTTCTTTTTATGTAAGGCATATATTTTTTCTTTGTAAAAAAAATTGTAAACGCGTAACCCTTTGTAGTTTTTTTTATTTTTAAACCCCCTCGGGCCGTCACCCTACCGGGGTTTGCGGCGGGGTGGTGTGTCGGAATCGGACCGACTAAAACCACAAGGTGTGCCACTCTGTTGTTAAGACATCCGGACCCCTCCTAGCGCCTGCCCGCGACGGCGTGGGCACCATCTTTGGGTACGTTCTCCATTTAATTGACGTCCGGCACACGCGGACATCATCGCCTCCTCGCGGCTGGCCGTTATGGCGGGTGGAGGGCCGTCCCGTCCACAAGTGGCCACACTCAGGGCGGCATGAGGCGGTAACCCTTTGTAGTTTGCCTTAGGGTTAATCTGTCACTTACCATCAAGTGATCCGGTCCGCTTGTTTGCCCTCCTAGACTTTAAAAAATCGAAAATATCCTACATTACAATCTCACCTTACAGGTCAATCATCAATACTTAATAATTCGAGAGTTAAGCTTGCTTCTTTAATTCACTGCATTCACTTTTTCATATTTTGTTATACAATAAATAGGCGTAGAGATTAGTTTTATGTAAGCAGGAAATGTTACTAATTTGGTGAAGAGAATTGGTAAGCTCAGAACCAGTTATGTATTGTATCTGTGTTATAGATGTAACAGACATCTAGATACTAGAGGATATCCGCAAAGATACCGGAAAAAATGGTGTCCGGACCGAAAACCGGATATTTGTAATGTAGGTAGAACGTTAAGAATCACCAATAGCTCTGCATTAAAATGAAAGAAATGATTCATTGACGATTCGCCTTATTTCTCTTTAAAATATAGATAAGGGGTAACGAGTAGTATGGTCACCTGATGGAAAGTGACAACCGTCCACCATAAAGGCCTATAACTCAGAAGTCATAAGCGCATTGACGGCCTTTAAGGAAGGTCCTTCCTGGCCTGGAAGGAGTAGATACGCTCTTTTCTTGGAGGTTTGAACGTCGCACGGTCCGGAAATTTCTACAGCAGGTGACAATTTGTTCCGCAGATTGGTAGTGCCGGGCCAAAAGCTTCTTCAGAAGCATATTTTGATGGAGTGCCAATGATGGAACGATAGCCGAAAGTTGCGGGCGGTATTAGTAAAATAAATGGGGTTTAAAATAAATTAATTCGCCCACATAATTAAATGTAACATCTTAAAGTAGATCCTGAATTGTCCTCCATTATCAATTTAATCTTTTTATTGATTTGATATCTTGAAATCAACATTAAATATAAATGATTTGACAATAGCTAGGTATGACGTCACGAAATAGTAATTTCATACAAAAATTTACCGCGTTTAGCATTTGACGTTCTAAAAATATACTAATTTGACTTGACACTCATCTACCTATTCTTCGGAGCACTCTCTGTGATACATACGATAGAGAATACAGAGTAAAGCGTCATTTATAGGTAACGCCAAATATAACTATTAACTTTCGTTCAACATCAACAGCCTGTAACAGTCCACTGCTGGACATATGCCTCTCCTTAGAAAGGAGGTTTTGGCCTACTATATCACGCTGGCCTGACGGGTTGGTATTCGCTTTGTTGCCGGTTTTCCTTCTCTTTGCAGTGCTGTTGTCCTGCGTAGTTTGCTCCTTTAGTCGGCTCTTACGACACCCAAGATGAATAGGTGGTGGTGACATTCCGTATTCTTAATCCGTCACCACACCAACTTTCGTTATAGATACGCTATTTTCTGTAAATTACATCATACCATTAGCCTGTGTCCACAATTAACATGATTTCTGCCCAACTTAATTATGTCAGGGTACTATGTAGTATGCCCGGGCCATGGAACACACCTTTAAGCCCCTCATACCATCGTAAGAGATAACTCGAGTGGACGAGATAGATGTTTTATCTTCTTCTTGACGGAGTAGTCTTAGTGTGTGTAGACATCACCAAGTTAGTATGGGGTTCCCGTTAGGTCCCTCGCGGGCTATGCTAGATAGGACCTAATAATATACCTACTGAAGTCTATATAACGACAATTCAAGTTGTTCTGACTAATGAAATAACTCGAAAAAATAAAACTTGAGATCAAAATCAAAGGTTATTAAGTTAACATAATAATGTTTAGTTATCAAACAAATTCGACCACCACAGTATATTGTTTCCAGATTTTTATTTTAATATCTGTGTATAATCTGTATTTTTCCCCTTTTTAAATCTGTTACATGAAAACGACAAATTAAGTTATAAATATAATTGATGATAACTTCGGAACAGCCCTTATATTTACTAGGCAATCATAATATATTAACTAACTCACAGATAATAATTATTCGTTTTGTTTCAGTGCCCACCCAGGACAAATAATTTGGTGAAGAGTACCATTTGTTCTGTGTCTGGGTGTAATTTAACTACAATGTATATACACGGTGATTTTGAAAGCGTTTTGGAAAAGAAAATTTTGAATTATTTATCAGTAACAGAAGCTATATATAACGTTAATTTAATAAAATATATATTTTTTTTATCATCAAAGTCGATATTCATATCGTTTACAGAGAAAAAGTGAGAACCAGTAGTAGTAGGCTATTCAATCACACGTCGGTAAATACTACGAATAGAAATACTATGCGTTTTAATATCGAGCCACATAAAGGTCGCGCGCTCACGCGCAAGGTCAAGGACGTTTAAATTATTATTCGCCGGAGTGTAGTGCGTGCATACCTGGACAATGAGTTTAGTGATCGGTGGATAGGTCGAGGAGGGCCAGTGCCTTGGGCCACCTAGAAGCCCGGACTTAACGCCCCTGGATTTTTTCTTATGGTCGGAAATAAAAAGACTTGTTTATACACGGGAATATGAAAGCCGTGATAATTTACGCATTGCGATAGTGGACGCTTTTGATAAAGTGAAAAGTGATAGAGACACATTAAGAAAATTAAAAAACAATTGCATTAAACGTGGACGTTTGTGTATTGAATGCAGCGGACTCCATTTTGAGCAGTTCCTTCGATACAGAGAAGTGTAAATAGTGTAAATAGGTATGTAAGTTAATTATTCTGTAGATAGCTCCGATTTTTTAAATACGCCTGAAATATTTATACCTACAGTCCGTTGATAAATTGATTTGTTGTGAAAAGAACAATCGTGGTTAATAATTGAATAGAAGTTTAAATAAAATAGGTATTTCCGACGGTCCTAAGCCCGTGTAAAGTATGAAGGACAAATTGGAGTCTATATAAGTACTCGCTAGCTCGCGCCTATAGGTATACTTTTATCAGCTGCTGTTAGCGTCGGCGCAGCGGCCGCCGAAACGCCCACGGACGTGTTTCATTCATATAAGATAATGAATGAATGATCAATCCATTACTACTTTCCAAGTCGATCGAGTAAAAATGAATATTAAAACAGAAACTTTTTTTTAGACAACATTACAATTGATTTAATCATTTTTATTGGTACTATAGATGGTTCCAAATTAAAATATTTCGTTTCCAAAACGCCTATAAAATCACCGTGTATTTAGAAATATATAAGTATGTTTATTAGCAGTCTGGATACCATAGTACAGGCTGTGTGTAAGATGTATCAAGTTATTATTATTAACTAAATCCTGTTTTTATCAGACAAACAATGAATATTTATTTGAAATCAAATCATATAAAATCAAGTCGTTGTTCAAATTATAAAATAAAATGTATCCAAAATATTGTTTAGTCAATATCTAAGCCCATGCTTAGATCTAATTATAAAAAGTTGGACGAAATAAAACCTCAATGGTGAAGCTTTTTTTTTCTAAAAGTTATCAATAATTTATTCCATAATTATTTTATGAATTTATAACATTTTACATCATCTCCTCAGTAATTCTCTGTTCCGAGCCAACAAACGTGTAAATATATAATTCGCAATAATATATATATCTACTTTGGTCATTTATTGGTGGCGGATGGTAGGTAACCAATTAAATACGCAACTAAACAGTATTTGATGCTATTTTGAGAGATTAGCTGCTTGTTTCTTTGCTTTAACTAATTCCACTAACTCCTTGTAACGCTTCATGCAGTCTTTTTTAGTACGGTTAGGTATGCAGTCGGCAATCTTCTCCCATCTCTCCGATGTACTCACAGGGAAAGTCTTGATCGCCTGCTCTAATAGTTCTTGTTCGGTTTTCGTCCAAGGCTTGTCATCAGGCTTGGCGACGACTTCCTCGGCCTTAGGAGTAGCTGTTCCATTCACTAATTTAACTTTAGACGGATTATCACTTTTAGATATACCACTATCATCAATATGGTTATGCATCTTCTTTTTCTCCTTCTCGAATTGATCGAAAGCCTCCTCATTGGCAGCTTTTTTGAGGCTGCTTTTAGAGAAGTCTGAGCTTTGCAAGTCTTTTGCTTTGTTTAGTACGTCTTTTGCTACAAACCTTCTTTCATCAGTGAATGTGCCGTGTTGATTTAAAAAGTTGGCTACAACGTCCCATCTCTGGTTTGTTCCTGCTGGGAATAAGTTAACGGCTTTAATTAGAAGTTGTGTCATCTCAACCGACCATTCTATTGGCTGTTTGAGTGCAGATTCCTTCTTAGCTTTATGTTCTTCAACTTTCCTATTTTCAAATAAAGCTTTTCGCTCAGCTTCTAGCTTTTCTTCGGTCTCTTTTACAGTATTCACGAATGCTTCCCTTCCTTTACTCTCAATTGATTTAATACATTCCTGTAATTCTACGAGTTTCATCATTTCACAGATTTTCTCCACCGCTGCCATATGTGCAACAGTCTCCTCGTCGCTCTTAGAGTAGTAATTGTTAGATTTACAGAGATCTCTAAATGCTTTACGTTCCTTCCTAAGATTCTTTTTCTGTTGCTCTCGTTCAGCACGGGCTGCCTCTATCCGGGCTCTTTCTGCCTCTTCAGCTTTCTGCTTGGCAAGCAGGGCCTCCTTCATCAGACGTTCTTCCTCTGCTTTCTTGGCTTGGACAGCATCCTGCAATCGAAATATAGCATTTAAAGAATATTTAATGTATCAGGAGTACATTCTAGTAGGCTTTTAATAGAATATTTCTATCTTGAGATATATGTAAAAAAGAGGGTGGTAGCCCAGATCAAATAAAAAGTTAAGATGGTACTCTGCGAATAAAAAAATGAGGTCAATTTTCCTAGCAAAGTTACATTTTTATTTGATCTGAGGGTAGGAGTAGAGATTACTCTCTAATTTGAAGTTTGTTGAAAAACTTTTGTATGTCACACAATAGTACACAAAATTATAAATATTACAAAACTATCCCTATAAAAAGGATCTGTTCAAAGTCTTATAAATGAGATGAATTTAATACGAATATTTATGAATTTACTGATCAGATAAAACATAGATTAGCTAAAAATAGCCCATCAGCTACCAACACAGCTTTGTGCCTAAAGCACTATTTATAAACAGCACACCAAAGGGGTTACATAGTTTATAAAAAGATTTAAGACACTATACACACTATCATCATTATCATCATCAACAGCCTTTAATAGTCCACTGCTGGACATCAGCCTCTCCTTAGAAAGGAGGTTTATACACACTATACACAGTACAAACTTTTAAGGTAAAGGAAATAGGGATGCAATAAAATCACAGTCACCTGTGTTATATCATATGGTTTATAAATCATATTATCACAACAGTGACTAATTTAAAAAACCTTATTAAAAGACTTATTATTATCAGTACGCTAGCACTGGACTCGCGAAAGGTCTAAATCTACCCCCCTACTAACTACTACCCCCCTTTTAATCCCTTAAAGTATGATTTCTGGGATAAAAACTATTCTATGTCCTTTCCCAGGACTCAAACTATATATTTACCATATTTTACGCTACCATACTTCACGCTTTAACCTCTGCACCAATGGATTCAGAGGTTTAAGTGTGATGAGTTAACAGAGTTAACAGACACACTTTTGCATGGTTTATGCAAGTATGGCAGTATGGATTAAGTTGGTTTATGTACACTTCAAAATCCATACAGTCCTGCACCGATTGAGCTTAAAATGTTGACATGATATACAACCCGCTTTAAAGATGGTTTTTATCAATATTTCGTGTCAGTTTCCTCATCAGTGCAACGACAATATGCCACAGACTACAGCTAGTAAAGTGATATAACATAATAATATTTGAATATAGCCTTTATTCTTATTGTAATATCTATTACATCATACATTGCATGTAGAAGATCTCACTGTTAAGTAACATAAGAATGTTCACTGACACTGAAACATCACAATGTCATGGCTTTGGACCTAGACACCATTTTACCTCTTGATCAAATATTTTATATACATGGAAAAATGGTTTAAAATTTAAGAACACCAAAAAACAAGAAGAAAATGTTGAATCGAGCAAAAGGACTGTTCTAGACTATTTTTTATTTAAAAAGACAACTCAAAAGCATTAGGAATATATCCTGTGTGGTGGGAGACTACAAATATACATGAAACAGACTCAAAGAAAACCCAGACTCAGAACAACAATTTGTGGATCACATAAAGTGTCGTCCCATGTGGGGTTTTAACCCACAGCACTAGGTGTAGTAGGAAGTGGCGTGGTGAACGCTTAAACCACTACGCCAGCCGTGCAGTCATATCGTCGTATTCTAGAACCGTTATAACTTAGATATGGGTCAGGGTACTCAGTAGCTCACCACAACTTACTAGAACTCTCCTATGGCTTGTTGCTTTTCCTATCCCTCTGTAACAGTACTTTAACACTACTTTCTAGACAAAAGCACCCTTTTCCTGGTAGGTCCTTTGTGAATGTAGAATTTTTTGGCATTTTTTAAATAGTTAAGGTGTGAAATTATAACAAACAAACGCAGCTTTCATATATGTTCGTGTTGAATCCAATCAAATTTAGTTTGGAGTTAACACCAAGTTCTAAAAATAAAATATTTAATATTATGATGATTCCTATTGTTAAAAGAAAGACAACTCCGGCACTATGAATATATCTTTACAAACATACATGAAACGGACACAAAGAACACAATAATTTGCGGATCACACAGTACTGTCCCTTGTGGGAATAGAACCCAAAACACTCAGTACAGTAGGAGGGGGCGAGATGATCGCTTAAACCACTAAACCATTAGTGCTGTCGATTGGTATAAAACAAAAAGTATAAGAAGAAAATATCTAATAATTATTTACCTGTTTAGCTCGTTTGGCAGCTAGTTTCTTATCTTTGTCCTCTTGCTTAAACCGCTGAATTCGAGGATCAGATGCATATGCAAGATCAACTAAACTACGTAAACGGGCCATTTCCTCCTTCTTCAGTTTAGCTCGTGCAACCTTGTTTTGCTTCTCTATCCATCGCCTCTCCTCCCGATCCTGTCCCCTCTCTTTCTCCTCCTCATCCAAGTAAGAGAACTCGCGCCACGATTCAAAGTCGTACCAAAATGCGTAAAACCTCTCGACTTGTTCTCGGGAACTGTTCTCATCACCCAACAAAGGCACATTTTTCTTCTCTGACCACCGAGCGTTAGATTCAAAATGTTTAACGAAAGATTTGTAAAAGCCATCCTTTTTAACATCAGCTTGCGATGGCACGGTATCATCCACGGTAGGGTCTATGGAATCATATGACCTGCGTTTAATTGGAGTGCCTAATATCTCGTAAGCTTTGGTGATGCATGTGAAATAGTCATCGTCACTGCGAACCTCCTCGCCTTGCGCCTTACGCTTGTCGGGGTGATGTTTTAACACTTTCTGCCGATAAGCACGCTTTATATCATCATCGGTAGCTTTGTATCGTAAATTTTTTATACCTAGAACAGCATAATGGTCCTGCATCTTCCAATCCTTAGGGTCCAAGCTCCGCAGATACTCGACGTCATCATCGAAAATGACCTCCTCGGTCTTCTCGTTGGACTGGAGAGTTTCAAACAGCGCGTCGCCACCATGGCATTTAATATTGTGATATCTAAGAAATGCTGCACCAGCGCACTCTACTTTTCTTTTCACAAAGGGGAATGGTATCGCCACGACTTTAGAATTCGCGCTGGAGTCGCCGTTAGTCATTTTTTAACTATTTTATTTGTATAATATGGACCAAGCACTAACATAACCTACAAACAAGGTAAACACCTTGGAATAAACTGGGCTTCAGTATATAAGAATGTGATAGCGATAATATTTAATTAACTACTAAAAATATTTTGATAAATATAACAATTTACACGTGTTATAATAACATTTTACAAGGTAAAACGCGCCATGAAACCAACCAAAGACGTCGTCCGACATTTGATAAATGAATGAAGAATCAGAAGAATGAATGAAGTATGAACGAATGAAATTACAAGTGTAAGAATATCATAGATAATGTAGACATAGACTGGCAAAAAAAATGAAAAATCTAAGAAGTGCATTTTGACAGGTGAAACCGACGTTCAGTGACTAGAGAACGTAATATTGCCGATTTGAACCGAACATAAAAAAATCTAATTTCAGTAAATCAATTTTCAAATAAATAATAATTTCTACTACTGAGTTGAATAAATGTTATGGGAGATAGTATTTCAGTTTAAATTTCTACTGTCAGTGTAAACTTTCGACGTTTTATGCTTTTATGTTCGATCAGCAGTGTGTTTCAATATTTTTACATTCTTTGTTTTGAATATCATCATTAATTCATCAATCTATGTTTTGTCGAATAGTAAGAAAAAAAATGGAATGAAAATTATGCTCATACAAAATCTATGATATGCCTGTGCCGATCCACAACCGCCCGTTTACAAGGGGTTGAGCCTTATGAGAAGAAAGGGCAAACAAACTCATGCAATTTACAGATAAATACAATGAAATTAATACAACATTGTTCCGATGTGTGAATTGTCCGAATACATAGATAACTGTGATACAAAAAACGTGATGTTTTTGATCGTTTTTCCTTGATATTGATAACGGCAACAGGTAGACGCTTGAAATACTCACAGAATATTTAGTTATATATTCACTTTAAAAATAAATAATTAACTGAAAATAAAACTATAAATAAAAATATTAAAGGGGGCTCCAATACAACAAACGTGACTTTTTTGCCGTTTTTATAGAAAAAGGTACGGAACTCTTCGTGAGCAAGTCCCCCTCGCACCTGGCCGGTTTAAAAAAAAACAGGCTTTTTTATTTAGGAACTTTACCCTCTACTCGGTGTCGCTGTGTTACATTGTGTAAATAAGTGTAAATTAGACCCTTTTTATTTCATTGATTAGTAAATCAATATTATGTTACAATTAAAATACGTTAAATAAGGTTAACATGATGCTTTGCTACTATCTTATCGTCACACTGACATTTGACAGCCTTCTTGTCCTTTCCTAATGGCAATTATCCATTTTAATGGCAATGATCCATTTTAATGGTAACGGAGGCTATAAGTTTATTTCGGGTGCCTTATTTACAATGTTTTAAAGAAAATAAAAAAATGTGTGTGGCAAATTTGGAACATCGAAATTATTTTGTGGACATAATGAGTAGAATTATTTGCGCATGGCGACGCGTCGCAATACCGCAAAATATGTTACATAGACTATCACATAGCGTGGCGATGCACGCCGTTGTGACGGATTAGATGGTTCCCATTAAAACACAAACTCACTATCCGGTATACTGATCTTTTATTTATATTGTACGCTGGTTTACATTAAATAATCTTTTATACTTCAAACCAAAACGAACAGCAGTAATTTTTATCATCATCATCATCAACAGCCTTTAATAGTCCACTGCTGGACATAAGCCTCTCCTTAGAAAGGAGGTTTTGGCCTACTATACCACGCTGGCCAGACGGGTTGGTATAGGGTTTGTGTCAAGTTTTCCTTCTGTCTGCAGTGCTGTTGTCCTGCGTAGTTTTTTCCCTTAGTCGGCTCTTACGACACCCACGGGATGAATAGGGGGGGGAGGGAGGGGGAGTGGCACTCTGTATTCTTAATCCGTCACCACACGGGTTGTATAAACTTGGGTTAAACGGTACTTGGGTTGCTGAGGTCTAATGGCAGACACTCCACGTTAAAAAGCGTAGTTCAGTTTTATCGTAGTAGACTTTAAAGCGACCCCAACCTAGTTTGTGGAACAGGCAACACACGTAACGACAACAAGCTTAACGTCAAAAAGCATAGCAGTTGAAATCTGCAGCATCTCCGTAAACTATTCATATCTTTTCTTGTGTTCATATTTTTCCATCTCTCTCTGTTGCTGACTGACCTTTTATAGATTTATAAAATATATTCATAATATGTTGACATTTCAGGTGTTTGGCTTTTTGGTCGTATTTGTTCAACACAGATTTCTACCAAGCGCTCGAGACCTTCAGCCAGCTCTCTGAACTCCTTTTCAGCCTCCATCATAGGCACGTGGATTAACAATGACGTTTTACTCCTATTAAGTTGCTCACACAACGACGTGTAGTAAATGTACTCGCAAACAAATCTAGAAATAAACAAAAAGCATTTTAAAGATTAGGTATATTCGCGTGGGAACCAAGTTGGGAAATTGGCACAGAAAATTATAGCGGGAGACGAGGACTTCAAATGGACAGGGTCATCTGAAATTGACTTGATGGATTTGGTTGAATAAAAGATGGATTGTTATAGGCTTTTGAATCATACGTAACAGAAGGTAGGCTTATTGTCATCGACCTGGCACTTTATTGATTAAATGATAAAATTGGAGGAGGCCAGGTAGAGTAACGATTTGCGTAAGATGGCTGGCAGGAGCTGGATGCGAGAAGCCTAAATTCGATCTAAGTGGCGTGCAATGGGAGAGGCCTATGTCCAGCAGTGGACTGCGTTAGGTTAGGTTATGATGATAAAATTGGGTGTACATGAGAAAGAGTTATTACTTATATATTATATACAGGCGGACTGATGGTCGCTGGAGCTGACAGGTAATAGAGTGGAGACCGCGATTAGACAAACGTAGGACGCCCTGCGGCAGAATGAACCGACAACTTGAGGAAAATGAATGGCAGTGGAGGGATGCGGTTTGCCCCAGACCGGGATGGTTGGCGCTCGTTGGAGGAGGCCTTCGTTCAGCCGAGGACGGCAATACGCTGGGTATTGCTTATAGGGATTGGGAATTGGTGAATATAAGCCACAGTTCGAGCAGGTAAGGGCCGCTCTATGAGTGTCAGTAGGAAGAGAAAAGGTGGGCGTCCGGTAATCACAGTCACTCGGTAAAAATAAACAATGTATAAAAAATTTATAAAAATGTATAAAAATAAACAATGTGACTGCACGGATGGCGTAGTAGTTTAAGTGGTCGCCACGCCGCTTCCTACTACGCCGAGTGTTGTGGGTTCAAACCCCACATGGGACAACACTTTGTGTGATCCACAAATTATTGTTCTGAGTCTGGGTGTTCTTTGTGTCCGTTTCATGTATGTTTGTAAAGTCCCCCGCGACACAGGAATATATATTCCTAATGCTGGCGTTGTCTTTAAAAAAAAAAAAAAAAATAGAAATAGAAATAACAATAATCATATTTTTAAACATTTGACACACAACGCCATCTAGTTTCAAATTAAGCAGAGCTTGTACTATTAAAGCTACATTGACTAATACAATTTTTATATACTTTTATGTAAATATATACATAGAAAACACCCAAATTCCGAAGCAAATACTTGCAGGTCATACAAACATTTGATCCGCCCGACCTGGGAATAGAACCCGAAACCTCAGCACAGCAGTCGCATACGCTATCACTGAGCCACCGAGGCAGTCAAACTAAACAAAGGCATTGTATAACAGCGATTTTCTTTAAGTATCACGCCAGTCAAGCCTGCCTGCTGGTGCCGAGGCATGGCGCTCCCATTGTATAATTAGTATGGTATATTTACTAAGTTTACTTACTTTCCACCTTCATTGGATGAAATAGCTTGCAAAGACAATTTATTCAGACCCTTGTTAAAAGTCTCGCAGATCCGGTCAACTTGTAAATCGGTGGCTAAACAATCAGGACCGTAACTCCGGTTCTCGTGTCTGTAGGGTACGCAATCACAGTTGTCCGGGAATATGTACGTGGTTCTATTCGCCTGTTTCTCTAAAGTAAACTCTTCAACACGATTGGATACCCCAACGTGAATAGTCAACTGGAACAAAAGAAATAAAAGTTTAAATATTTACTTTTAGGTACTCCACAGTATTTCTATCTTAAATTGAATTGTTTAAGCGGTCGCCACGACGCTTCCTACTTACACACACATGGGACGACACTTTGTGTGATCCACAAATTGTTGTTTTGTGTCTGGGTGTTCCTTGTGTCCGATTTTCAAGACAGTTTTTGCCTCGCACTATCCATCTGTGGAATAAGTTATCGGCTGCGGTATTACCGGACCGATAAGACCTTCAAGGCGGTTGTGAATCCTGAGTTGCAGGCTTCGTCGCTTTCCATCAGGTGGTCACCGTCTGCTCGTTTGCCCCCTATTCCATAAAAAAAAACTTACAAAAATTATAAGTGAAAGTGAGTTTGTTTGTTTGTTACTCCTAAACCACTAAACCGATTTAAAAAATTCTTTCAACAATGAAAAGCTCATCAGCGAGTAACATAGGCTGTTTTTTTTACCACGATAACAGACACACGCAAGCGGAAAGCAAGTACAAAATAAATAAATACAAAGTTGATACAAAGAAGTCTACAGTACTCACGTCGGGTTTATATTGACCCCACATCCTATGCATATTCGCGTCGATATACTCGTATTCCACCGGCACCGCCTCCCTAATCACAGTGATATTCAATCGGTCTTTTAACCGACTAGTATCCATCAACTTTACGGCCTCCAAGCTTGGATTAATTGATATACCATTTTCACCGGACTTAAACGGTAAGAATCCCGTCACTAAGACAGTTTTATGATCCATGTACGGAATAAAATTCATTTTTTTTATAATTATACAAAGCCCCGTCTATTCTTCGCTAGAGATTGCACGCATTGTCGGACGTCATTGAGTTAAACGTCCTATTTATATGAAAATATAATCTGTAATAACTACTCCATAGTAATATTTGAAATGCGTAAGTGTGTTTGTCTATCAGTCTATCTGTCTGATCCGGATGTCGGATCCGAGATCCGAATCCTGACCAGTACACTACCGACGTGAACTCACTCCTAACACAAGCAATTTAGCTTAGCGGGAGGGGTTAACGGGACACCAGGGACTTCCTTTCTAGGTTACCTGGTTACCCGGCTATTAGTACCCGAGACGGCGTGCGGTTTTAGTCGGTTCGAGTCCGACATGCCACCGAAAGGTGGTATCCGAGGGGATTTCCGCACGGAAAAAATTAAATAAAAAAAAGTTAACGGGTTAACGGGAATACTAGTAATTTCGGTTGCTAGTAGACCTTTTTAAAGAAAAAAAAGGTATTAGTTAAATTGCTACTTCAATAATCAGTCCTTAATCATTAAAGTCTTAAAGTCATAGGTTTTGTTCACGTTTTATTGGATTACCTTAAAATTCATCAACAGCCTTTAATAGTCCACTGCTGGACACGCTGGCCAGACGGGTTGGTATAGGGTTTGTGTTAAGTTTTTCCCGGCGATGGCCTCCTTGGCCGGAGACGACGGGGAGCACGGGGAGGATAATGTTCCGCCCGTCCGGGATTCGGAGGTAGGGGCGGCTGTTCTACGGATCCGTTCCAAGAACACCGCCCCTGGGCCAGACGGGGTACCGGCCCGAGTGCTGGCCCTGGCCCTCAACCACATGGCAGACCGCCTCGGGGAGGTGTTCGACGCTAGCTTGGCGTCGGGACGCTTCCCTGAGTGCTGGAAGAGCGGGAAGCTGGTCCTATTGAGGAAGCCGGGACGGCCTGCCGATTCGGTCGCGGCCTATAGGCCCATCGTGCTGCTGGACGAGGCGGGCAAATTGTTTGAGAGGGTTCTTTCTGCCCGCATCGTCCGGCACCTCTGCGAGGTGGGCCCCGATCTGTAGGACGCCCAATTTGTTTTCGGGCGGGGCGTTCGACAGTCGACGCCGTGTTGCGCCTGAGGGCCGTGACCGAAGAGGCCGTGAGCTGTGGCGGCGTGCTGTTGGCGGTGTCATTAGACATCGCCAACGCATTCAATAGTCTGCCATTCAGCTGCATCAGGGAAGCACTCCACTATCATGGGGTGCCAAAGTACCTGAGGCGGCTAGTGGCAGACTATTTAGAGGAGCGTACCGTCGTGTACGAGGACCGAGAAGGTAATTTGAGGAGTCGGCCCATGTCGTGCGGTGTTCCACAGGGGTCTGTTCTTGGACCCCTCTTGTGGAACATAGGGTACGACTGGGCCCTTCGCGCCGATTTCCCCCCCGGGCTGGGTGTAATCTGTTACGCAGACGATACCCTGGTGACAGCCCGGGGGGCAAACTTCCAAGAGGCGGCGCGCCTGGCCACAGGGGGAGTCTCCCTGGTGGTCGGGCGCATTGAGGCGCTGGGCTTATGGGTGGCCCTAGATAAGACGGAGGCCCTGTTATTTCATGGGCCCCGTCGTGGTCCACCCCCTGGCGCCTCAATCGTGGTCAACTCGGTCCTCGTACCGGTTCGGGCCCAGATGAAATATCTGGGCCTGATCCTCGACGGGAGGTGGCTCGAGCACGAGCTCGACGAGCACTTCCGACAGCTTGCTCCAAAGCTGGTCGGCGCTGCGTCTGGCCTAGGGCGACTTTTGCCCAATATGGGTGGACCCAGCGTCGCTACAAGACGGCTGTACAGGGGGGTTGTCCGGTCAATGGCATTGTACGGTGCACCGGTGTGGGCGGCGGCTCTGACCGCCCAGAATAGGGTACGCCTCTGGCGCCCTCAGAGGGTAATGGCGGTCAGAGCCATACGCGGTTACCGCACCGTTTCGACGGAGGTGGCATGCGCGTTGGCCGGAACTCCCCCGTGGGATTTGGAGGCGGAAGTGCTCGCCGAAGTTTATCGGCGAGTGGCTTACTCCCGGGCGGAGAGCGGATTTCGCCCTCCGCCCGAGGATGTGCGCGAGTGGCGCGAAGCCGCTCGCCGAGCCACGATGGCTCGTTGGTCGTTCCGGCTGGAGACTCCACGCGCTGGCTTCGCCGCCGTGGAGGCTCTCCAGCCGGTCATCGCCGAGTGGGCAGGGCGGCAGCACGGGACTTTCCTTCCGGCTGACGCAGGTGCTTTCCGGGCACGGTTGCTTCGGAAAGTACCTGCACTCGGTCGCTAGGAGGGAACTGAGTCCCGCCTGCCACCACTGCGACTGCAGTGAGGACTCGGCCCAGCACACGCTGGCGGTCTGCCCCGCATGGGCGGCGCAGCGCCGGGCCCTCGCTGCAGTCATCGGAGTGGATCTCTCGCTACCGGCCGTAGTACGCTCCATGTCCGGTAGCGACAGTTGTTTTACCGCGGTCGCAACCTTCTGCGAGGTAGTAATCTCGCGGAAGGAGGCGGCGGAGAGGGCCTGGGAGGACGACCTCCACTCGGACCCGATCCGTCGCCGGCGAACCGGGCGGCGGAGGCCCGCCTATCACAGCCTCATGCCGCCCTGAGTGTGGCCGCGGGTGGACGGGGTGGGTTTCCCCTCCACCCGCATTAGTTTGGCCAGCTGCGAGGGGGCGGCGTCCGCGTGTGCCGGACGTCGCCTAAAGAGAGGAAAAATTTTGAGACGGAGCCCGCACCAGGAGCGGGCTGGCGCTAGGAGGGGTCCGGATGTCTTAACAACAGCTGTTCCCGGATCCCTCCTGTTACAGGCCCAGAGTGGCACACCGTGTGGTTTTAGTCGGTCCGAGTCCGACACACCACCCCGCCGCAAACCCCGGAGGGGTGACGGCCGAGGGGATTTCCACACGTTAAAAAAAAAAAAAAAAAAAGGGTTTGTGTTAAGTTTACCTTTTCTCTGTTTTCCTTCTCTCTGTCTACTTAAACATTGTATTGTGTATATAGTATATAAGTATATATGTATACACCACTGTACACTCGTATTTGTATATACAGAGGTGTCGGTGTATATACAGTTGTTGTAAAGTGACAGGGTGCCGTCGACGGATACGTCTGGGACATCAGTTTATCAATATAAGTATATTAATAACTAGCTGACCCGCGCAACTTCGTCTGCGTCTCTCAATAGTAATAAATTTTCTCCGTTTTTTAAACATTCTTCATTGGTGCTCCGCTCCTATTGGTCTTAGCGTGATGATATATAGCCTATAGCCTTCCTCGATAAATGGGCTATCTAACACAGAAAGAATTTTTCAAATCGGACCAGTAGTTCCTGAGATTAGCGCGTTCAAACAAACAAACAAACAAACTCTTCAGCTTTATAATATTAGTATAGATAATAATAATAACTATTAGTTTTCACTTTCGTGGCACTCCCGGGTGATTGTCCAACAAGTGAGATAACTGGAGCCCTAAACCTTAGCCCCTAATTCTGGAGGGACTTGGAGGACTCATCATTATCATCAACAGACTTTCATAGTCCATTGCTTAAGGAGAGCCTTAGAAAGGAGGTTTTGTCCTACTATACCACGCTGGCCAGACGGGTTGGTACTCGTATAGTGATTTGTTGCCAGTTTTCCTTCTCTTTACAATGCTATAATCCTGCGTAGTTTGCACGGATTGCGTAGTGGTTTAAGTGATCGCCACGCCGCTTTCTACTCCGCTGAGTGTTGTGGGTTCGATCCCCACAAGGCACAACACTTTGTGTGATTCACAAATTGTTGTTTTGAGTCTGGGTGTTGTTTGTGTCCATTTCATGTATTTCAAAGCCCCCCGCGACCCAGGAATATGTTTCCTAATGCAGAAGTTGTGTTTTTAAAAAGAAAGTTTGCTCTTATGACACCTACGGGATGTACAGGGGTGGTGATCACAGAAAAAGGATTTGTTCTGTGGTGGTGATACTCCGTACTCTTAATCCGTCACCACACGCAAGGTGGGAACTAAAAAGGCAGGACTTTTGAGTTGCAGGTTTCCATGGATGGCAATAATCACTCACTATCAGATACCTGTCTGTGCGTTTCTCCTATACCTTGAAAAACCTTGGATTTATATATTTACGTGAGTGGAACCACGGGTAATAGCTAGTCTGTAATAACAAGGAAGGAGGATTATATGGGACATATTAGATACATACCTATAAAATTATCATTACAATGAATTTTCCTTTTAGGTTAATTGAATAATATTAATTAAAGTATTTAGGAACAATATTTACCTAAATGACAATGGAAAAAACCCTCTGCGTAAATGCGATTATTCAGAGAAGAGATAGATGTTTTCCAAAACGACTTACATATATTATAAGGTTTTGCCACCTTTTATTGCCATTAATTTTTTTTACGTGTGGAAACCCCCTCGGGCCGTCACCTCACCGGGGTTTGCGGCGGGGTGGTGTGTCGATACGGACCGACTAAAACCACACGGTGTGCTACTCTGCGCCTGCAACAAAAGAGAGATCCGGGAACTGCTATTATTAAGATATCTGGACCCCTCCTAGCACCTGCTCACCATGGCGCGGGCACCATTTTCGGATACATTCTCGATGTAGGCGAAGTCCGGCACACGCGGACGTCGCCTCCTCGGCGTCTGTCCGTCATGGCAGGTGGAAGGAAAAACCCGTCCCGTCCACAAGCGGTGACACTCATGCCGATGAGGCGGTAGCAAGCGCGCCTCCGCCGGGGACGAATTGGGTCCGAGTAGAGGTCATTCTTCCGGGCCCTCTCCGACGCCTCCTTCTGCGAGATGACGTCTTCGCAGAAGGATGCGACCGCGGTAAAACATCTATCACTACCGTCCATGGACCGTATGACCCCCTCCGATGACTGTAATGAGGACCCGGAGCTGAGGCGCCCAAGTCAGGCAAATTGCCAGCGTGTGCCGAGCCGTGTCCTCACTTCAATCACAGTGGTGACAGGCGGGACTCAATTCCCTCCTAGCGACCGAGTACAGGTACTTTCCGAAGCAGCCAAGCAAAGGCAATGCAAGCACGTGGAGCCTTTAGCCGGGACGACCAACGAGCCATCGTGGCTGAATGTCGCTACCCGCCCGGAACTCAGCCGTCCGCCGTTATACTTCGGCGAGCACTTCCTCGCGCGCGGCCTCTTGAAAGTTCGCCCCCTGGACTGTCACCAGCGTGTCATCGGCGTAACAAATAACGCCCAGCCCGGGGCAAGGGCCGAGGAGAGGCGACTTCTAAGGGTCCAGTCGTATTCTATGTTCCACAAGAGTGGTCCGAGAACAGACCCCTGAGGAACACCGCACGACATGGGCCGATGTCTCAAAAAAATAAAATGCTTTTATTTCAGGTATCAATCACAACCCATATTAATACATCGCATCTTAATACACATTCATTCATAATATAATTATTGACATTATTACCACACTAATACATTAAATTACAAATTACCAAGATTCAAATTAAATCCTTAGTGACATTTCCATCATCATAACACATGCACAAACAGACGAGACAATAGATATTATTTTTATTCATTATATTATTATTATTATTTTAATTAATTCACTAACTTTACTGTACATTTTGCAATTCAAAGCACCATATCGGTCCTCGTACATGTCGGTACGCTCCTCTAAGTATTCTACCACCAGCTGCCTCAGTTACTCTAGCACCCTATGATAGTGGAGGGCTTCCCTGATGCAGCTTAATGGCAGGCTGTTGAATGCGTTGGCGATGTCCAACGACACCGCCAACAGCACGCCGCCACGGCTTACCGGCTCTTCGGTCAAGGTCCTGAGGCGCAACACAGTACCGAACGTCTAGCGCTCCGCTCGAAATCCAAATTGAGAGTCCGACAGATCAGAGCCCACCTCGCAGAGGTGTCGGACGATACGGGCCGAGAGAACCCTCTCAAACAATTTACCCGCCTCCTCCAGCAATCTGGCCCATGGGCGGTCTTCTTGAAACGGATCCGTATACGCCGTCCCTAATTCCGAATCTTTGGAACATCATCCACGTTCTTACCGCCTTGGGGTCACGATCGAGACACTCCAGCATCAGCTTTTTTCTACTTCTTTGGCGCGGCTAATGACCCGCTTTAGAGTTTTCCGTTCCGTTTAGGAGAGGCGCATCCTGACCCCTACTGCCCCGAAATCCTGGGCGAGACTATCCCGAGCTCTCTTAAATATGACCGTATAGGACAGCCCGCCGTTAACGGCCTCCGGTGACCACAGCCGCGGTTTTAGGTGCCTGCAGCTTGCGCGGCTGCCTCTTGGTGGCCAATGCCACCGACGGTGACTGCGTAATCCGCAGTCACCGTCGGTGGCATTGGCCACAGGCTGCTTTTTGAGCAGTTTTCTTACTCCGCTTTCGAGGCTTCTTAGTCCCCTCGAATACCTGTAACCCATTGTTAGAGGGGGCTGACGTAGATGGGACTGATGTTGTAGGGCCAGGTACAGGCGTGGGAGTGGGGAGCGGAGGGAATTCCAAACCTATCTTTGCTGCGGTGTTAGGCGGAGGCCCAGGCATCGATGTGGCCATCTTTGCCGCTGCCTTGGCCAATCGTCCTGTCTTCCGTGTGGCCACAGGTTCGGATGCCGACGTCGCCTCGCACACATCACGCGAAGGCCCCTAACAGGAAGCGGAGTCGGCGCCGCAGCTGTCTTCGCCCTGTCCCGTGCGACTGGCGGCCGAACAACGGTGGCTTGAGGCAGCCTCGCCTTCAGACCCGCGAGACGCCAGTCCAACATACGCACAACTACGTCAATTATTGGGCGCAGGTGGGCATCAGAGACGTCCCCAGGACCGTGAGTGGGGGCAGGCTGCCGCTACGGAACAGGTCCCTGCTTAGGGTGATCGGCATTGGGCAAAACTGAGTGCTAAGCCCAGCCACCTGTACCGTCAATCGATCGTTAGCTGCGTTGAGCCACGCCACATCGGCAATAAGGGTTCCTAAGACCCCAGAGATGGCGGAGCAGGAGTCCTTAAGGGCCCTAACAAATTGACTTTGTTTTATATTTAAGTTTAAGAATGTAGGGCAAACGTCACAATATCTTATGTGAGTTACATAACACTTCTAGAGGTGCAAATAATACATTAAAATAATTCTCCTCACTACAATATTATTGAATACTTAATTATTATTTAAGAAACCGTTCATTTAGATATCAATATAGCCATCCACCCGTTACCGCAAAACATTTGTCATTGTACCAATAAATACTTACCTACTATTGAATAATTAAAACGGAAAATACATAATATTTATTACAATTAGGTTATACGCTCAACATAACAACATTATGTTTTATTTTTAAAAGAACATTCGTAACACAATCACTGTGGTAAATAGACGTTAAAAAAAAACAAATTGACCAACAACATGGATTTTAATTCTCCAAGCGACAATAAAATAGTTCTGGTAACCGGATTCTGTACAATGTCTTCAAACAGAGTGGACAAAAATATTAATGCGAGTGGTGAAGCCGTGAAACTGATGATGAAAGATGAGTTGGAGAGAAGACTAAATATCACTCTCATTACCAAGAGGGTGCCAGTGGAGTACAATTACGTTGACAAGATCATACCTAAGATGTGGAAAGAATATCAGCCACATGTAAGTTATAAATCCTTTTTATCAGGCTGCGACAAAAGAATGGTTTCCGAGTGTTTGTATTTAAATTTCTTTCCCTCACTCTGTAGCCTTTTTTTTTTTTTCCGTGCGGATATCCCCTCGGATACCACCTGTCGGTGGCATGTCGGACTCGAACCGACTAAAACCGCCCGCCGTCTCGGGTACTAATAGCCGGGGAACCAGGTATACCCTAAAAAGGAAGTCCCTAGTGCTCCTCACTCTGTAGCCTAGATGGTTTGATGAATTTAGGCGTTTGAGGTATCCTTAATTTCGTTTTAATTGTCAGAGTGACACTGGGTATAATTGTGACAATTATAAACATTAAAATCGTCGGGTTGTAAATTTGAAGCATACTTTTTAAAATGACTGCCTCGCTGGTGCCTGCGGTTTAGCGTATACGACTGTTGTGCTGAGGTCTCGAGTTCGATTCCCAGGTCGGACCAAATATTTGTATGATCTACAAATATATGATTCGGAGTTTGGATGTTTTTGTTGTAAAATATATATGTATTTACAAAACAAAAGTAATTATTTAAGTATTCCATCACGTAATCTAGCTTTCATAGTACAAGCTCTGCTTAGTTTGAAACTAGATGGCGTTGTGTGTTAGATGTTCAAAATATTATTATTATTTGCACGCAGTCGGGATTTTATTATTTTATTTTATCGATAACTAGCTTGTTAATGTCAATAATGTCATATTCTTACCCGTATGCGAAACTTTAACATACTTTCGTTGGTATGATGTACCTCTTACCGAAATTTCAGATTCGCAGCATCCCTGATTTACACGCATTAACATCGAGCGTACTTTTATCAATAATCAGCTCAGTACGTTTGTAATCAGCCTCTTTGTTTAATTTAAAAATAACCTTCTGGATGCTTATCAACCAGGTTTCCGGCTTGGTCTTGGTACTGCGTCAGCTTTATTGAATACAGATATCATCAAATTTAATAATTGTAACTTGATTTATCTCTGACGGCCGTTTGATCCTAAATGAGTCTGGTTAAACCATAGTACAGGCACTATGGTTTAACCAGACTGTTGATAAACATACTTATTTATTTCTAAATCATCATCATCAACAGCCTATACTAGTCCACTGCTGGACATAGACCTCTCCTTAGAAAGATTGAAAGACTCCCAGATATAGAACAAATGATCGAGCTCATCCCACAATTATTTGTCTTGGGTGAGAATCGAACGCACGACCTCTGGCTTGAAGTCAAGGTCACTAGTTCACTTTACAACAGGACCAACGGGCTAGTCAATTCATGGGCGGCGGTAGTCACTTACCATCAGGTGACCTGTCTGCTCGTTTGTCCCATATAATATAAAAAGGTGTTTGTGTGTGCGCAATTCATACACAGCAGAAGTGGACCTTACGAAAAAAATCTATATCTATATAAATACTTTACACTTCATCTGCATAAACGGGCATAAATACGATTCTTATTAACACTAGACATAATATATTTACAATTTTAGAAGTAGCGGTTTAAGCGATCATCACACACTTTGTGCGATACATAAATTTTTGTTTTGAGTCTGGGTGTTCTTTGTGTCCGTTTCATAAATGCTTGTGTCCGTTTCATAAATGCTTGTGTCCGTTTCATTTTTTTTTTTAAAGTCGACTCCCGCACTAGGAATAGTGCGGGAGTCGACTTTAAAAAAAAAAAATTACAACTAATCATTTCCACTTATGTAATTTCAGCTAATAATCCACGTGGGAGTATCCGCTGTCTCCAAGGGTTTCACGTTGGAAACACAGGCGAGAAAAATGGCGTATACTATGAAAGATGACGCTGACAAAATACCAGAAGGATGCATGAACCCTTCGCTAGGACCAGAGAATATAGCTACTGATCTCCAGGTGGACCTTGTCTGCGAGGAGTACAATTACGATCTGCCGGAGGATAGTTTAAAAGCTGTTGTTTCTAACGAAGGCGGAAAGTACGTGATATGGAACTCTTTCAGCTTTTCCAGAATAGACCTTGTGTCCATTTTTCTGGCTGAGATTGCAACCAAAATGAGACATTACTCACTTCCTGCTATCCTCTAAGGGTTGGAATGGTTGTAAGTTGGAATAGAACGCCCCAAGTTTTTTGAATCTTTTTTTATGGTGTAGGTAGCAAACGAGCAAACTGATCAACATGAATTGGTGTGTGACTAGTGCCAACTATGGACACCTGCCACTAAAGAGACACAAGTGCGTTGACGATATTGACCCCTCCCCCATCCAGAATTTAGGGAGAGGGGGTTTAGGTTTACGTCGGTTTTCTGTGAGGCCGTGGTATTACTCCAGTTGAGTCAGGCCATATATGTCGAAGTTAATAAGGTTAATATTGTAATTTCACGAAATAGCACGAAAGTTAGAGAAAGACAGAGAGAGTTCATTTAACCGTACAGTTTCAGGAATAGTTCTAATAATAATACAGTTTGGCACGAAATAATGAATTTTATGACAATAGGCATAAGATCGAAAATAGAATGTAGGTCGATTATCTTGTATACATTTGACACCTACTCGTATTTCTAAGAAACCGACAGTTCTTATAAGGATTAGAATTAGCTACAATGAACCTTCTAGTCACGGTACTATTATAATATTATAATTGTACCGTGTTCTAGTCGTCTGGCGAGTCGTCGAGCGACAAACAAACAAACATCGGAGCGATCTGAGCGAACAGAAAAGTACCCCAGCGACTATTATTCACTATTGTTTTAACGACTTTAAGTGTATTAGTAGAAGTCTTTTTAGTCGTCAGAAGGTATATTATTCCAAATCAGCGAAACTTAACACGTAACACATCACATCATCACATCAACAGCCTTTAATAGTCCACAACTGGACATAGGCCTCTCCTTAGAAAGGAGGTTTTGGCCTACTATACCACGCTGGCCAGACGGGTTGGTATAGGGTTTGTGTCAAGTTTTCCTTCTTTTTTGCAGTGCCGACACCCACGGGATGAATTGGGGTAGTGACATTCCGTATTCTTAATCCGTCACTACACGGACTAATAATACCGTAACAATAATAACAAAAATACTTTTTTGCAGTTACCTCTGCGAGTACATCTACTACACTTCTCTATGTCAACAACTGAACGACTACAAGAGTTCTTTGTTCGTCCACGTACCTCCCATGAAGTGTCAACAGGAATTTGAAGAGTTAGCACGTGGTTTGGAGCGAATAGTAGAGATATGTGTTCGGCAACTCAGGATTCAAGATATTAGTGGAGATTTTTAGTGGGTTTTTTAGGTGTAATATTTAGGTATTTCCTTTTGCTTTCCAGCATCTGTGAGAGTGATTTGCATATGAGGAAGCTGGCCGCTTTTTAGTTTATCTAATGAACGCGCTTTTTTTTTAGTATAAACATTTTAATTATTTTAATTTTAATTAGGTACCTAAATTACATAATTATTAGTATTAGACAAAAGAAAACGTTGAAATAAAAAATCTAAAACAAATACATTCAATACCTATTTAAAAATAAATAAAAAGTGACTTAATTACATAATTATTGTTTTTTAGCAAGGTAACATTTCCGTCGTTGCGTTATCATCTTAATCCTTTGGTATATCTTTCATATTCACTTCTAATACCCAATTTTAATATTCGCTACAGATTCACTTACCTTATGGTCACCTCTATGGTAATTTTTAAATTGTCTATAATCTCATCTGTCCGCCTTTAAAAAACTCTCCACTATTATTATATTATTACGCCTAACATTGTTAACTAAGATACTTATATATCGTTAATGCTTAGAAAAATTGTGAAAACAGTCTGAATTGATTAGTTCTGTTGGTGTCTTGTGTCGTCAGAGCTCCATTGTTGGACCAGGGGACGAGGTTTGATTTTATCTGTGATCCTTCGGCAATTTAACTGACAGTTGAATGGCTTACAAGAGACAATCAGTGTCACTGATGAGTGCGTTCCCATGTCCTGACAGCTCCCACACATGGGACGACACTTTGTGTGTTCCACAAGTTGTTGTTCTGAGTCTGGGTGTTCTTTGTGGCCGTTTCATGTATGTTTGGAAAGAACACAGGATAAATTCCTAATGCGGGAATTGTCTTTAACAAAAAACTAGGCCCAGATCAGGGGTTTTTTTTTTCAGAAATACTCAGAAAATAACAATAATAGCTTATAGTTAAACCGCCGTAAGCTTGGCCCTCCTGATGGTTCGGGGGACGCGGGGCGGGGGTGCATTCAACCAATTAGCCAGTGCGTCGCTGTCCGCCGGCAGTGACTGACGTGAAAGCATGGCTGTACGTATTATTTTTCTTAAGACTGCTACACACGGTATTATTTAGCAATATGGATAATATGCCGACTTTGCGCACACAAAGATTTAAAAACTTGAAGTTCGGCTTACAGAGGTTCTACTGTTAAAGTTCTAATAAACAATATTTATTATTTTACTTAATTTTTAAATTGTATCTGAATATAATTTACATGATGAAGATAAGGTGATTTAATAAAAAATATTTTACAGTATTAAATTTTACAATTAATCATAAAAACTTACAATACACTGACATTATACATGGAAATAAATTAGATTTTTATTACATCGTGTGTAGATTAAATCTCAAACAAATAAATCTGAAGATATCGAGTTAGTACATCGTGTCATGTATAGCCGAGGGCATCACCCGCCCCGCGTCCCGCATACCATCAGGAGGGCCAAGCTTACGGCGGTTTAACTATAAGACACATCTTACACACAGCTGTCTGATCCCAAACTAGGCAGAGCCTGTGACATATATGTCAAAAAGTGATAAAGTTGTAGAATGGTCAACTTCAACTTTTGGTTAATGGCTTTGTGGTAGAGTGTAACCACAATTTCGCCAATGTCATGTATTTGAAAGACAAACTGTCAAAGGATTTTATATAGAGCTGTGGTAGAGCCAAAAAAAATTTGAGAATGAAAGAATAAGAATGAAGAATGGTCGCGATTAGGCTGTTTAATGAAAGTGACAACTATGTCCAAAATCGACAGGTAAAGTTTTGACATATGTCATTTAAAAAAGCGTTTAATAAAACTCGACTTATGTCAAAAAACCACAGACAAATTATAACTGACAATGGTCGGTGACAATTGTCGGATTGTCATGAGAATTATGTCGACTTTCGACATATTTGCAAATTCTTTATTTTCTGAAATATTAATGAACTATAACTAACTAAGTAGTATGTAAAAGGAATTCTTAGAATATAAAATAGTAGCTTACATCTCCCATATTATGAATGTTTAATGTCCGTCTTTATACATGAAATTAAAAATACAAATAGCCATAACAAATAATAAGGAAAATTACAATTTGTACCAGAAGCTGCTATACGTTAACATATAAATATTGGTTATGGACAATTACTAGGGATATAGTACGGAGAAGCATGTATTACAATCGATTTGGCCAGAAATCGATAACTTTTTAATCGATTGAGCCTGGCATGTGTGGTTGTCTATGTTTTCTATTTTTTTCTTGAACGGAATACCAATAAGGATACTGTACTCCTTATGGGCTGCAGAAGCATCTCTTTATTTCTATTACGATGCTATTTCTTTTTATTATGTACTTATAAAAAATTGATCCATCGCGGAACGTCTAGTAACAGATGTTAAACATCGAAATTATTTTGTAGAAATAACGAGTTTAAATAGATAGCTTAAAAAAGGAAATAATAATATGGCACAATTACACCGCATTACACGTTACATATACTATTACATATCGTGGCGACGCAGACAGTGGCGACGCGGCGCCATGCCTGTGTTATACATCAAAAAAGAAAATCAGGGCTGCACGTTAAATAAGTACCTTATCTAGTTCAATATTGAAGATAAATATGTCTCGAAATAAATTCGAGTTAATTAGCTGCTAGTTCATACAAAGCTTTAAAGCAATTTCAAGTAACCGCTCCAGGCCTCGTGCAATTTGTTCGTAGGAGTACCCTTCGTGAGGAACATGGACGAACATCACCCTCTTTGATTCTGAATGATACAGCGATGTGAAGTAAACATATTCGCATAAAAACCTGGAATAAATACACGAATAAGTTTAGCATCCTGATTAAAATAAAAATATAATAAAAATAAACAAAAATTGCAGAATCAGAATAAGGTCTTGGTTACATTTTGTATATGATTTACATCTAATTGTAATTGGATTCTTATATAAAGGTTGTTACTAAAGCTAACATAAAACTAGTGTATGACTGTACTAAAACGTGCCATAGTGAATAGACATAGCAAGCAAAAAGGTAATAGCAATATATATTACAAATTCTTTTGCAAACGGCCTGAGTTAGGTGTGTGACCTGTGTTTCAGGCAATCGCTTGACTGTGATGTTAGTTAAAAGAGAGAATATTATAATAACAGCGCCATCTAGGGAAAGTAAGCTGAACTACTTAGAAACGAGCTAAACTGCGGTTATATTTCTCACAATGTAGATTTCCTTACAAATTAGTTTAAACTTTACACAGTTTTCTTTTATGGTATAGATGTCAAGCGAACAGACAGGTCATCTGATGGTAAGTGACTACCGCCGCCTATGGATACCTGCAACTAGAATTCAAGAGACAACAGTACGATGGCTGAAGAGTGAACAGGTAGGGGGAGTTTTAACCTCCGTCAACTCAGTCACTCACGCGGATTTCTGTGAGACCTAACAGAAAACCGGTCGTTAAGCAATTCCCTTAGAGGGGGAGGGGGGGCGGTTATTATGATAGCGTCGTTGAACAACAGTCCACCCCAGGAGGTACCAGATGCGCTACCATTGGAAAATCCCTCACTGGGCGTCCACACTCAGAACACCATGCATCTGGGCGTTGTTAATAATTTACAAACGCATTTTTTCAGTACCATAATATTGTAATCGTATGTACTCACTTGCCAGCATCCTCTGAAACTTCAGCCAACAGTTGTTCCGGTGGTTCAGAGTTATATTCGTCTAAGATACCATCAACATCCAAAGACGTGTTAAACACAGCCTCATTTTCTCCGAGGGGATGTTCGAAGTCCACAGGACAACATCCTTTGCAGTCTCCAAAGAAATAGGACTCTTTGCAAGCTTGTTTTTCAAGTCTGAGCCCTTGTATATTTTTTAGAAGACCTACGTGCATTACCAGCTGCAAAAAAAATGAAAAATGTTACACAAATTTTAATAGCTTTCTTTTTATACGCTAATCGGCGAGACAATTGCGATATAGGATTAGCCATTACTCCGTAGTTCGGTGTGTCTTCGATAGATTGCGCTGTAGTATGGATAGAGATATAAGCATAGAGTGAATAAGAGCCCTAATCTTGCAATATAGGCAACTAGAGACATGGATAATATACAGATACCTCTATCTCTTTCTATTCGAGCTCTGTGGTTCCCTGGGGAATATGAGGGGATAATAAGTAGCCAATCGCAGCGTAGCTAAACAGAGACAGGGGAAACTATCGAGCATCCATCTTCTTCTTTCAGCTGTACCCCGTGTTCTCTCTATACTTATATCTGTATGGTAGTATGTTTCTTCGTGCTTCGTATGTGGAAGACGCCACAGAGCCTTGCTTCAGCACAAATGCGACGGCTCTACCGGAGTGATATCACGACCTCACAGAAAACCAGTATCAAGCAAGCCTTTCGATACGTTTCACCGAGCGAGCCAAGTTATCAGAGTCCCTAACCCCTAATTCTAGTATCATTATCATCAACAGCCTTTAATATAGACATAGGCCTCTCTTAGAAAGGAGGTTTTGGCCTAGTATACCACGCTGGTCAGACGGGTTAGTATAGGGTTTGTGTCAAGTTTTACTTCTCTTGGCAGTGCTGTTGTCTTGCGTAGTTTGCTGCCTTAGTCGGCTTTTACGACACGGGGTAAATATGGGTGGTGGCACTCCGTATTCTTAATCCGTCACCACACGGACAAATTCTGATAGAAGGAACTCAAAGAGCGTCAACGTACTTGTGACTCTTAGTTGCAGGTGTCTATGGAAGGCAGTAGTCTCTTACCATCGTGTGACCCGGCTACTCGTTTGCCCTCCATACCAACAAAAAAAAAGGGGGGGCGTTTAAAACATCTCTGCCTAAACTTTCGGGGACATTAGCGTGAGTATACTCTTTTATGTGTGTAGAGAAATGAATAACTCACTGAGACATAATTGAATTGAAAAAACTCTACATGAAACACTAGACGCTTTCAATTACTACGGCGCCCTTTTTTTTTTTTTTGTTTACGTGTGGAAATCCCCTCGGACCGTCACCCCACCGGGGTTTGCGGCGGGGTGGTGTGTCGGACTCGGACCGACTAAAACCACACGGTGTGCCACTCTGCGCCTGTAATAGGAGGGATCCAGGAACAGCTGTTATTAAGACATCCGGACCCCTACTAGCGCCGGCCCGCTCCTGTTGCGGGCTCCGTCTCAAAATTTTTCCTCTCTTTAGGCGACGTCCGGCACACGCGGACGCCGCCCCCTCGCGGCTGGCCAAACTAATGCGGGTGGAGGGGAAACCCACCCCGTCCACCCGCGGCCAAATTACTACGGCGCCCTAATGGCGTCACCACACGTCAGGCAGTCAGGCAGTGACCACAGCCAGGGCAACCTGGTCTAAACGTCAGGCGTTTTAAAGGTATGTACTCAATACCTATGGTGAACGGTTTATTAATAACAATAGCCTAACTCGTCTCACACACGACAGTCTGATCCAAAACTAGGCATAGCCTGTGATATAATCGCTGGACTGCTGATAAACATAGTTATATAATTCTAAATATATACATATTAAAGATAAATTATACCCAGACATAGAAAAACTGATCGAAATCAAGTTTTAATTCCTCTAAACATAATTACATATTCCCCCCACGATATAAAAAGAAAGATGATTGAAATTTAACATTCACATGAAACGATTAGTCCTAAAAAGTGGAATTCTCTTCAAATAAAAAGAAAAAAATGAAACTCACATCAAAGTCTTTGTACTCGTCCCATAGCTCCGTCATCTTCGATTGCACTTCATCATAATCCACTGGCAAATGCTGAACGATCATCTGGATCCCATATTTTGCTTGGATTCCTTCTTTATCGATCCTCTGAACACCCTCCCAACTCGCATTAACGTCGGCTTTATCAAACCCTATATCGTAGGGACCAAACCCCGTCACCAGAACTCCCATTTTGTCACCCTTTTTAGCAGTCCGTCGCAGTTTAGATGTATTTGTAGACTGAGGATACCATAATTTTGTTGAATGTAAACTGCTACCGTTTTGACATGGCCGTCTATTAAACTATATTCGAGTCTTAGTCATAACATATTACTTGTTTTAAAAGTTTTGACCTAGTAAGATTTATACGTAATTTATGCTGTTTCGTCTGTTGTTTTCCCCGAGTGAATAATATTGATTTCCCCGATATACGAGTATACACGTACATATAAACACATGAATTGGTATTACGCTTGTGATACGAAACCGCAAAAAAGTTAATCGTCCTTGTTTTTAAAGAAATCTAAATGATTTTTAATGTGTCTTGTTTTTGTTTTGGAGACAATAACAATACATCCCACACAGGGTCGGCTAAGCCTGTATTATGGTAACCAGACATTTGATAAGCATGCTTATATATTTTAACACTCAATAGATATACATGTGTTAATATGCATACCCAGATATAGGACAAAGGCTCAAATTCTCTTTTCAAATGTCAATTTTTATAACTAGTTATTTATTATAAACTAGCTGGTACCCGCGACTTCTTTCTCGTGGAATATGAAAAGCGCTGAATTAGTGGGTTCGATGCCCGGACCGTGCAAAACTTTTAAAGGGTTTTGCTGAGACGAAAAATAGCCTAAGTTATACCTTATGTAGACAGCTACTTGGTAGTAAAATATTATCGAAATCGGTCCAGCCGTTTAGAAGATTACCCGGAACAAACAAACAGACAGACAAAAAACTGGCATAGGTATACGTGCAAATAACCGTGTAAGCATGAAAAAACCCTATAATTTTGACATTACAAACAGACACTTCAATTTTATTTATTTGTATAGATATGTACACTACACTTAACATTGTACATACTGCCTTAAATGGACAGCTATTAATCAACCGCACTTCGCTGTACAAACTCCGGTAGAGCTGGCCCATTTGTGCTGAAGCATGGCTCTGTGGCGTCTTCCACATACGAAGCACTAAGAAACATACTACCATACAGATATAAGTATAGAGAGAACACGGGGTACAGCCGAAAGAAGAAGATGGATGCCGGGTAGTTGCCTTTGTCTAGTGCGACCATAATAAATAAACAAATTTACAATATTTAAATTAGACGGCTCAGACTTCGCGGTAAGAGCCTGTTCGAGTTATAGGTATACGACCCTGACCTCGACCTTGACCTTCTCAAGACAATCCATACTAATATTATAAATGTATTAAAAGTGTGTCTGTCTGTCTGTTACCTCTTCACGCTTAAACTACTGTACCGATTTAGATGAAATTTTGTACCCTATAGGCACCAAATTTTAATTCTTGAGGAAGGACATTGGCTTTTTATCGCGATGATCGATGTACAGGCAGGCGGAGCCGCGGGCAACAGTTAGTTATAAATTATTATAAAATTTAAAAACTCAAGACAATACGCCCCAATATTAACAAATTAACAACCTCTTCTTCTTTCATTGCCGTCTCTTCTCGCCTACTTTTCATTTTAAATATTATGACAAATTTTCCAATCTTTAATTCTCTAATTGCCCGGTCGGAAGCATTACGTTTGCCCCTTACTACTTGAATGGGACTAATTATAGTTTAGCAAAATATGTCTGTCTACCTCTTTCAAATGTATAGGTGTGATTGTATGTATGATTCAAACCTTCTAAATAACGTACCTTTGAGTTAAGACGCTTTGCGTATCTGTGACCGAGTTCTTCTAGAATGCACTTTTTAATGAACTCATATTCGTTTTTTAAAATGTAGGCACAGGCAGCATATACCATAGACAGTCCGATTCGTTTTGTTTTCATAGCATTCCATCAACCAACAATTATTATAATAAAATGGGGTTTTAAATGTAGAGTTTAAAAACATTCTACTACTGTCACATTTAGAAATGGAACGAACACTGACAGTTCTTAAAATAAGCGACATCCATTCAAACTATCCAGAAATAAACACGTGCGTGTCTTTATCTATTTTGCTGTAGTAGGTACTCATAGCATAGCATACATTTATTTTTATACACCTACTCTTCTAATACATGTTCACTCTCAAATAGAATAAGCCGATGTCACATCCATCCTGGTCCTGGTGTATAGTACTGCAAGTTCATTTGTGGAGAATTTTCAGTTACGCTTATTAAGTTATGAACATTAACAGCGCTGCGGAGGGTGCTCAGGGTAGATAGGCGATAACATCATCATCATCAATAGCCTTCAACAGTCTACTGCTGGACATAGGGCTCTCCTTAGAAAGGAGGTTTTGGCCTTCTATACCACGCTGTCCAGACGGGTTGGTTTAGAGGAGAGTGAGTTCGAGATGTTCGAACCCTTTTACTTTGTATATCATCATTCAAATTCAAAATATTTATTTTGCTGGTCCAGACCTAGCAGGGAACTTTTACTAAGGGGTGAGCGACCATCTTTGTCGTCTGACGCTGCACTGCTATTTGTGATGTAAGGATCAATCAGAAGCCGACTTACGCCTTTTTTGCAATGTGTTTTTTTTATGTTAGAGGGGGCAGACGAGCAGACGGGTCACCTGATAGAAAGTGACCATCGCCGCCCATGAACGTCTGCAACTCAGGAGTCACAAACGCGTTGCCGGGTATTGCGGAGTTGTTTTTGTCAGGCACTGCAATAAACACTGAGTCATGAGAACAGATTCACAAGGCCGTCTTAGACCACGCCGAGGCCCCTGGGCACACAAGAATTAGGGGCCCTGTTGGACAGTTAACAAAATGAATGATAATTATGATGATTATATATTTTTAGTTATGATCTTTTACTTAAAATGATTTATTGGCAACAAGCAAATATACCTATAATTAGAGATATTAATTCGATAGATACATTTACGAGTTAGTATAATAGATATAAATATGGGATGTTAATTAGACAAGCATCTTTGAATTGATGGTTTGAATCAGTTAGGTACAATTACGACAGTGTTTTTTTTTCGGGATTTCGGTTGTGCAAATTCTTCTATTATATCTTCAAAGTCAATTTTTTTGAGGATATCATTTTCTATACACATAATTGATAAATACGTTAGTCGCTCTTGTGACGCTGATGTTCGTAGTTCATTTTTTATTCGCTTTAACTTTGAAAATGAGCGCTCTCCGCTGCAATTGGTAACCATTAGGCATAGAAACATTCTTGTAGCCACTTCAACATTTGGAAAAGTTTCTTCTAATCTGTCGGACTTTATTAAATTATGTAAGTTTCATTTAAGACAGTATTTAAATAATATATCAAAGGAATCAGTTGATTTGAGTATCTCACTCAAATCAGCTGATTCCTTTGATATATTCTTTAAATACTGTCTTAAATGAAAACACTCTGATTTGAGCTCATATGCATTAATGTCTTCGTGATAGAATTCTTTAAATTCATTGCATTTTTTTGTTAACTCGTCAGAATCAATTGTTGTTAATTGTGAAAGAAAACTAAAACGATCGTGCATTTCTTGATACGCTACCAAACGATTTTTTAAATGTGCATCTAATGTATCTATTATAGGGATAAATGTATCTTTACGAAATTTTTCCTTCCCATGCAACTGCACAGTCTCTGATGATCCTTCAAAGAAAGTAACGCGTGTGCTGCGAATTCTATTCCTGTCAAATTTATCTTTATAGTCAGCATTTGTTTTTTTTTGTCTTTAGCAGCTAATTCATATTCATCAAAATTATTGCGTGCGTTATTGACGTACTTGATGAGAGTTGCGTAAAGCTTTGTGGCAACGTCCATGGTAATAGTGCTATCCTGTAAGCTTAAACTTGTTTTGTTCATAATTCCCAAAAAAATCATTCCATATTTCTGTTAAAAGTATTGCATTCAATTTTTCCATTTTTTTTACTGGGCTTTGCGCGTCATTTCTTGTTTCTCCTGGTTGATTGACATCACTTACTATCGAGGACAAAGCTTCAGTAATGTTTAAATAACCATTTTGTAAAGCATTAATGGCATTTGCATGTGCAGACCATGTAGTATCCGGCACAGACTTCAAGACTTTATTTGTACCTAAATGCTCTACCATAATTTTCCATCGTTTGGTCGAAGCGGAGAAGAAATTGAACAATTTTTGTATAAACTGAAAATATGCTGCAGCTTCGGAAACACAATCAATAGCTTGAACACCTATTAAATTTAGCGAGTGTGCTGCACATGGGACAAAAATGGCAAATTTGCATTTTTCTTTTATTTTTGACTGAACACCAGAATACTTTCCAGCTAAATTTGATGCATTATCATAACTCTGTCCATGACAATCTTTTACAGGAATATCAAGGCTTTCCAAAAAGTACAAAATGTTACCTGCTAAGTATTCTGCATTATGTTTATCTATAGGCAAGAACTGTATAAATCTCTCAATAGGCTCTCCATCTTTTACGTATCTAACGATGAAAGTTAGTTGGTCAACGTGAGAGAGATCTGGCGTAGAATTCACGCTTATAGAGTAGTATTTTGCTGATTTTATTTCACTCACAATTGTTTTTAAAACTTGCTGTCCCATTATATTGATAAATTCATTACAAATATTTGCAGACAAATATGATGTACTTCCTTTTCCACGATTGCCGCAGTTCCGCATATGATCAGCAAGAAAAGAATCAAATTCACCAATCGGTCCTAAGCATCCTAAATAATTTCCATTGTTTTGAGACCCCAAAATCTCATTATCACCACGAAAAGCAAGACCTATAGAAGCCAAAAATTTCACTACTGCAACTATTCTTCTAAGTACATTCTTCCAATAATTGACTTCTGTATTATATTGGGATAGTAACTCACTGTCAAGTCGTCCAGTAGATTTGCTTCTTGCGACATAATTCATCATTAATTGCCTGTGCTGTAAACTAGTCTCATGCTTCCAATCTTTATATCCATTTGGAGAACTCAAAGTACATCCAGTACCTTTACTAGTATTAAATAGACGGCAGCAGTAACAGTACACAGATTTTCTCAAAGGTGAATAAAGGAGCCATTTTCTTTCTAACGACTCGCCATTCGTAAATTTACGGGTAAAAATATTTAGACAAATATCTAGTTTTTGTTTTACCGCTTGAATCTGGCAAACGTGTAGAAGTTTCGGTAAAGTCTCAATTTTTGTTTTGAAAAAATAATGGCCTTTATTTAATTTACGTTAATAATTTAAAAATACATTTATCATTGATTTAACTATTTTTGGTGTTTAAATATTCAAAATTTGTTTTCTGTTACTATAACTTTATTGACTTTACTGAGTTCAAATATTAAAAAAAAATTATGACTAGAGTAGTTAGTAAAATGCTAGTATAGAAAACCTCAACTATTGACGTGATTTTATTAGTCCATCTTATTCTCGCTAATGCAGGGGCCTCACGCATGCAGGGGCTTCGCGCACTCGCGACCCCAGTAGATAAATATGTTTATTTGAATTTCGCGCTTTACGCATCGCATTCTAAAACTCACGTTCACGCTTCTCGCGCTCTTTTGCGTGGTACTTCAATATTAAGGTGTTTACGATTTACGTTCAGGGATTCCCCGTGTTTAATTTCGCCTGTAACATTGTAGAAACTGTCGTCGGCATATGCTTTTATGTGCGAGCAGCAGTATGTGTTGCGATGCAATTTTTTTGTTTAATGTATGATCATTAAAACTAATTCCCGGGGCCCCGCAATGGCTAAGGCCGTTACTGATCATTGGCTTGTCAGTGCTTCGAGTTGCCATAAAGTTGCTAAAAAGGCCCATTTACTTTTTTTTCGGATAATATCGATATGAATTTGAAAAAAAAATTAGATAAGCGAATATTTAACGTGCTATGTATTTGCTTTTTGGAGGCCCCTTGACGATGGAGGCCCTGGGCACGGGCCCCGTGTGCCCTTATGGTAAAGACGGTACTGCAGATTCATGAGACGTTAAAGGTAGATAAGTCATACATTCCTGTGAATAGTGGTGGCCGGTGGGCTAAGTGACAATATTAACATATATTTTCTATTTTCTGTATGCAAAGTTGTTTTGTATGAAAAACCTACCCTGTTTTGTATGCTTGACTAATAAACAATTAATTTTGCAAAATCTTGATTTTTTATTATTTTTGAAATTTACATAGTATAAAGTACAGACTTAACCCATTAGAAGTCACTGTACTCAATTGAGTACAGCCTTTTTTTTTGAATTTCAATTCAACACTTGTAAAATTAAAGGGGCCTACTTTGTTATTTTATTTTATTATAATACTGTTCACGTATATTGAAAAGTATTACGCTGGTAGTGTGATTATTCTTGCCAAAAAGTGTCAGTTGAAGTCATTGAGTTAAAACAACACTAGAGAAGCAAACCTCATTATCACACGTCGAAAAAAGTGTAACCACTTTTGAACTTTGACGACGTAGCTTTGATACCACTAAACATTTGAAAGTAAACATATTTATGTCTCATTTACACGCGAGACAAGAACAATACCATCGCTCGGATTAGACAAAGACAAAGATATAACTTTACGATGGTGGGCCAGTGTTGACTACCGTATGAAATTTTACCCATAACAACTAAGAAACAATTTTGTAATAAAATAAATTAATTTAAATATTCTAAATAATATATTTCGAATTAAATAGAATAGGTATAAATAATAAAATAACTGGAAATATTTGGTTAAAAGGGTTTATATTCAGTGTAAAATCAAACTGCGCTGTGAAGCATCAGTTTTGTATACAATTGTCTTTTAGACTCTTTTTTATAAGTTTGTGTGGATATTTTACATTCATGATACACTCTTATTTTTACGTATGTAAAAATAATAGCAATAATAAAAGTGAATGATCAATTTGTACTGATAATAAATAATCCCCAGGGTGTATTGCAAATTCTATTATAATTTAAAAAACAAATAAAAAAAAAAAAAAAAATTTTATAAAAAAAAATATTTATGTTTATTTACTTTTTTATTTTATATTTTTATTTTTATGATAAACATTTATTATTATTCTCTTTATTAAATTTTATATAAACATATTAATTACATTTTTAAATATATTACAAAAGAAATAAAAATACATTTAAAAATATAAAAAATAGTAGACCACCGACATCGGGTACAGGTACCAGGACACCAGTGGGTAGGACTGCAAAGATAGGAACCTCCTCACTATACGAGCCGTGTCAAGGAGGACTGCCTTCTGTATCTTATTATTATTATTATTTTGTACAATTATTATTTAAAATTGATAATAAATTAAGAAAAACAATGAATTAATTTTTTTGTACAAAAGTCAGTCAGGTATTGTTCTTGTCTCGCGTGTAAATGAGACATAAATATGTTTACTTTCAAATGTTTAGTGGTATCAAAGCTACGTCGTCAAAGTTCAAAAGTGGTTACGCTTTTTTCGACGTGTTTTTTTTCAACGTTCAACGGGTCCCTAAAAAAAGGGATAGGTCCAGCCCTAACAACTACCGTTCTTCCTATATTTTATTATGATTGTAAAAATGTTTAAAAACAGTATAAAGCATATTATTTCATAAATTATAAATTCTCCCACTAATGTGGGAAAACCAAAATGATTTTTTAATGGTAACACTGATTCTAAATTACAATTATCAGTGTTTTATTTCAATTATAGCCTTATTTACGATATTATCAATACAAAAACCATAAACTTACACGTGAAAAGTAATTCCGCATGATTTATTAATGTTTTGTGACCTTGAATCGCATTCTTTCACTACGCATTTAGCCATTTTGGCGATTGTTACTGTCATGTGTCGCTATGTTCAACTCGGTTGACGCCACATTGAATAATGAATTGACGTTTGCTACGCATATGCCTGTGGACATATGTGCAGTAGCAACGATTTTAGGCGGTAATTACTCATCTATGTAAGTATTATATCAATGGTTGAAGTAGTGTCACCGAAACACTGGGGAGGTAAGTAAATGATATGAGATTTTTTAAAGTTATTTCTGTTTATAAGTTATTTTTTTTATTTCATTAGTATAAAATAAATGTCAGAGTAAGTTATAATAAACAATACAATCAATGATTCATTACTAAAAACTACAGTCATATAATGTTGCTGTACTCGACCCCTGAAATTTTATGAAATATATTTTTTTTCCATTTTTTTTCTTTCGTTTTGTGTTTCTGTGTACTTATTTGAATATAAAAGTAAAGATAATTTAAAAAAAACATCGGTACATTTCATTTGACCTTTAATGGGTTAAGATAGTCGGGCAGAATATATATAATGGCATATTTAAAAAATATAAAGTGTACTAAAAGTATTATTAATGTTGTTGTACCTAACTTAAAATAAACAGATTATATTTGTACATGAACTTAGTATCTGGGTTCTTGACTGAACATTTAAATACGATTAGAATACGACGATAAGATTGATCGGAAAAAATTTACGGATAGATTCACTTAGCAATAACAGCTATAATAATAATATAATAACTTATGTATAGGTTTTTGAAAGAAAAAAATATTTATGTTTCTATGATACTTTTACTGTGACAATTATTATATTGTATAAATAAAGTGTTATCTACCTGCTATCTACTTTACATACCACAAATTTCAATGAAATAATCTTGTTTTTGTTTTCATTGAATAATGAAGTGTGTTCAAATAATATTATTTTCTTTAATTGATATATTTTTTAACACAGAAGAATACTCGCTAGCTTAGTTTTTGAACGATCTCTCAATTTAGGCAACATCAAGAAAATAAAATCATCTGACTTTTATGTCAAAAGAGGGTAAACAGTTAAGAATTTCAAAGCGAATACTTGTATTCTTGTCGGCATTAAATATTTATATTAACCAGACAACATGTGCAACGACTTTGATTCTATGTTCAAACCAATCGTCTTAGTGACTGGTTTCGGCCCCTATATTGGTCACCCGGTAAACGCCAGCTGGGAAGCTGTGAAAATTATGAATAAAGATGAAATTGAGACGAAACATAATGTAGAACTGGTACTGCTTGAAATACCAGTCACTTACGAAAATGTGGATGAATTCGTGCCCGCGCTATGGGAAACGCACACCCCTAAAGTAAGTTTTTATCCATTTTTCTTAAGATTAAAAATGTTAATTGAATTATTCAAAATCAATTTCAGGTTCCAAATTTGAATACACCAAGTTAAATCGGCACAGGCATATCATAGATTTTGTATGGGTTTAATTTTTGTTAAATTTATTTGCTTACTATTTGACAAAACAGAGATTGTTGCTTTTGTGTGAGTTGATCTATGACTTAAGAGTCTACGTAAAAGACGATTCCAAACAATTAATTTTTTTTTATGAAATAAAGAGAGTTTGAGTTGAGTTGAATTAAAGTTAGCTTCCTTTAGTATCCGTCATAGACTGTAAATAAATTATATTATGTATCTACATGTAAATATTAAAACATGCAAAATATTTATTCTTCTTCTTCTTATGACGTTCTTCTTGTTCTTACTCTTTTCCTAATTAATTATGAGTTGGCACAATGAGTTTTCTCCTACCATTTTTTCTCTGTTCATCCACTACTATTATCGTCTGTCAAGTTTCATACATGTACTTGTGACTGCTCAGTTGCTGTCATTGATGGGTATTGGTAGTCACTTGCCGTCAGGTGACTCTTCTGCTCATTTGCCACTTATATCACAAACAAAGTACATAAAACTTTTCACCACACCACATTTTGCTCATCTCTCCGCATCACATGTCCATACCAGGATACAGCTATACTGTAGTGGCTACCATGATAATCTGTTAAGGTAATGTGTTATTCATAATTGCCCATAAATTATAAAAACAATGTTTAGCAGAATAACAATAAATCTTAATAAAAAAACAGAGACAGCTTAGCTACACCATATATTTATTAACACATGAGCAAGTTGACAGATTTTTATGATGTTGAATTGTTAAGAGTTGTCTCTGCCCTGAATAGCAAAGCAACTGTTAAAATATCTGAAAAATTATGAAGAAATTTGTTTTTGTTCTGCATCGTGTATGAAACGTAGCATAGACAAAGAGCTGAGCTGTGACTAAAACTGCAGTCAGTTACTAATGTTCAGATATTACCGCTGATTCAGAAATTAATAACTACTCTGATCAGCAGTTAATCCTGATTTATTCTATATAAATCTCTCTATCAGTCTCCCAAGAATGATTTGAAAAAAATGAATGAGAATGATTTAAAAATAAATTGTTTTGGATTGATTTTATGGAATAGTGGAGCAAACGTGTGAGTTCCCTTCTCCCAGAATTAAGGGGAGGGAGGTTGGTCTCTGATTACCTCCCACAATGCAGTGAAAAGCAACAAAAATTGTTTAGCAGTAGACATTTGGTGAGGGTATTGACTTCCACTTATAGAGATAAAAGCACAGTACAATGCTAGTGGCAGTACAAAGATAAAGCATTTCAAATATCAATAATAGATAAAATACTCGAAAAATTCACTTTATCTATGCATCAATCAATGTAAAACTTTTGCAAGTAATAAAAACTAGATATTTTTCACTAATTCAAATAAAGAACTTTTTGTTGACTGGGTGTAAAATCGTATCTCCGGATCTCCGGCTCCAGTCTCGGGGACGGAGCCGGAGACTCCGATGGCCGGACTCAGGCGGCCTACTGCGAGGAGTACCCGGACCATGTTATTTCAGGTCCCCCGGGTCGACGCCGCGGTAAAGCTCTATCCCGGAGAAACCGCGGGCTTCCCCCTGCCTATCGGCCCATTCATTAATTGTTGCGACCAGATCCCATTTCTGCGACCAGGCCGCAGGCAGATTAACTGCTGCTCCGGCTCCTATCGCCTACAGCAGCAGTTAATCTGCCACGAGAGGTCTCCACTCTCTGGCAGCCTGCGGCCCCGTCGTCCGATTTGATGACGCGGCCTCTCCCACCTACACAAGCTTCGAGGTCAGGCAGAACGGTGGCGACAGCGCGTTGGTGCGCATGCCGCGGCTATACCAGCTGCGCGCGCCACTGCACCAGTGCCTGTCAGAAAGAAGTGATACCTAATATAGGTAGTGATTTTTAGGGTTCATTTTCTCAAAAGAAAAATTATATCATCCAATTATCCGTGTGGTATCCAATATACCACCCCTATTCATTCATCCCGCGGATGTTGTAAGCCGACTAAGGGAGTAAACAACGCAGGACGACAACACTGCAAAGAGAAGGAAAACTTGAAACAAACCTTACCAACTCGTCTAGCCAGCATGTTTTTATTTTCTTACTTTGTTCTGTCTAACTCTGTTGTCCATTTGTCTGTCAATAAAGAAACTCTTCGATAATGCTTGAAGGCATCATGTTTAAATTAATATGAAAAACATACTAAGTGTCTGTATATTTCGGTACAGTACTTTAACTTAAGGTATATTAACAGATAGGCACATTCGTTCGTCGTTTTTTCGATTACAACCTAATATTTTGCTTCAAAAATTAGATTTGACATACATCAATATATCGGAAAGAATTTTCAAAGCTGCAAACGTTAATTGTCGGCAAAGACGGGCTAACATTATCAAAGATCGATTCCCGCCATGCTCAGACTGTCTCAGACTGTACATACAAGTTTGTTCACTGACCCCCCTTTTTTTTTCTGTGCGGAAATCCCCTCGGATACCACTTACCCGTGGCAATGTCGGATTCGAACCGACTAAAACCGCACGCCGTCTCAGGTACCAGTAGTCGGGGAACCAGGTGTACCCTAGAAAGGAAATCCCTGGTGCCCCGACGTACCTCGGGCCATCTACGGCGGGTAGACGACCCCCCCCCCTGTGTGGGAACCCCTCACTGAACCCCCTGAGCGCGAAGCAGACTCGCACTTGTCGAGTTTTCTTTCTGTATCTTTATTCACATTTTTTGTGTGTACCTTTTTTACAGTTGATGATACATGTAGGAGTATCAGGTCAAGCTACCTGTTTTGACCTGGAGTCACAAGCTCATCGGAAAGGGTACAACAAATTCGACTATTTCAATAAGTGCCCTGCTGATAATGTCTGCACTGCTGAAGGAGCCATCAGGATCCATAGCAAGTTGGACGTGGAACGGATTAGCAAAGAGTTTAATGGAAGTGAGCCTGATAGCAAAATAACGACCCAGGTGTCCAAGGATGCTGGCAGGTATTTTATTTAGTAATATTCAAAACATACTTTAATGAGGTCTGTGTGGTGACGTATTAAGAATACGGAGTGTCAGCCGACTAAGAGAGCAAACTATGCAGGACAATAGCACTGCAAGGAGAAGGAAAACTTTACTCAAACCCGATAAAAACCCGTCTGGCCAGCGTGGTACAGTAGGCCAAAACTTCCTTTCTAAGGAGAGGCCTATGTCCAGCAGTGGATTATTAAAGGCTGTTGATTTTTAATAAAAATGCACGAAGAAAGTCTAAAGAAAATAAATGAGCTTAATCTGGAAGAGATTTTTTTTTGTATAAGGCGGCAAACCAGCAGACGGATCACTGATGGTAAGTGAATACCGCCACCTATAGACACTACACATGGAAGTTATTGCTACTTCTAAATCATATTCTGATAAATGATTGATTTTAGTCACAGTGATTACACATGTAATTGTGATCTCGACATAGGCAAAGATAAATGGTATCAAAATCAATCAAAATTCTTTTTATCAAAGATTACAACCTTTTTTTTGGACCTTTCGCGCATCTTGCCGCTAGCTTAATAGTAATAATTAAGTAGCAGTGTTTTGGTAAATCAGTCTCATGTGTAATGATATGATTTATCACATGTGATTGCGATTTTATTCCATCCCTAATAAACATTTGCAACTCAAGAGTCACAACTCCGTTGGGGACCTTTGAACCTAACCCCAAAGGAGGGGGTGGCAAGGGGGGCCCTTGCCACCCCTCTCCATCCAAGGGGCTAAGATAGTATAATCTATACTAATATTGTAAAGCTGAAGAGTTTGTTTGTTTGTTTGAACGCGCTAATCTCAGGAACTACTGGTCCGATTAGAAAAATTCTTTCAGTGTTAGATAGCCCATTTATCGAGGAAGGCTATAGGCTATATATCATCACGCTAAGACCAATACGAGCGGAGCACCAATGAGGAATGTTTCAAAAATGGAGAAAATTTATTACTATTGAGAGACGCAGACGAAGTTGCGCGGGTCAGCTAGTATACAATGTATTTTCAACATAAAGATAAATACGATAAGCTTGAAGTTGATGAATACTACAAGGTACTTACGGTAATGTCACATGACATCACTATTGATAATATGAGACTGAACAGATGGCGCAGTGGTTTAAGTGGTCGCCACGCCGCTTCCTAGTGCGCCGAGTGTTGTGGGTTCAAACCCCACATGGGACGACACTTTGTGTGATCCACAAATTGTTGTTCTGAGTCTGGGTGTTCTTTGTGTCCGTTTCATGTATGTTTGTAAAGTCCCCCGCGACACAGGATAAATTCCAAATTCCAAATGTCTGTTTAAAAAAAAAAAAAAAATTAGTTGACGAGTAACGAAAACCTAAAGGAAAATAGTGATAATAATAATATTATATCTTCATCATCATTAGAAAGCAGGTTTTGGTCTAATATGCCAAGGTGATCAGACGGGTTGGTATAGGGTTTCTTTGAGTTTTGTGTTTATAATATTACATAATAAAAATAAAATGGACGCCTAAACCATAAAGTCAATTAAGGATCTTACATTTATTCATTATCCTACGGCGAAGTAAAAATGTAATTACACTTTATGACTCGCGTTTGTGACTCCTGAGTTGCGGACGTTCATGGGCGGCGATAGTCACTTTCCATCAGGTGACCCGTCTGCTCGTCTGCCCCCTCTAACATAAAAAAAAACCCTTCTACTGAAGCCCTTATACATTTTCTTAATTTTTAATGGTTTATGAAATACTTTTTTTAAAGTTTGTCCGTTACCTGGTTTTTTAATATCTAATAGAATTAGAGACATGCCACTGAAGACGGATTTCCCTCTAGAAGTATATAATGTAACTAGGTAAGGATTTATGTATGTGTATGTATTTGGTACATATGTATGTATGTATATATATCTCATTGTTTCTGTCTAACTTCTAAATAATTTTCTTTTATTATATCAGTGTCTAGTGCTCCTATTTATACATGTCAGCACCACCCTAAGGTGGACTGGGCTAAAATGCCTGTGGCACTAAGGCCACCATTGTACAACTCGTATTTGGAAATAAAGAATTAAACAAAAAATAGAAAAATATATATAATACTTATACGTTGACTGCACGGTTTGTGGTTTAAACTGTCACCTCGCTGCTTCCTACTGCGCTGTGTGTTGTGGGTTCGATCCCTACATGGGACAACACTTTGTGATCCACCAATTGTTGTTCTGAGTCTGGGTGTTCTTTGTGTCCGTTTCATGTATGTTTGTAAAGTATTTTGCTACACAGGATATATTCTTAATGAAGTTGTCTTTTTAAAAAATAGGAAAATAAAAATACCTATGCGTTTATTCCAGGACTGCATTGAAAGGTTAACTTGTTATATCATTACGAGACTCTTCCGACATCGACAGCCTTAACTAGTCCACTGCTGGACATAGGCCTCTCCTTAGAAAGGAGGTTTTGGCCTACTACACCACGCTGGCCAGACGGGTTGGTATAGGGTTTGTGTCAAGTTTTCCTTCTCTCTGCAGTGCTGTTGTCCTGCGTAGTTTACTCCCTTAGTCGCCTTTTACGACACCCACGGGATGAATAGGGGTGGTGACACTCTGTATTCTTAATCCGTCACCACACGGACAAAGAGAGACTCTTTAACAGTACAAAAACAATTGATTCCAGGTACCTTTGCGAATATATCTACTACACATCGCTAAGCATAGACAACACCCGCACCCTGTTCGTACACGTGCCAGTTAAAGAAATCTACTCCTCAGAGGAAACCGCCCGAGGTCTGGAGCGCATCCTAGACCTCTGCCTACAGCAGATTGATGAGAGGGAGAAGGTGGCCAAGATCGCTGACAAGTTAAAAAATGCGGAACTATCAGATGATGCTTAAAATAAGATCAAATAAGGGAGTTTTATATTTAAGAATATGAATGTTGGAAAAACATTTTCTACCAGCTGCAACAGTAAGTGCGTAAGCAGAATAAAAGCTCGCCATATACACACATATATCATAAATACATACCGTACATGATATTTGTACACTTTACCTGTTTATGTGTGTATATACACACACATCATCATCATCAGCCTATCGCAGTACACTGCTGGACATAGGCCCCTCCCGATAAGATCGATTTTGGGCTTCTCGCATCCAGCTCCTGCCAGCCATCTTGCGCAAATCGTCACTCCACCTGGCCTGTAGGCGTCCTACACTACGTTTGCCGAGACGCGGTCTCCACTCAAGAACGGTTGTTCAGTTCTGCGGCTAATATGGCCAGCCCACTGCCACTATGTCGGTGACCTTGGTTCTCTGCCGGTTCATCTCATTCCTGATGCGATCCCTTAGAGAAACGCCCGAGCATAGCCCTTCCCGTAGCACGTATACACATATATATAACATATTATGTTCTTATATACATTATTTACTGTATAACACATAACGCGCCATTTAAAATTACGTTATACGTTAACGGGGTGAGACACTGTTACATTGTGTGACAAGAGATGGGAGTGTAGTTATAGTTATTTGACGAAGTTTTGTGACGTAAAAACTTAATAATTAAGTATTAAATTGCAATTATCGATATTTCTTTCAAATTAAGTTTTAATAAAATGATTGACCATATAAATTATTAATCAATTTTGGAACTGCTGTTTTATTTTAATAAAATCTAGATATAAATTATTGCAAACTTTGTGAGGTTACACTAGGGAGGGGGGAATTCTGTCAAGTGTGACCAGCCGTACGGATGGAAGTGGGATTAAAGAAAACATGAAATTCGTATGACGTAATTTATAGATGGCTCCTAACTATGCACATACATAATTATAATATACATATAGCTTAAACATATATACCCAAGATGGTTCCTCTTAGCAAAACTAAATATGTGTCGGTGGGTCCCTTGTTAATTTACTACCTCAGTATGATTTAACAGTAAAAATAAAAGGAAAAAACTTAATTAAAATACAGTTAAAACATTATTTCATGTCATCCGCTATAAAATCTTTATTCAAATTTCTTTTCATGTAATAAAAGTGTATTTTTACCTCGGACTACCAACCTGTTATGTGTACACGTTACAAGTTCCGATAACTTGAAGATAATCATCCGTTGTATAGAGACTGCGTTGACGGTTTAGGGTACATTCAATATTCGCGACGTTTGAATCGTTCGCGAGCAAGTTATGCCCCGATTTACCATTCATTCGTTCACTTCAAATTTATTTTACAACACAGATTCAAACGACAATACCTTAGATATTGTAAAATAGAATAATTTTAACAAGGAATCAAGTAATGTTAGTCTTTTAAAATAAAGAACCAACTTGCATGGTGCATTGTTACTTTTAAAAAAGAAAAAATTACAAACTTTTAGATGGTCCAGTTACCAAGGCTCATGAATCTTGTTAGTTTATTGAACTATTGGTTTAATGTGGGCTGATAAACTTGTCATGAAAATGTTTTTGTTCTGCCAAAGTTGTCGGATCATTTTGATTCTTACAGTCCCTGACCATCAGGTCACCCCTCCCCCCAAGGGAAGACTAGTAGGTACCTAGCTATTGTTATTAAGTTCAAAGAAATTAGTTATTAGATATATGAAGGTAGTTTTAAAATTCGTTTAAGTAGATTTATACTTATATAAATTGTTTATTATGTTAGATGGTTGTTGATTAATGAAATATCGATGAATATTAATTTAAGAGACAAATTCAATATACTTGTAAATTATAGAAAATTACTTTTATTTGTAAAAAAATCCCTAGATCTTTTTTATCTGCTGGTCATGATCAGAGCTGGTGGTAAACCAGCAGAAACACCACCATCATCTCAGGCACTTGGGCAAAACAGGCACTTTATTTTCACTATTGCTTACTAGCCTGTAGAGTAGTGAGAAAGTTTGATTAGTCCCAATAGCCTGTAGTGTAGGTGTTAACGCTTTAACTAATTTAAATAACCGCGCCATTCCGCACTTGAACGTGATTGGCTGAATGTCAAGGTGACGTAAAGGTGCGTACGGATAGCGCGTTCCTGTGTTACGCGTAGTTGGGAGACACTGTCCACGCGTACATTGGATACGCGTACAGCTCCTGTACGGACCGCCGCGAACCTGTACGCGAGGTCAATCGATCCAGAGCGCTCCGCGAGCCCCAGTCATACGCCATGACGCCGACAAACTTAGCGATTGCGTGCACCACCACTGCTGCAGCATTACTCATTATTCAACACATTTTAAATAAAGAAAAGAGAAACAAACGGAAACCTAGATGGTGGATGAAAAAATTGTATCGTGAAAGATTACAGTGTGGAAATAGGCTTATGGAAGATTTAAATTATGAAGAAAGTGGGGACAAAAATTTGCTATCCCACAAGACCCGGTGAAATTCATAAAGTTGAATCAATCTGATGATATTTTCATTATTGAAACTCGAAGAACATGCGTTTTTATTCATTTTGCCGTCCAAATATAGCGTACCCGGTCGTGTGCGTTCTCTTTGACGCGCGACCAAAAACCGACTGACAGCGGCTCGCGCTGCGAGCTAGCTCGCGCAGTACGCGTTCCCCAAGAGTGTACGCGTAGCTGCAAGTATGGACATGACGTTCCGGACACGCGTAAACTGACTACGCGTACCAGTGTACGCGCTATCCGTACGCACCTTAACAAAGACGGTTCGAGAAGCGTTCCCCTTTATTGACAGAGAACAAAAACGAACATGTAAGACCGGCGACCTAAAACTATTTTCTTGTATTATTACTGTAATTACTGTGTAAAAGTAAAAATAAATGTATAGCAACCAAAGGGCACATAGTTTAATTGAACAACAAGGCATCGTCGGCAACAGTAGGGCTTACATTCCGACTGACCAATAAAATTCGCAAAATGTTATGATACTATACTTAGGGCCGATTTTTCAATCCTCAGTTATACAGTCAGACAACCAACTTGATTAGTTAAGAATGATAGTTGCTGTAGCTGTAATAGAGGTAGTGGGTGGCGTTTTCGTTAGTGGTTTTCTGGTGGTTTTAGATGTTGAATCTGGTGGAGTTCATTTAACTGTTGGCAACACAGTTTATTTACAGTTTGACCCACTCATTTAGACACACTATTACCAACGTCATACACTAATATTTGAAACTATTTTTTTTTTCTACATACATAGGATAAAAAAGTGCCAAGAAAAGTTTTCCGTGAATAATTTCCCAATGTGACACATGCGTAGCCCTGCTGACGAGACTGGCCCCAGAAGGGCTATTGGCTAGCTGTGACAAATTAGTGACTAAAATTTGGTTTGGACGGGTTTTCCTCCACACAGTATAGTGGCCAGCGGCGAGGAGACATCCGCGTCTGCCGTACCTACATCGCCTAAATCAAGAATTCACCCGGTAGTGCCCGCGCTATCGCGGGCAAGTTCTTAACAGCAGCTACCGGACCCCTTTAGGATTTAAGGCACAGAGTGGAACACCCTGCCGCAAACATGTGCGTTACCCCAGCAAAATAATGTCGAAAATGGTCATTTAAACGTTATAGATAATTAGTTGCCCCCCTTCTGTAATTGTTAAGCACATTTTTAAATTTGTTTCTCTTATATTTTTTTTGTTATTTCAAAAAAACATTTCCTGCTGGGGTAACGTTTGAAACGTTACCGCAGCCAGACATTTCCTTTTTTAATTGTAATTTTGAAATAAATTTTAGCTAAATAATTAGTTATCTGGACTAGGTAAATGTTACAACTTATTTGGTATTTGTATTTTCTTCGGCTGCGAAGTTATTCGAAATCCTGCTGGAGTAACGTTTGTGGGTTTGCTGGATCTCTGAAACGGGTAAGCGGATTGTAACTATCTTTTGTACATAACTTCTTAAGGATTACTTTTAATTTGTTCGACAATAAAATAACAAAAAAAATGGACCGTTTAAAAATTATTTAGGTAAGTATGAAAACACTTCAATACGTCCTAACACCTTGAATAAGACCTCTAAAGACTTACTGTAAACGTTATTCTATTGCTTGTAACTGCCTTCAAATGTATACGAATTTTCGTTAGTATACTGTTAGTGACTAAAAAGTTATGATGAAATGTAGCTCTCCACGTTCACGATCACAATGTGTGCGGCCTTTTTTGGCCACCGATAAACCTGTCTGTGGATATATAAACTCAATGTTATACCAATAATTAGTTGTTTAGTTCAGTTGTCTACCTGTAAAATTTCAGCGTCGTACATATAATAATTTACGAGATAATTAAATAAAAGTCATTAGAAGGTGCAAGACCGTGGTAACCCGACCATGTTTAGGTGGTTACAAAAAAGCGATCACCCAGTACATTGCGCTGTCTTTTAAAATGTTTAGTGTAATATACCTTACGATTTCGGTACAGTTGCGTACAGTGTTAAATACATTCAATATTTATTCATTATTATTACCTATTATTTAGTTTGTTTTTTTCCCTAATTGATCTTAAGCACTAGTTTCTTTACTTAAAATTTATTTAGTCTTTTTTACTACCGGAGCTACAATCAACAGAAAATCTGCACTGGTCCGCTAAAATTATAAATATGTAGATACATGTATGAACGATTCACCTGACTGCAATAAAACGAAAATTTAAACCAATAAGAAATCGTTTCATTTCTTTGATTTTTTTTGTAAAGAAATAACACTAAAGTAATTGTATTTTATTTTGGGGTGTAAAGAGCTTAGACTTGAATGCATCAAAATATTTAAAGCAACAAGTCATCTGCAATAAGTTAAAATAGACCGAATAGTAGAAGAATACAGTTGTAAATTAGAATGCATCAACATTGCATCGCCCAACAGTCGTATACCTCGTAAGAGTAGGTAATATTGTTCTGTGGTCTATACCTAGAACCGAGAATTATCTATACCTATGTACCTACCGTTAAGCGTTGAGCCCGTTACTGTTGATTTCTGTTAAAAACGAACAGTTGTTGAATGATATTTTGATATAATAACGGTAATTTAATTTATCGAGTGAAAGTGATACATTTTTATAGATAAAATTATTGGTCAGATAATATTTGTCAATCAAGAATCGCTGATAATACATCCTTCGCTAGGACGCGGGAGGGGAGGGGCGAAGGGATACTTCATTGTTTGCAATTTGCATCTAGTGCACTAAACTTGACCCTTAGACAGATAATATACGTGTTGTAAAGTACGTGTGCGCTTCCGCTTTCTATTTTTGCAAATATTTATCGTATTCTTGAGAGTTCTTCAATATGTGTGTACCTAATTACTAATAATAGGCATTAATGCTAATTCGATTCAATTTAAGTAATTGTCAATTCTTGTCTTAGGATATTAATTACTAATGCTAATATTGAAATTTCGATCAGGGTGAACAAATTAAAAACGATCATAACTTTTAGGTAGGTATATCACTTATTACTAATTTTACATAAATAATTTATTTTATTATAATTTAACTCACCGCGATTTTGTGATCAAATATTTTATTTTCTCCAACAATATTACAGAAATAATGCAATACAGAGTTGGTTCGCGATATGCTAGCCTAAGTCGATTCATCACTTAAAAAAATCCCCATCTATTCACAAAATATCTATTTACAACGCATACGTTACTCTTCAAAACTTATCATTTCATTTCATATTTCTTAAATTACCTATACCTACCCCAAAATTAAACTTCAATTAACAAATACTACGCAGGTACCAATTCTATGAACAACTATAAACAATTCACCTAAACATTACGAGAAAACAAAAGCATTCAAAACAATACCTAATCTCCCGGCTGATTACTAATTATGCAATAAACAATCCTAAATAAAAAATATTTAAAAAACATGTAGTTTTTTGTAACACTTATGTACATATCCGTAGTAAACTTGCAAATAATATCCTACATATTTTAAAAGCCAGCACAATGTACTGGGTGATCGCTTTTTTGTAACCACCTAAACATGGTCGGATTACCACGGACTTGCACCTTCTAATGACTTTTATTTAATTATCTCGTAAATTATTATATGTACGACGCTGAAATTCTACAGGTAGACAACTGAACTAAAGAACTAATTATTGGAATAACATTCAGTTTATATATCCACACACAGGTTTATGGGTGGCCAAAAAAGGCCGCACACATTGTGATCGTGAACGTGGAGAGCTACATTTCATAATAACTTTTTAGTCACTTACAGTATTCTTACGAAAATTCGTATACATTTGAAGGTAGTTACAAGCAATAGAATAACGTTTCAAGTAAGTCTTTAGAGGTCTTATTTAAAGTGTTAGGACGTATTGAAGTGTTTTCATACTTACCTAAATAATTTTTAAACGGTCCATTATTTTTGTTATTTTATTATCGAACAAATTAAAACTAATCCTTAAGAAGTTATGTACAAAAGATGGTTACAATCCGCTTACCCGTTTCAGAGATCCAGCAAACCCACAAACGTTACTCCAGCAGGATTTCGAATAACTTCGCAACCGAAGAAAATACAAATACCAAATAAGTTGTAACATTTACCTAGTCCAGATAACTAATTATTTAGCTAAAATTTATTTCAATATTACAATTAAAAAAGAAAATGTCTGGCTGCGGTAACGTTTCAAACGTTACTCCAGCAGGAAATGTTTTTTTGAAATAACTAAAAAAGTTTAAGTGAAACAAATTTAAAAATGTGCTTAACAATTACAGAAGGGGAGCAACTAATTATCTATAAAGTTTAAATGACCATTTTCGACATTATTTTGCTGGGGTAACGCACACGCCGCAAACTCCAGTGGAGTGACGGCCCGAAGATTATTATTTTTGATTATTTTTTTGACAATTTGAGTTTCATTTCGCGCTTTAGACCTTATGCTCCTAAAGGTTCGATAGATTGCTCATTACAAGAATGCTGATGTCTATCAGCACTTTTAGACTATATCTAACAACACGCTACGACCCTCCAGCAGCAGGGATGAAGTGAAATTGATTACATCCATGAGCATTTCACATTGTTTTTCAGTTTGTACTCTATAGGACTTGTATGAATAGCAAAAATAAAAATACAATAAATAGATCCTAAACAGTGTGTTTATTGGTCTAATCTTCCTCCTCATCAGCTGCGGCGCCGCCACTCTGTCCCTTGCGGATGTTCTTCCTCTTGACACGGCCAGGCCTGCCGCCACCGAATGGTGACTTCAGGGAGAAGTCGATGTGCTTGCCAGAGTCCAGACGGACGATGAAGGATGGGATGTTCACGACTTGCTTACGGACGCTGTTAACAACAATTTTGGATTAGTTTAGAATCACAAGTTTAGGTGATTTTTAAATGTATATCTTTGTTTTACTTCAGCACTTACTCAATGTCACAAATATATTAAAATGAATATCAGTGAAGACATCGCACCTTTAATAATAAACTGAATTAATTCAAAATTTACGTTTTTCGAGTTTTCAACAAATACCAAATCAACTTCATCAGTAGAACACGAACAATCCAACAGCCGACTCGATACCATGAAAATGACAGAAATAAGAGATCGTCGTTCTCTTTTTGACGAACTCGCACGTACATGTCGGTACCGGTAAAGTGAGCGAGTTCAGTAATGAGCCGGGGCTGTGCCATTCAAAACCTCAACGTTTCATAAAAAAAGGGGAATAAACCAAAATAATTTGTTATTTTAGTATCAGGTAATTTTTTAATATGTTTTATTTTATTTAAAAACTGCATCAATTTAAATTTATTTCATTTTATTAGAAAAGTAAATGTATTTTTATAGAAAACATTGTGACTTAATTCAGTTTTGTATAATTATATCGTATCAATTATCGCGTCATTTTGAATTAATGCAGTTCAGTATTAAAATATTAAAACAAAACTTTAATAATTAAGTTTTGTTTCAGTATTGTAGTATAAATTAACAGAAAATTAGTTACTTTAATATATATTTCTGTTTAATATTAAATATATTAGATACAAGTTACGTATTGTTTGTAGTTATTTCACTGTTTTAGTAAAATTATGAATGGAATATCGGCTTTCAAGAATTACTTTGGTTTTAGAATGTCGTCTTCGCGAGCTCGAAAGATTTTAGAATTGATTGTAGAAAACACCACAAAAAATAATAAAAATACTCGAGAGTGTAATTTAATTGAAAACTACAACAATCAAAGTAGTATTAAGGATTCCGATCATGAGGTTAGTAATTTTATCATTAAGTAGAATTGCATTTATTTCTTTTTTTTTATTAATTGCTTTGTTGACTTTTTGGGTTAAGTAAGTAGAAATAAATTTAAACAAACAACTAAACTACATTAATTTAATAATCCAACGAATGCCATTTAACACCTCATAATGTAATAATTTCAGAAATCACACCTTGAAAACAGTCAACCTGATAAAAGTCTGGTCCCTTATTATGATAGACATAACTATATCTGATAAGGAAGGCAATACTATCTAGCTCATCATCATTCGACTCATCTTCATCAAGTTCGACTAATTCTCATTCACCTGCTACTAGACCTCATGTTATTATTGATGAAACAGATTATGATGACGTTGTAGAAAACTTGACAAGACATTGACTTGAGTGATACTGATCCCACATACGTGAATATCGAACTTACAAAAAAAAGGAACTATTTTTTTCTGCCAATCGAACTCCTCTTCTACCTGTTCTTCAGATTCAAAACTGGCTACAAGATCTACCCTGAAAACAGGCCACAAACGCACCAAAATTCCAACTCAATGGAAACAGAACAAACTTAAACGTATTTTATTAAATAAGGGCAAATCGTACGTATCGCAGTCTAAAACTAAAAAACGTGTATCAGCTCGGTATCTAAAGGAACCTTGCACGGATAAATGTAGGCTTAAATGTACCACAACTATAAATTTAGAACAGAGATACAAATTATTTCGTTTTTTTTGGGATTTGGGTGATTTAATAAAGCAAAGAGCGTATATAAATGCGAGTATGGTTGATGTTCAACCTAGATACAAATATACGAATGCTGAAAGACCAAGGCATAACAACAAAGCCTTTTATTTTAAAGTAGACGGCGCAATGATCCGAGTTTGTAAAACTTTTTATAAGGCAACTTTGGATATCACAGATCGTATGATATTTACCGTGCAAAACAGAATAAATCAAAATGATTTTTTATTTAACGATTTAAGAGGAAAACATACAAACCACAAAAAAAATTGATTCCGAAATACGCAGTGCTATCGTAAAGCACATTAATTCTATCCCTAAGGTTGAATCACATTACTAGCGAGCTTCTACAATGAAAGAATACATAGAAGGTAACAAAACTATTAAAGATTTATACACCGATTTTAAGGAATAACAAGAAAAACAGAATAAACAAGCAGGTACAACTTACTATAAAATATTTACAAATGAATTTAATCTGTCCTTTTATCAACCCAAAAAGGATCAATGTGATCTATGTAATTCTTATCGTAATTCAAATGAAAATCAAAAAAAGAATTTCGAAGAGAAATATTTAAAACATTTAGAAGAGAAGGATTATTGTAGAGCTGAGAAACTTAACGATCGTAAAAAAGTAGACAAAAATACGAGAGTAGTTGTATACGATTTAGAGGCAGTATTGCAGTGCCTCAAAGGTATATATACTATAAACGAAACGAAGGAAACGAAGGAAGTAATTTTCTATTCGGACAATTGCTGTGGACAAAACAAAAATAAATATGTAACATCTCTGTATCTATATGCTGTACAAACATTAAATATAACGAGTATAACACATACATTTCTGATACGAGGTCACACGTAAAATGAAGCTGATAGTGTTCATAGCCTCATCGAGAAAGAAATAAATAAAAACTTAAAATCAGGCCCCATATATACACCCGACCAGTACATTGCTTTAATTAAGAATGCCAAAAAGACTTAACCTCCATTAATTGTGCACGAAATGAATTATCAATCATTTTATGATATGAAAAAATTACAAGAAGAATGGGGATATAATTATACAATAAATACAGATGGACAGAACGTTAATTGGAATGAAATAAGTCTTAAAAACTACTAAAGAAAACCCTACCTTATTTTTCTACAAAACATCATACAAGGATAAAAACTACAAGGAGGTTGATGTAAGAAACAAAAAAAAAGAAAATGAAGCTAACAACAGAAATAGAACTTCAAGAAGCATACTTTAATAAACATGAAATAAGTGAAAATAAGAAAAAAGACTTACGGGAACTGATTTCGAAGGCATTAATTCCTTCTTTTTACACGGCTTTTTATAATAACATACTTTAGGTAAATTATTTCTAACTTTAAGTTTTTAAACCAGATCTCATTTTATAGTGTGATAATAACACCAAAACAGTTATGTTTAATGACAAGAAGTCTGTAAGATTTCAAGTTAATATTTAATTTTTGTTAATTACTTTTTTATTTTTAGGAATTGTTGTGAAGTTATTTTTTAATTATAATACTATTTTTGTTAATTAATTTAAAAAAATTTGGAAGATTTTAAAAAGACTTCAGATTTAAGAATAATAAGTTTTCAGAAGATTTAAAAAACAATTTAGCTTTTATTCTCCTTGGATTACTGATTAGTAGTAGCTATTTAATGAAGTACCTATTTAATATTGTTGTACCGAAAATACTTTGAAGTAATTCACATGAGTATTTTATTCCCTATAAGAAAAAATTTCAAGACAGTTTTGTAATCACTTTATTTCAATAATAAAACTTGATGAATAGAAAACTAATTCTTTCTTTTATTAAAAATAATATATGTGCAATTTACGAATTAAAACTAAGAAAGTATTAATTAGAAATATTTCTTCGACCATTTATGCCTCTATCTCAATATTGAAAAAAAACTTAATATTTCACGATTTTACAAGATAATTTTAATAAAAAACTGCAATATTTTAAATTACTTCATTTACGTCAAATTGATTTGATCACATATTTTAGTGAAAAGTGAAATAAGTACGAACTTTTTTTTAAACTCTTCTCCAAAAGGTATTCTTGATTAAAATAATATATTTTTCTATCTTATTCTAATACTTCATTAATAACGCTACATAAATCTGTTTTTGTACTTGGCCTAACCCTTCTATTTTTCTTTTTTTGATTTTTTAAAGTTATCAATCTAAGCATGTCAAACTTTAAATGCGATTTCCCACAATATTGAAATTCTAAGTTAATTCAGTTTATGAATAAAGGTGCGACATGATCAACAATTTCGATTTCATGTCTACAAATCACAAGTTTGTTTGTTTTTTGGGGGGGCAAGAGCAGACCAGTCACCTGATTGGTTAGTGACTACCTTTGTCTATGGACAGCTGAAACTCCAGAAGTGCCTTGTCACCCTTTGAGTTCCTCCCCAGTACTTAGGGAGGGGGTCTCGGGGTCCGGTGAGTGTTAATCTTGTAACATCAATTCCTTTACTTTACTCTAACACAAAATTGTCTCTATATCACTAAATATAATCCAAAATTAAGAAATGGTATACATTACCCAAGTTCAGCTCAATAGACATTTAAATATTTCAAGACATTGACCACACGAGTGTGAGTCAAGTGGTCTTTAGGATATCAAGTAGAGCCAGGCAGCTGTTGGCCACCTCTCACCGTTCACCTGTGTTTGAGTTTAGCATTATATGCAAATTCAAAATTATAACCACCATTTCTGATCAAAAACATCATAGTTTTTTTTCAATAGAATAGTATGCTGTGTAAGTAGGAGTAATGTTAACGAGACATTATACCCTACTAAATGCAACCCCTTCCCCCCATACAAACTGAATCACCCGACAACGGTTCAATAGGCATTCCGAGGCACCGCAATACTGCATTTAGTTTACAGAAATTCAAATAGTACTTAGCTAATATGTTTTATCTGTTCTATCACTAAGTTTTAAAAGTAACAATTTCAAATAGGAAACAATCCTTACCGGATATGCCTCTGTCTGATGAGGATACGGGCATGATGGATGGACTTAGCTAGACCAGCCTTGAACACTTGAGTCTGGAGACGACGCTCCAAGAAGTCCTCAATCTTCAGGCCGAGTACATAATCAAGCTTCATCTGTTTCTCGTCCAACACACCAATACGCACCAGACGACGGAGAAGTGCATTACCTAGAATAGTAGACTTTAGGTTAGGGGCTGGTAACTATGATTTGATTTAATTGTGGTCTAGAGAATTGTCAGTATTTTGAAAATCAACATTTTTATTCTGATAAGAGGTTGCCAGAGATTTTTCATCATTATAAAATTCCATACGCATTTAACATTAATGAACTATATATTTTCACACACATCTCACACACGGCGGTCTGATCCCAAACTAGGCAGAGCCTGTACTATGGTAACCAGACTGCTGATAAACATACTTATATATTTCTAAATACATACATATTATAGATAAAGTACACCCAGACACAGAACAAATGACCATGCTCATCACACAATTATTTGTCCTGGGTGGGAATCGAACCCACAACCTCTGGCGTAGCAGTCAGGGTCACCAACCACTAGACCAACAGGCCAGTCAACTGATCTTATTGTTTCATTTCGAGTGTAAAAATCTTGAAATCACAACACTTCTGTGACTTGCTGTGTAGAAAAATGTGCATCTGATTATTCAATTTGCTGAGTTGATATCTTCATTTTATCAAGCATTTAATCCATCGCCTTATTAAAAACCAATTTCATATTAATTCAATCCTGTCAGACTTTTCAGTAAAACTGACCGCCAATTTATTTGAAGGCTACAGAAGGAAAATAAAAAGAGGTTTATCTATTAGCCTCGTGTTTATGGATCCCCATGTGTCATAAGGATATCACCCAGCTATCATAGGAAACTATTTCAATAAAACCTAGCTCTTAAAAATTAACAATTAATCGATCCTTACCTTCGAACAACCTCTTGGGGTCCTTCTCTTCCAGGGTAAGTAGCTCACGAGCAGCCTTACGGATGCGAGCGAGCGTGTACTTCACACGCCACACCTCGCGCTTGTTCCTCAGACCATACTCTCCGATGATCTTTAACTCCTGATCTAGACGCGCCTTCTCGAACGGACGACGAGGCGTCACGTACGTCTTTGAGAATACCGAGGGTACTCTGTTGTTCACCATGATGGTGAGCTGGAAGCCATTAAAGAGGTTAACATTTATCGCTCACATGTCGTCGACAACACTCTTGGGGTTGATTAATACTTAAATAGTATGATCAACACGATATAGCCAGTTGTTCAAGTTTTTTTGAGAGGGTTTGTCGCCACAAACCGTTGCAAACGCAGAGTTTCGAACATTTCCCTGTACGAGTTTTAATGCGCTTGGGAATCAATGTTCGGGGCAATGCTTTAGCCTTCGTGTCCACTCACAACGATCTACAGAAAATCGTCATGATCTACTAAAAGGCAAATTAACACAATATAGGTTGTCAACGAAATCCATTTAAATCACACAATATACCTAAAATTTGCCGCTAATAGTGGCACTAACTGCGAATTAATAATGAATAGTACGAATACACACATATATTTTATTTCATAAAACTTTCTTGAGAATGATATAAAGAATAACTATAATTACCTGTTCCTTTCACAACGCTCGCCGAAAAAGAGACTGGAAGGAGTTGTCAATCAAATGTCAAAACACAAAAGTGTTACCACGTCTCCAACGAAATTAATTCTACCATGATTTTGTATTTTCTACTAAAAATACGAGAATGTCTGAATGTGCGAATTGCAACTCTACTTAAAAAATAAAAGAACAAAAATTAATTGAATTGGTGGAACACATGGTGTATTTTATGAAAGAGATCAGTATAGAAACACTGCAAATTTGGGAAGAAGAATAAGAAATATGATTTGCTGTCTAGTGTCTAACAATATGGTCTACCGGTCGGTGGCCCGTATTGCTCTATGATCCAAAGCCATGAATAGATTTATTACAACTTGTAGGGAAAATATACCTTTTTTTTTACTGAAAACATAGGTTTCTTAATGATCTACCGGTAATGTGTACCTGACAGTAGGTGAAGTTGTGAATTTTGCTACGAAAACTCCACATTTAGAGCACATTATAATATTCATGTGCACGTGCATTTTTAATCAAATTAACCTGTTATTACGCTTTTAAATGATTACCATATCTTAATGAATGTATCAACTATCTATCCCAAGTGATCACTGGCACGAGCGCTGCTGGTGTCCTAAGGTGACAAGATAATTTTGCACTTGTGCTTGTAAATAAGCAGGATTTCCTCAGTTAAAAAGTACTGGTCCATTTTACCTAACATGTACATCAACTTCCTCTTTTTTTTTCAACACACAGAGCACAATTCGTAGGGAATCGACCACTTATCAAAAATAGATTGAAATGATTAATGTAATTAAAATATTTTATTCATTATTTAGAAAGGAGGTTCTAACCTCCTTTCTAAGGGGAGGCCTATGTCCAGCAGTGGACCATTAAAGGCTGTTGATGATGATGATGATGATTCATTATTTTACCCTTAAATCAAATAAAAGTATATTTTTAATTTAAATAAAAATATGATCACGTGACTACGTGTGCTGTCATCGTTTGTGGAGTACTTTACATTTAAAAACAAATTGATTGTGAGTATGAAAATTAAACATTTTTGTATTAAGAACATAATTATTGATAAAAAAAAATCAATAGTTTTTTACAAATTCAAATCATGTAGTTAAACCAAATTATTATTTCTCTTTTACTCTTTTACCACCTAACAGTCAAAAGGTTAGATCTTGCTCGGCTTTGGTTTATCCTGAATAGATTGACAAGGTTTTTCTGATTACTTAATTAGAGTATGCTTTTATAAGCAAAACCGCATTAAAATCATTTATTTTATACATGCAAAGATTCTATCAGCCAATCTAGCTTTCATTGTACTAGCTCTGCTAAGTTTAAAACTAGATGGCGTTGTGTGTCTGATAATATTTTTATTTTGACGCACATAAAATTAGTGTGAACAATATACTGCAAACCAAACACCCTTTTCCTATATTGGAACAATATTAGAGTGTATATATACTACCATGAAATAGACAAATATGCATTTGGTTGGATGCACCCTCTTCATTCACAAGGCCAAGGACTCTAATTCTGATAATAATTTCTTTAAATTCAAGGGGGATCATGTTACTAAATACAGACCAAGAGATCCTACGAAAATAATGATTCCATTTTGTAGAACATCTTTGATGAAAAAGAATGTGTATCACATGTGCATTTCAGTTTTTAATAAACTTCCTAAGAGCCTTAGGGAACTCCCATTTAAATATTTTAAAATTAAGTTAAGAAAATGGCTAGTTGATAAGTGCTTTTATACAATGAAAGAGTTCATGCAATACAAAACTGATGTAAATGATCATTTGTAGATTTAATAAATTAGATATAATAATTCAATAAATTTAATAATTTCTAAATTTAATAATTTCTATGTAATATTTATATTTTATTTTTTTGACATTTTGTTAGTTTTATTAGTTAATAGTTATCATTAGTTAATGTTTTGAGTCTCTATAAAAATATTTGCATGCCTAGTACAGGCAGAATATAGCTTGAACATTATACACCTTTATAAAATCTGGTACCACCTGTATTCTCTGCAAATAAATGTTTCTTTCTTTCTTTCTCCACGCAAGTTCCGGCAAATTATAGCGGTGGCCATACCGCATACGCATTACATTAGAAAATTATAGTGCGGCAACGAACGTATATAAAGCCATTCATAATCCAAGCTTGACGGTGTATGTTAACAAAGTATATTAATTGTATGGAGTGTAGAGGCAAGGAGAACCATTTCATATGTGAGGAAAAGGTGTCCAACTGTATACTGAAAATAGAGGTCGCTGGCGTACGAAGAACTACGATATGAACATAGCTGTTGTAGACGGAGTGAAGTTTGCTGAGTTAAAATACTTTTATTTTCTGAAAGTTATTACACGTTTATTTATTTATCTTTAAAACTCATTGACTATTTTCACAATCTAGTACACAGTGTCTGATTATTATTTAGGCCAATATAAATTTATCCTAGGCTACCGCAGCGCCACCCTTATTGGACGCTTTTTTACGGACACTTCATACACAGAGATGGTTCTCCTTGCTTTACAATCTATGATTAATTGTTTTTGTAATGTTTGTTAGCTCAGAACTTTTGACTAGGTGAACCGATTTTGATGATTCTTTTTTTATTTGAAAGCTGGTGCTTCCCGTGTGGTTCCATTTCAATTTGGTTTAATTCTGATAATGGCATCCATGAGAAAACCATATAAGTCTTAAATTTGCATTTAGTATGTTCGCGACAAATAGACGAATAACTCAATTTCACGCAAACCGATTTCGATAATTCTTTTTTTATTGGAATGGATGTACTTTGATGAGAGTTTGGTTAGATTCTGATGATTGGGATCCACGACAAAGTAACGGAACTCTTCAATACTTAGGAGCAAATTAACGATACTCGGCTGAATCTTTTATGGGCTATCTGGATATTTGAGTCACCTACAGTAACGTCGTTATGGTCAAGTAATTGCCGTCATCAACAGCCTTTAATAAGCTACTGCTGGACATAGGCCTCTCCTTAGAAAAGAGGTTTTGGCCTACTATACCACGCTGGCCAGACGCGTTGGTATAGTATTTATCATGCACACAGAAGACCTAGTGCGACTTTGTCACATCAACTTGCTCTCTGCGGCCAGTGGGTTCAGCGTTCAGCGAAGATTTCAGTGCGGGCCAATTGCAACGTTGATCGCGGTCACCATGACGATCGAATTGATGTGAAATAAACTCACACTAGGCCCTCTGACAGCCATACACCGACAAGTTTACCGAACGCCACTTCAAATGCTCTACAAACTTGACAGTAAACTGGATGTATGGCTTGCATCAATCTTTAAATTTTTTTACAGAAGGGATTGAAATAAGTAAACCCTTAATTTCCACTTTATTTTATTTACACTGTACAATTTAAAGAATTGTAGATGTTTTTCTGTTTGTACACACAACGATTTATCCCTTAGATTTATCAATCCTGAATTGACACAAAATGTATATATATATGGGTTATTTTTAATATTTTGCTGCTAATGTTTACTCTACACATATAGGTAGTATGCGATATATATCTCTTTATAATATTTACCACAGATACTTGATATTTTTTAAATAAATAACTGAGTATTTATTCCATACAGAGTATAAAAAAAACAAGTGAGCCTTACAACAGTCAATACACAAAAAAAAAAATTACTAATATTTCTTGAAGTGTAAAAAATTCTTGTACTTTTTAGGGTTTAAGCCGAATGCTTTAAGTCTCTCATCAGATATGTTAACAAGAGGATTGACAGGTCCTTTGTTTTTATTATTAAATCCACCATTTTGTTTCGAATTCTTGTTATTGAATTTCGTTTTCTTATTACTCGGCTTTTCCGCTTCAGCAAAATTGCCTTTACGTTTCAGATTTTTATCTTTCTTTAAAGAATTATTGACAGATACATTATTACTAGATACTAGTTCCTTTTTTTCTTTATTTAAGTCATCTGTGTTCATACTTGCAGATTTATGTTTTTCTTTCTTCTTTTTCTTATTATTGTCAACTGTAATTTCATTACTTTCTTGACTAGGCCCAGCATTTGATACATCTTCAACAACAACTCCATCTGATTTGTTTTTCTTCTTTTTCCTATTTGGTTTTAATTTGCCATCATCTACAGGGTTTACTTGTTCTACCTGTGTAATAGTCTCTTCTGATTTATCTCTGTTTTTATGTTTCTTCTTCTTTTTAGGTTTTTCAGATTCAATTTCATGTTGTTCTTCAGCTGGTTCACCATTAGCTTGATGTTCATTCACTTCCTGGTCAACAGCAGCTTGTTCTTCATTTGCCTCTGTCATTTCTGTTTGCTTATTTTTGTTCTTTTTCTTCTTCTTTTTTTTCTTTTTTGTTTCTTCTATAGGTACAACTATGTCAGGATCTCTGTAAAGATAAAATGAAAATTTAAATTAAGTTTATTTTAAATCCGATTTATTTAAAAGCATACATACATTTTTAAACGACTTCACAATACCCTTTGATATTTTTTACCAGTTTTGTATACCCCTGGCAACATGAACTCTGAAACTTGACCTGGCTTCTGGCTAATATTTCGAGCTGCCTAACTATTGTAATACATAAATAGTTTCGATATGGGATCGAACCCACAGCACTTAGTGCAGTAGGAAGCGTGGAGACCGCTTAAACCACTAAGACATTCCGTCAATAAGCGGCGGTAGCCTAGTGGTTAAGGCTTTGGACAAGCGATCAAGAGGTTGTGGGTTCGAATCCTGAACAGTACTCTACCGACGTGAACCCACTCCTAGCACTAGCAATTTAGCTTAGCTGGAGGGGTTAACGGGAATACAAGTAAATTCTGAGACAGCTGTTTATAAATGAATCTCAACACAACTTACTCGGGTAAGTCTCTGTACAAGCTGGGTAATATTTTCCTCTTGAGTTTGACGTCCGCTGCCTTCTGTGCGTAATTCTTGGCGTCCCCCTTTTCCACGTGGTCGGGCCGGTGTTTCAGGATCTTCTTTAGAGGCACCCATTGGGTCAGCTCTTTGTCGTCTGCCAGCAGGATCTGGGAATTATATTATGTTATGAAAATGATTTTCATATGAAATATAAATTACTAATAACATTTTTAGAGTTCTTTATATGTACGGGAATAAATATGTGATATCCAATACCCGTGTCAATGGCCAGTGCAAAGCAAATTACCAAGGTAGTAATACCTTTTACGTAATAGGTATTACTAATAGGTAGTACCTTTTACGTAAAAGCTATTAGTAACTTTTGAATTGATCGAGTTGCACTGACTATTCATTTCCATATGCATACCAAATAATATAAAAAAGGAAAAATTTAAAAGTAGAACTATTTTTCTCTATTCTTTATGAGGGACCTCAAACAACATACAAGTCAGTTCAATCTTGTCACATAACAAATAATATTAATCCTAAGAAGTCCCAAACCCTCCAAAACTCAATTGTGTATATTGAAATTATCCGTGTGGTGACGGATTAAGATACAGAGTGTCACCACCCCTATTCATTCCGTGGGTGTCGTAAGAGCTGCCTAGGTGAGCCAACTACGCAGGACAACAACACTGTAGACAGAAGGAAAACTTGACACAAACCCTATACCAACCCGTCTGGTCAGCGTGGTATAGTAGGCCAAAACCAATGTTCTACTAAAGCCTGTTGATAGTATTAAATTATAATTATACATAACCCTCACCTCTTCCACAGTTAACCCATAATCATTGGGCACAGCCTGTCTATACTTGAACCTGGTTGGCAAGTCTCCCCCAATGATGTCTTCACAGTCCATCTTGTAATACTCCTCCATGTACTCATCATAACTCTTTTCAGCCACTGTAGGGATGAACTTGGGCTTCTCCAGCTCCAAAAGCTGTGCAAGTTTGGACTTCTTCTTTCTATTCCTCCGTTTCTTGCCTTGAAGAGTTTTTTTTACTTCCTCTAGAAGATTATCGCGGGCTGTCTTTGGGTCGTAGTCGGCGTCCATCTGGGGGTTAAAAATTGAAGTACAGTATAGTTTATATATCCTGATATTATATATATATATATTTATATATATATATATGAGATTGATTTTGGATGATGATACACATTATCATGCATTCGTACATCCTTTCCCACACTCACGTCCTTTATCTCATAAAAGTTTATTTATTTATTTGGACATCCACCTTAAAAGATAAGAGATACAATGGCAGTGAGATACAACCATTAGTGCTGCCTTAATTACAGGTTGCCACGGAAAGCATAGTAATAAAAGAGAGATGGGAGCGTAAGGCTTCCCCTAACTTAAAACAAAGAAGAGAAAATAAAAAGACTTGAAAAGACATTTTCTTACAGAATAACTACTTAAAAATCTACAACATAAAACAAACAATAGTCCTTATATATAAAACTAGCTGACCCGCGCAACTTCGTCTGCGTCTCTCAATAGTAATAAATTTTCTCCGTTTTTGAAACATTCTTCATTGGTGCTCCGCTCCTATTGGTCTTAGCGTGAAGATATAAGCCTATAGCCTTCCTCGATAAATGGGCTATTTAACACTGAAAGAATTTTTCAAATCGGACCAGTAGTTCCTGAGATTAGCACGTTCAAACAAACAAACAAACTCTTCAGCTTTATAATATTAGTATAGATATATCTCAGCTTAACAAGTTCAAAACATATAAGTAGTAACTTAATTATTGAATAAATTTTTAAGTAAACATGAGTAAACCGAAAGATTTATATACTTATACATACATTAAAGTCTTCATCTTCACAATTTGGGCCCTCATCATCCTCTGCTACTCCCTCTCCAGCATGTTCAGGCTGATACTTATCCCAGTTTTCTGCAATATAAGATTATGCTCTGAGTATGTTTAAGATAATATCATCCGTGTGGTGACGGATTAAGAATACGGAATGTCACCACCCCTATTCATCCCGTGGGTGTCGTAAAAGACGACTAAGGGAGCAAACTACGCAGGACAACAGCACTGCAAAGAGAAAGAAAACTTGTATACCAACCCGTCTGGCCAACGTGGTGTAGTAGGTCAAAACCTCCTTTCTAGTGTCGTAAGAGCCGACTAAAGGAGCAAATTTTACAGGACAACAGCACTGCAAAGAGAAAGAAAACTTGAAACAAATCCTATACCAACCCGTCTGGGCAACGTGGTGTAGTAGGCCAAAACCTCTTTTCTAAGGAGAGGCCTACGTGCAGCACTCGACTGTTATAGGCTGTTGATGATGATGATGAATATGGTATGTTGAAAACATTGGCAGAACATTTCCTTACCGATTTCCAACTCCTCATCCAGGTCTGGGAAGACAGGTTTATGTTCATCAGCATCTCCGTAGTACTCCTCGTCGAAGATCTCTTTCATTCTCTTATCGTGTTCGTCAGGGTCAAACTCGCTCTGAAGATCCTCATCCTAAATATTTACAATAAAGAATATTTGAGTATAAAAGACAATAAATAAAATTGTATAATAGTTGTAGTGTCTTCTAAATACAATGAAACTAAGAAACATACTATAGCGCCATCTAACACATGGAACTACGGAGTAACTACTAATCTTGTATCGCGACATGAATATTCTCACGCCATACATTAAACGTTAAGCCTCAGTCCGCAAGGCATGATCATCTCGCCTGGTCGGAGAATCCTCCCTTTCTGTAGAAGGTTGTGGACACTTGTTCCTCCACATGGTTAAATAACTAAATATTTATAAATTAGCCAACAGTACCTTAAAAGCTAACTCCTCGTTTCCAGTGACCTCTTTGATCTTGGCTAGCTTCTCTTGTATCTCCTTCAGCTTAAGCGCCTTGAGCCTCCCTATCTCCTCCATCTTCCTTTGTTTCTCTTCCTCCTTGCGCGTGCGCACCTCGGTACGTTTGCGAGAACGTCGGTCGTCTTTTGGGCGGATGTAGTTCATGGTGCGGGGGAAACGTTTGAGCTGTAAATTTATATAATAATTAGGAGAACGCACATAATAATAAAATAATCTTGGAATGGTGTGGTTTGGCGTCGACTTAGCCTTTCTCCGTAGGGCCAGAAAACAGTCGAGCATCAATATGGAAACAAAATTTGAGGAGAATATTGACTTAATAATATAATAATATTTTCGGCCATCAGACATACAACGCCATCTATTTTCAAACTAAGCAGAGCTTAAACTATGAAAGCTAGATTGACTGATAGAATACTTTTATACTTTTTTTTGTAAATACATAAATAATATACATAGAAAACACCCAAACGCCGAAACAAACATTTACAGATCATACAAACATTTGGGGAATCGAACCCGAGACCTCAGCTTTGCAGTCGCATTCGTTACCACTAACGCCACCACACCACCGAGGCAGTTATGAATGTATTAATATTTCGTAGATAACTTACATCCAGACATAGGACAATTCTCATACTCATCCACAATATTTATCCGGGGTGAGAATCGAACCCACTACCTCTTGCTTAGCAGTCACGATTGTTTACCACTAGACCAAGAGGCCTGTTATATTTTTATTATTGTATATTAAGCACATTTTTCAGTAACCCCTTGTCACATATTTTTACATATTACATAGTAACTAAATCCGTCTAACAAAAGAATTCACGGATAGTGCAGTTGTTAAAGCGGTCACCTCGACGCTTCCTACTGCACTGAGTGTTGTGGGGTCGATCCCCACATGGGACAACACTGATTGATTCACAAAATTGATGTTCTGAGTGTGGGTATTTTGTGTGTCCGTTTCATGATGATATTGACAAACAATGTTTGTAAGGTCCCCCGCAACATAAGATTCCTAATGCAGATGTGTTTAAAAAAATAAAATAATTAAAGTTACGCATAGGAACTTACATATTCCTGGTCGGGTTCTTCGAAGCGAAAGTTGTAAGCTCTCTCGAACTTTCCCTGTTCTTCAACTCTCTCCTCATCAGCTTCCAGGTCCTCGTCATCTCGTACTTTATCCTTGGCCTCGCCGATATCACCTTCTTCTAAATATCTGTAATAATGTAATAACATCAATCAATCACCAACAGCCTTTAATAGTCTACTGTTGGACATAGGCCTCTCCTTGGGAAGGTGGTTTTGGTCTACTATAACACGCTGGCCAGACGGGTTGGTATAGGGTTTGTTTCAAGTATTCCTTCTCTTTGCAGTGCTGTTGTTCTGCGTAGTTTGTTCCCTTAGTCGGCTCTTACGACACCCACGGGATGAGTTGGGGTGGTGACACTTTGTATTCTTAATCCGTCACCACACGGATTGTCACACATACCACACATTTAATAACGTTTAAATGAAATACAACAGAAATTAAAAGGAGAGTGAAGATCAGTACGGGTTAAAGTCCATTTTGTAAATCAACATTTTAAACTTCTTATGTATACACCATGAAACAGCCATGGTCCGGCTCGACCATAGTAATATTATGGGCACAGAGAAAACTTGTGTTAATCTTTACAAATAAATAAAATTGAAGTGTCTGTTTGTAACGTCAAGATAATGGATTTTTTCATGCTCACACTATTATTTGCACGATACCTAAAAATCAGTTTTAATACTTTTTGTCTGTCTGTTTGTGCCGTTTAATCTTCAAAATGGCTGGACCGATTTCGATAATATTTTACTACCAGGTAGCTGTCGATATAAAGAGTAAGTAAGGCTATTTTTTCTTTCAGAAAAACGCTTTAAAATTTTGCCCGGTCCAGGAATCGAACCCACTAAGGCAGCGCTTTTCAAATTCCACGTGAACGAAGTCGAGGTCACCAGCTAGTCCATTCTATTATTGCAACGATAGACAGGCCAATCCTTTGTAACCTAATCTCGGGGGGGCGACACTTAAACAGCTTCAAGGGACTAGTGACTCTTAGTAGCAGGTGTTCATGTGCACTATTTACTTACTACTAGGTGACTCTGAGCCCTAGAAATAGGGTTTTGGATTCCGGTAAACTCACTCACTCTGTAAAAAGCAAGAAAGGAAGTTTTGATTTGCTCACTGTTTGTTCAGTATGTAATCTCTCAGAAAAGCTTCTCCTTCATTCAGGTTGGGGTCCGACCAAAGAGCTTTGAGTGGCGCTAGGTCCCTCTCCACTTCCTCGTTTATGTGTTCAGCCTTACCGGTCAGGTATTCCTTTATTACACCCTCCTGAAATAATATATTTTAACTTATAGTTATATTCATAGTAAGTTATATTCAACATAAGTTTCTAACCAAAAAAACTTATTAAAAAATTGCATGAGTTAGATCTGAATTACAAACAGTGAGGAATATTAGCTCAGTACCTATTATATAAGAGGTTTTTTTTGGTAATATACCCAAGCAGTAAGACAAAACCAGGGCACAAAACTTTAGTTGATCAAAGTTATGATCTGTGTAATTATTTAAACTCATCAGGATGAGCGCCTTGGTTGCCTGAGGAAAGATGAATAGGGCTGCAGAATGAACTTCCTGGGCCGGGCCTCCGATCGGCTGGATCCCTTGGCGTTACCTAGAGATATGGCTTCACTCTGCATTCTCTATCGCATATATCATGGAGTGCTCCGAGAAATTGTTCGGACTAATGCTGGCCGCAACTTTCCGCCATCGCTCCACACGGCAAAATTCCACCCCTCCGCCATGCTGTGCGCTTTTCGAGACACTTTTTGCCTCGCACAACCAATCTGTGGAACGGGTTATCGTTTGCGGTATTTGTGGACCGATAAGACCTTCAAAATTTCAATAAAAGAGCAAACTTCTCCCTAGAAAGCCGGCAACGCGTTTGTGACTCCTGAGTTGCAGATGTTCATGGGCAGTGATGGTCACTTTCTATCAGGTGACCTGTCTGCTGGTCTGCCTCCTCTGACATAAAAGAAAATGTATAATAAACATACTACAAACCTTGGTTTCAGATGTTTTCCTCTGCTTCTGGCTATTGTCAACTATCTCCGCTTTCTTCTCAATGCTAAAAATGTTCCCGTCATCTTCATCATCATCATCACTATCGGCGAACGTTAACGATTTCGGTTTATCTTCTTTTTCTAAAACAAAATTCTACTTTAGTTTACTTTTTTTATGGTATTGTAGTTTCATATATATAGTAAATTTATTTATTATCTTTTCACAATAGGTAAAGGTCTTATAATCAAATACATAATCTATGATGTTCTATGTTGTCAGGATTTTGTAAATGAAAACGTGTATTACAACTTACAGGTCACCAGCGCCCCACCCTCGGTTATAATTCAGTAGGTACAATCTTATTTTTACCAGAATATGAGAGGTGAAAGAGAAAGAAAAGAATAAGTTTATTTAAGAAAAAAATAAGACTGTCTCTGTGGTGCAGAGATAGCATATGCGACTGCTGTGCTAAGGTCTCAGGTTCGATTTGGCCTACATTTTACCTCTATTCATATACTGACTTGCCACACCGTAATCAATGGTATAACTGACTTAAAAATACTAAAATAACAAAGAGTTCCATCATAGGGTCTTTTTGCCAATATATTGCTTATGTTAGGGCTATGAATACCCATATCCGTTGCCATAAGGCTAGAACTCATGAAGGCCAAATATTATTTACTCTCTTTCTGGTGTCTTGTCTGACCTATCTACTTCTCCCACTACTACTACATGTATTTAATAAAAATCTGCATTTTAATTAATACATTTTTTTATTAATTTTTTTAACATACCTGGCTCTTTCTTCTCACTTTCATCAAAGCACTTAAATGTAGGGTCATAAATCCTGGGGTCCTTAGTCTTCAGCAGGGATAAAGTCTTTAAAAACTGAGTTTCTGTCTCCTCAGAAATCTCCGGTGGCTCATCACTCTCATCTTCACTGTCCGTTGACACTGACGCATCGGAATCTAATGCTTTGGAGCCATATTTTTGTTCAACTAAAAAGTGATGAAATATCTTGTATATAAAATTCTCATATCACAATGTGAGTTACCATACTCCTCCGAAACGACTGGACCGATTTTTATGAAATTTTGTGTGCACATCGGGTAGGTCTGAGAATCGGCCAACATCTATATCCTAGAAATAATGTATATGGCAAAACAACGTTTGCCGGGTCAGCTAGTTAATACTATAATTTAATGCATCTCATTAACGGTCTCATCAACAATTAGGTAAAACCTGTATTATGGTAATCGGACACTAGACTGTTGAGCAAAAATATTTATGTCTTACTAAATGCAGATCATCACACAATTAATTGCCTTCGGTGGGAATTGAATCCACAACCTCTGGTTTAGCGGATAGGATCACTATCCAACTAGTCCAGCCTGCTAATATTAATATCCACACATTTAACATCCTTCTCTATAACAAAGCAGATGAAACTTTAAATGAGCAGATTATAAAAACACAATACATTAAGCTTCAAAATAATAAACAAATTTTAAGATAATACTAATTTAGACTTATCTTTTCTGATATGGGGGCAAGCTTTTAACTCTAACGTCAAGGGTTGTGGGATTGATTCTTATTCAGTGCATATAGTTGTACAAGTTTTAGACGGCAGCTTAAAATTGCTTAGCGCTGATCAATTAAGTAATTAACGTTTTACAAATACGTGCACACATTTCTACTAGGGATGGAATAAAATTACAAACACATGTGATAAATCATATCATCACACCTGTGACTGATTTACAATCTGCTAGTTAACTATTATTATTATGCTAGCACAAGACTCATGAAAGGGTTAAATAAAAAAAAAAAAATAATGACATTTATCACTGTGACTAAAACAAATCATTTCATCAAATGAATATGATATGAAGTAGCAATATTTTCCATGTCTAATTTCTACTTATTAACTTCCATAATGGTTCTATTTTTTTATATTTTAAGACCATTTATGTACATTATGGAATGCAATAAATGATTGGGTATTGAGTACTTAGTTACAAAACAAAGATTAATGATTATATTGTAAAAAAGTTTATAAACAAATAATAAAGGTTAATTTAAAAAAAGTACAATTAAGTTTCTTTATGATAAAGTGGAAGAGCAATTTATGAGTTCAAGAAGGATTTATGGAATTTACATACACACTTACATGGTCAAATGTATATAGTAAGTGTCAAACTTTCTTATTTAAACAATATATAACGTCTCCGCTATAATGGTCATTATTTTTATTTTACTGCTAAAGGGCAATTTCTTACTAGTAACCTTTGGATAGACAAATTGACTGTTAAAAGACGAATACATGGATAGTTGTTTTAAGTTATTCTTAGTTGTACGTATTGCCGTATATTCTCAATTCTAAATTTGTGGTCATGGACATCTGTAGAGAGATATGGTGAATCAAGTTTTTGACATTAATTTGTATTTTATGGTAACATCAAAAGTTTTTGAAGAAGGAGTGCTATTATTATAACATTATAGAAATAAAATTTAGGGTCTTTCAGTCAAAAAACGACAAAATAAAACAGGAATACATACGTTTATAAAGTTCTTCCTTTTCGCGCCACTTATCGTATTTCTTGGCATATTCATTCTCTGTTTTCAGACTCACTTCATCCTCGGATTCATCATCAAACAGCTTCGGTTTAGACATTTTTAAAAACTGTACTGTGGTATCTTATTCAGACCTAACATAACCTCTGCAAGCTCTGCATCATAATCAACACGTTTAACAAATAACTGCGACACTGCGTTTAACTGACATGACATCGGTCCCGTCAAATTTTGACTGTCAAAACAAACAGTTTGACTTTTCATTCTAAGTAAAAAGTCTGTCATTTTTGTTGTTTAATGAAAATCCATTCAATGCCAAGGTTTTAAGCACTTTTTTACAACAGCTTCATTACTTAAAACGTTGAAACTAAATATAATTTTTGATCATAGTCGATACTTTTAACGAATCGTTTCACGGTACCGTTTATATTAATCAACTAGCTGAGACCCGCGGTGTTACCCGCGTTTGTTGTTATTACCGCGGGCAACGCCGCGGGGCGAAGCTAGTCTAAAAAAAGTAGCCTGAGTTACTCCTTATGTCATCAGCTATCTGCCAGTGAAAGTCCCGTCGAAATCGGTCCAGCCGTTCCAGAGATTACCCGGAACAAACAGACAGACAGACAAACATGGTAAAAAATGTTATTTTGGCATATGTACCGTGTAAACATACATATGCATTTAGTAAAAAGCGGTTATTTTAATATTACAAACAGACACTCCAATTTTATTTATTTGTATAGAAGATACAAATCACAACAGTTTAAAAATGATTATAAATAGATTCTTTATTTATTATCTGTGGACATTAGCACTATACTCACACGGAAACATAACTATCTATCATCTTTTTTTGTTTACAATCTTATAATCAAACTCGTATTCTGTAGAACCAGTTATATTAGGATAGTGAATTCTGACAGTATGTTGCATAGCATTTACGCAGTATTTTTGTGGGCTATAGTGCTTTCAGTAACGATCGGTAAGTTATTTATCACATTTGTGAATTTGTATTTTTTAATTAAATTAATTTTTAAACCTGTCCTGAATTATTCATTATTTATAGCTTCGTTCATATGTAGAGTTATGCCGTCTTATTATAAAACGTGGACTTAAAAAAGTACCGGCTTTAGTACTAGGTTTAAACCATGACCTTGAATAAACGTTATTACAAAACGAAGTTTATCGCTAGTCCTAGAACTATCTATGGTATCAAAGTTAGACCATCGTGACCCCTAGTTTAACTATGGTACTAAATTGTCAAACGTCAAATTCTTAATTTTGAGGTTCGCTTTCGGAAAGGAATTTGTGATCAGAAACCAAAAAATGGATATTGATGCAAATGATATGTTTGATTTGGAAGATTTGAATGTGTTGGATATACTAGAATATCGGATATCGTAGCTCGGTGGCGTGGCAGTGTCCATGATTCTAGAATCTTTAGGGAGTGTCGCTTGAAGCAAAGATTTGAATCTGGAGCGTTTTCTGGCATCCTCTTAGGAGACAGTGGATATCCGTGTACACCATACTTGTTTACCCCACTGCTGAACCCAAGAACAGAAGCAGAACAAAGGTATAACAGGAGCCATATCCATACACGGAACACTGTGGAAAGATGCTTTGGTCTGTGGAAGCAACGTTTCCGCTGCCTACTAAGATGCCTATTTCCTGATGATGTCAACAATGAGCAATCCTCTAGGGATTCAATACCAGTGCAGCCAGTTCAAAATTCACTACGAGGGAATATTAGAAGAAGGCAGTTTATTGAAACTCACTTGTCATAAAATAACATTTATTATATATAACTATATTTCTTTTTTGTGATATTCATGTATGTATATGTTTAATACATGTATTATATAAATGCTAAAATAAAAGCTAATGATCCTTTTTTCATAAAGTAAATCAAACATAAATAAAAGTAACTATTATCTTTAAGAAAATGCTAAAATCAGTCCTATAATACTAATGATTATTATGGGGAATATATAACCTGAAAATAATTATGTTATATTATTATGTGATTGTCAATATATTTAAAGTATTTAATCAATAGGAGATAGATTACATTAGTTATTTATTTGAAACTCTTGACTGAACAATTTATACTTATTTAACTTATTTATTTATTCATATAGGACAACTTACAAAACATACACTAATACATAATTTACAAACATGTTTTACAAATATTTTCTGAGTGTTGTCTTACTTACAAGTTGCCACGGCATGGTAAGGGACAGTTGCATCTATTCCTTAGTAATGGTGTTAGTTTTTATCTGAGTCTCCAATAGTGCTATTTGTAACTGTAGCTTTTTAATTTTTAATTTTGATATTTCAACCTGATAGAAGTGCTGGGCTTCCAACATATCAAGCTGTTTTTTTTAAAATTCTGTATTACTATTTATAATAGCTTGGCGCCCTTCTTCATTTCTGTAAAATAAATTCTATATTATTATGTAATAATTTGACTTATTATTTTAGTGTGGTAAGCTTTATTTATATTTTCGTGGTTCCTTGATTGAAATAAAATATATTCAGTATTATCACATTTATTTTAACAAACCTATTTAGGGAGGCGGTTTTCCCTTTTGGTTTATTTTCTTCTATTTCTACACTACTTTTTGTTTGCACAGTTTCACTGGTGTAGATCACTGAAAATAATAAATAATATTAATGAAACTAACCTGTATTTTTCTTATTATGAAATTATTATACCTTGTTTTTCTTCAATACTGGACTCTACATTTTCATCACTTATAATCACTACAATTGGTTCTATTGAGTTATGGCCAGCATCAGGGTCTTCAACTGTTTGTTGTTGTTATATTTGTCATCTGTAACAGGTAAATGTTTAGTAAATTGTCATCATATTATACTCTCCACTATTGTTAACTTTTACTTACCACTGCATCACTGTCACAGTCATACGTCTACAACAAAGTCATGAGGAGCAATAGCCATGACTTCCAGGTCCTCTGGAGAAGGTGACGGGGGCTTGTTGCCACCTCCTGTTTTAGACTGCTCTCTCCTGTGAAGAGACAAGTTTGCCTTGGCTGCCAACTTCATTCTCTTCCAAGCCAACTTTATCTCTTCTACAGAACGATTTTTTCCGGCGATTTGCTCACCACAAAGAATACTGTGCCCAAAGAATTGTGCCCTTAGGTACTTGTAGTAACTATAATCTTGAAGTGAAACCACAGTGAGGACATTTTTTTAGTTTAAGTTGTAACATAAACATTTCGATTACATTACTCGAATTACGCGCGCCGTCCAGTTCACTCCGTTATACTCATACGTGCTAGCTCGGTAGTTGTTCCAAAACATAACATTAATAATTGGATTGTGAACATGCATTCAAAAAAATACAAGTCGGAATATTTAAATACCTTTAAATAACAAAACTTTAAATTTTACCCCTACAAATAACAATTCATAAAATATTTTTCTTTATATTTCGTAACAACATTTTGTTAAAAAGGAAAGGCGTGTAGAACGCTGAACGAATGAATGAATAATTTAAATATTTTGTTGCTTATAATCTGTGGAAAATGTTTAGTCCAGAGACGATCTTTGGTACTAAGTAGTCCTTTGTTGGTCTACGATTTGTAATAAGAATGAAAGAACTAACGTTAGTACCGTAATAAGCTTAGACCTTTTAGTCCTGGTTTAAACCTGGTACTTATGAAAGTTTTTATAATAAGACGGATGGAGTTTAAAATTTATTATGGAATATTTTAAAATAATTCATATTTAATCATCGTTAGTCGCCTAACACTCGCTTATAATAACGAGATATAGTAGAAAAATATACGGTAATATTTTTTCATCAAGGCAGTTTCATGTCTACACTCACTTCAAAGCCTCATGTACAACTGTACTCATGATTTGGAACCAAAGCATAGATAACCAAAGTGTTTTGTTGCTGTTGGGGGGACAAAATGCTGATAATCACGTGTGGTAATCTTTACTATTTACAGATATCGTGGAGACTAAGTACGTGTATCGTCCCGAGATTCAACGGTGGGTGTCGCAAAAGAAAATTGTAGCAACGTGGCAAAATGCTAAGCAGAAATGCAAAAAAGAAGGTAACTACTACCATACCACCATATTCACTGGGTGAGGTCTCATTGTCACGTACGAGGGGTCACACACCTATTTTACGAATGAAAACCTTGAATTTATAAGGATGCACGGAAGTGTATCCTTATAAAGACATAACATAACATAAGGCTAATCAACTATTGTTGGTTAGCCTTGTGTTAAATTAATAAATGAAATGAAAGGGAGAGGTCACGCTCTGCGAGCAAGTTATGCTTGCGAAGGAGATGGCTGATCGGGACCGGGAGAAGTTTAGAACTCTTCCGGCCCGCCAGGCCCGGGAACGGACCAGGTACCGCAGACGACTCGGGCGCCGGAGGTCGCAGAACGACCTCCGTCCTCTATAAGCGCAGGCTTGGCAAGCGCAGCGCCTTTTGAAAGCACAAAGGGAACATAAGGGTTCCCACACAGGAGGGGATCATCTACACGCCGTGGATGGCCTGTGGTACGTTGGGTTACCAGGGATTTCCTTTCTAGGGTACACCTGGTTCCCCGGCTACTGGTACCCAAGACGGCGTGCGGTTTTTGGTCGATTCGAGTCCGACAAAATCACCCGACCGGTGGGTGATATATCCGAGGTGATTTCCACAGAGGAAAAAAGAAAGGGAGAGGTCACGCACCCATATTTTATCAGGCAGGCATGTCGCCTAATTCCGCCCCCCTCGCGGCGTAGCAAATTAGCTTCACATTAAAACTTTGTGAAAGCTTCGGCAGAAAAGAAAAGTTTTCAGCCACGAAATAACTGGCATGTTCCTGTTTCCTCAATATATATATATATATAAGAGATTTCCACGTATATAGTCACTCATCACGATATCTCATGAACCATTAGAGCTAAAGACTTGAAATTTGGTAGGAATATTCTTTTCACCGAGTAGAGGTCAGCTAAGAACGAATATTAAGAAATTAAAAAATAATAATTAAATAATGTAAATAGCAAAACAACGTCTGCAGGGTCAGCTAGTATTCTATATACAAGCCAAAATAAACTTTATTCCACCGTTCACCCGACAGATTTAGGTTTCGAGGAGGGTAAGGCCTACGGCAAATGTTGAAATCAAACTATAATTCGGGTGTTATTAATTGTTCTGTCACAAGTGAGTCTATTACGGGTATACTCTTGAGAGGCCCCTGGGAATCGTGGCAGATCTTGGTCGCCATTCAGATAAAAACTGATGTTGCATCCAATTAATTCTAACCTTTTGCTGATTTGTCATTAACAGATGCCATATTTGCATCACCCATTGATGCGGAGATACTCAAGATCATGAAGTCTTACATCGAAGCCAACAATTATTCTACTCCATATTTTTTAGGTTTTAAGGCGATACATCATGTTGACGGCGATGTGCAATTTTTATCTGTAGAAGGTCAGTAGCACACAACATTGATGACGTATTGACGTAAAAATTAGGAAAAACCTATACTTTTTGAAGTGAAAAATTCTTTAGGAGCGTTGAATAACAAACAAAAGAATGTATTTATGGAAAAAAAAACCATTGAACTCGCGACACTGTTGCCGTTACCGACACCTCCGTTGAAGTAAAAAAGCGCGTTGGGCATTTTTTTGAAATGAGAAAAAAAAACTCGTGATACTGTTACCCTTACCGACCCCTATGTATATAAGTTTTCACTTCTGTCGGCACTACCGGAGTGCCACTGTTAAGTGACTACTGCCGCCCATGGATACCTGCAACTGAAGTGCGTTGCCGCTCTCTAAGTCTCCGCTCCCCCAGAAATAGGGGGAGAATTGGTTTTAGCTCCGGTAACTTCACTCACTCGGCGAAAATCAAACGCGGTTTTCTGTGACGACCCCGGTCGAGCGGACCCATTCGTAACCGAAACCCATGGGTCATGGCCGATCTCCGAATCTCTCAAATAAACGCTAGTTTTAATGTTAAACAGATGTCATGTTAACGTTTTCAGGAGTTGATTTTTACGATATGCCCGACACCGCTTTAGATATGATCGAGAAAATAGATCCTTTTGAAGGAGAATGTTTAAGCATGGATTCTCAGAATATACGCGCTGTTTCGTGCGAGTTGCGTCTACCCTACATATGCTACACGAATGTGACGGCTAATGGCACGACGAATATAACTAGTACCACTAAAGAAGTAGAAAGATCTTCCTGTGGGACAGGTAATTTTACTTGTACACTATCTATAATTTAATACTATTTTTGGAACTAAGTTCTTTATCGCGCGTTGTGAACGGGGGCTAGACGGAAAAAATTCTTACGAAAATTGGTCACGACACTTTTTATTTTGAATTGTCACTTGTCAGTCATTCAGCGCCATCTATCGAATAGTAAAATTAAAATTTATGTTCTTAGGTTGAGCAAAAAATATTGTATTCGACATCATTTCTCAAGGAGATTTTACCAATATATAAATTGTTTTAATTAGAAACCAACTGAAAAATATGTAGGTAATAGCCGCTTTCATAGATGGCGTTGTAATTAAAATCGTGTCTAATTAGTTTTACTCTATCGTAACAACTTCGTTCCCATCGGGTGTCCCACGACACCACACGGCTTTTTTTTTAAATTAAGTATGTTCTTACTGCATCTATAATGCGACAAGAAAGCGTACTCGCTGTCATCTGTGTCTTCGCTTGCGTTAAAATCGATTTTTCAATAGTTCTTCCGTAATAAACAGTACCCTATGCTACATACAGTACACTATTCCAGACTACTCGACTTCTATCTCTGTGCCAAATTTCATCCAGATCCGTTTAGCCGTTATGGCGTGATTGAGTAACAAACATACCTACATTCATCTTTACGAGCTTTCCCGTTTACTATATTAATGAAACTTAACGATGGACTATTTTAACTCAATTAGTTCAAATCTAATTAACTTATTTTATGAAGTAAAAGGTTACACGCTCTACCCAACGGGTTGTTACAAGGCTCACTACGTCAACCAGTCGTTTCGCAATGCTAAAAGGACCTGTGAAGGAGAAGGTGGATATTTAGTAGTACTAAATGACGCTGAGGAGGCAAATATCGTCAAGGATCTACATTCACAGCCGCCTTTGAACGTTAGTAAGTGGATTGGTTTAGAAGACCAAAGTCAAATGGGAGACTGGCGAAGTATTAAAGGTACCTACTCATTTCACACTTATTTTTAAGACACAAATTTAAATAGACTTGACGATACTAGTTGTCTGTATAGATATGTATTAATATTGTAGGGTTTTGAAAAACAGATGGCAGCACTTTGCTCAAAAGAAAGTTTAGCTTCGCATATTAATTTAAGTTGGAGGTTTTCAATACACCGTACTCGTAAAAGGTCGTATTTTTTTATATTTGTTGTCTCAGAACTCCATAATTCACAAACCGATTTTGAAAATTATTTTGTTAGGTAGTATTTCTCGTTTAGTTCTACTTAAATTTGAAGAAAATTTCTGGCTCCCATAAACTTAGATCATTGATATTTCTAGACAGACTGTCAAAACTATGAAAGCATCGAAAAATATTGTATCCAACTCTTGGCCACTAAGTTCCTCGGCGCTACAAAGAAACGTTCGATTTGCACGCATACCAGGATAATAAAGTTAGCGTGTTGGATCCAGTTGTTTCATTCCATCTATACTTTTTATTGTTTACTTCTTAAGAATCAATTTTAGACTTTTACTCCTCAAGAATGAATTTTATAAAGCGCACGGTATGAAAAAAATGTGAAGAGTAAAATTTAATGATCGAATGACCTCGTTACGTTTTTACCTATCGTGCGCACCTTTCACATGTGTGTGTATAACTTGTAAACTCCAGTCGTGCGTCGGAGCTGAAACACACGTTTTTTTATTTACAAGACATCTCCTACACTAGGAATATATCATGTGTCGCTTGGACCTAAACACACAAACAAGAAACAGACACAAAAAACACGAAGACTCAGAACAGCTATTTGTGAATCGCACAAAGTGTTGTCCCATGTGGGGATCGAACCTACATAACTCAGCGCAGTAGGAAGCGGCGCGGTTAATGAATGATAAATGATATATCAATACCATAATGATTTAAAGTACCTTTTTTTGCAGGAAATCATTTAGTTAATATATACTCCAAGTGGGCCGATTCTACCTTTACACAACATTGTGGTGTTATTCAAACAGACGGTCTCATAAACGATTTCAAATGTGGAAATAAAATTCCATTCATCTGTGAAAAAGATCAACAATCTTCATAGCTCGGTGACGTTGCAGATATCCTGGATTCCTATAATAATATTTAATAAAAGATTATTAAAATAAATGCCAGAAACAACATTTTAATTATTTTTTTTCGCTACCGTTTGTAGCATAGATTAAAGAATGTTTTTTTTAAATTAAGTCATGTCTAAGTGAAAGAAGGATTCATGAGGACAGGAATGAATAATCATCAATTATTATTGAACTAAAACAATAATAAATAAAGGTAAGGTAAACAAGTACAGTCATAAAATCATCTTTACTCTTTAAATTGCAAACATGAATAAGCGCAGATGAATAATAAAAATAATGTTTTATAAAAATAAAAAGACAATACTAATTGTCTGTATATGTATAAATTTATATTGTAGGGTATGAAAAACAGATGGCAGCACTTTTCTCAGAAGAAAGTTTAGCTTCGTATATTAATTTTAGTTTTTAAACTTGAAAATTTTCAAAATTTGATTCCTGTAAAATTACAATATCGTATCTACACTCTACTACTAACACTCGTATCTGTATGTTATTATAATTGTTAGATACATGCACAGATAATATTCGTCTGGTGTATTAACTAATTATTTTTTGTGTAGTGTAAATATTTAATGAACAAAGCTGGATTTAAACTGTCATGAAAATAGATAAAAATAATCTTTATAGGGGGCTGTACTGAACTTTTGAAGCGCACAACCCAACATTACATTTGCATATAAATAGATATAAATATACATAGACATACAGTGTATGTTTATGTGTGTATGTCATACACACACATTTACACTATGAATACCAGAATATAAGGGTTATGTACCATCTTTTTGTAACGAAGTTCCTTATCGCGCGTTACAGGAGCGAATGTATAGCGAATAACAAGACTTTTTCCGACACTTCTTGCTATAGTTACGAACTTCGTTCCGAACGGGGGTCCATAGACCCCTCACGCCGTGTTTTGAGTAAAAAACGGTTTGTGGACAACCGGATTACGACTAGGAGCGCATTTCAGAGTAGTACTGCTTGAACAAAGAACGAAGAGTTTTCGAAGTCCGAGTTGTGGCAGTAACATTAGAGAAGGAGATTATTACCTAAGCGTAGATTTCTGTCGTGATTAGACTACACGTAACGGAAGTAGGGAGCAAGGTAAGTAAGTGAGGATAGGGAGTTGAGGAATGAAAATAGAGAGGTTCTCGCTGATTACCGTGAAGGTGAATAGGTAACTTATTAAGAAGGTTTGAATTTAGGTCGTAGACACATCACCATAATCAATGATTGGAATAATTAAGGCATGATTGAAGTTTTAGTTTTAGGAAGCTGGAAATTCTTGAAACGATATAATGTTCCCATGTTTCCAGTTACTCGCTTTCAATTTCTCCAGCTTCTCTACTTCTCAGCTCATGTAAGTAACTTGAGCTCGCCAATCAAGGGTCGATCGGGAGATTGAGGCAGAATCCAGTCTGCTCTGGTCTAGCTACTTGTTTTAAAATTAAGATTGAAACGTTTATCTCACCTTAGCAGCAAACTTTTAAAGGACTTTTTCAATAAATAGAAACTAACATGTAATATGTAAGTATATTTTCATTTTATATAAACAACAAAACATAACTTCATCTATCGAAATGTTTCAATAGGATAATAGGGAATGGTTATTTCTCAGTCTGAGATTTATTTTAAATAACTACAAACTTGGTAATAGCCACCCATGGAAGAACTGTGTCGTTGGTTTGAAAAAATGACATTTCACATTTAACTTCATTGTCGCCATTGAGAATGTGATCGCCACTCACTATTACGTTGGCGGTAGCTTTATACAGTGCGTCGTGGTTAACATCCTCTATGAATGTGACCGTTTTAACATTATGTCTGTAAATATAAATAACATTATATCATTAGTCATAACACATATGTAATAAGGGGCCTGTCTAATACCTTTAAACGAGCAATTCTTGTATATATATATATATAATCTGAATCTCGGCAACGACTTCAACGATTTTCATGATATTTAGTATGCATGGGGTTTCGGGGGCGATTAATCGATCTCGCTACGTTTCATTTTAAGAAAATTTACCTAATAAAAAATACCAAGTTAAGCGGTCATCCAGGTACTATGCATTATGAGGCCTAGCTTTGTTTCACATCACATAAACAGCCTTTAATAATCCACTGCTGGACATAGGCCTCTCCTTAGAAAGGAGGTTTTGGCCTACTACACCACGCTGGCCAGACGGGTTGGTATAGGGTTTGTGTCAAGTTTTCCTTCTCTTTGCCGCTGTTGTCCTGCGTAGTTTGTCCCCTTAATCGGCTTTTACGACACCCAGGGGATGAATAGGGGTGGTGACACTCCGTATTCTTAATCCGTCACTACACGGACTTTGAGCTTTGTTTACGAAAGTAAAATTAAAACGATTGTTTACATTGCTAAAATCATTTACTTGAAATTAGCTCGACTCGATTCATTCATTCTTGATTTAATTAATCAAATTACAGCTGCGGACTTTTTTAATGGTAATATAATACTACCCTACCCTACAATTTACAATAAAATACCTCGTACACGTACACATTGTCAGTCTGGCGGTACGTTGTTTGTATGGAGTGTAGAGGCAAGGAGAACCATCTCTGTGTATGAAAGTTGCCGTAAAAACGCGTCTACTAGCCTAAGATAAATTTACGTGAAAAACTTTCAGACAGTAAAAGAAGTATAATATTTTAAACCGACAAACTTCCCTCCGTCTACTACAGGTATGTTCATATCGTAGGTTTTCGTACCCAAGCGACCTCTATGTACAGCTGGACACGTTTTCAACTTTCCCCCCCTAACAGATGGTTCTTCTTGCCTCCAAAATTCGCACGCAAAGAAAGTGTCAACGCCACTTCTAACGTAATTTCTGGAAGTACCTAAATATAAACGACAACAGGTTATTAGAGGCCGCAGAAGTTCCATTAATTATTGCCTGCATTGATTATGTTATAGATACTAACCCATTTATAGAAACTCCAAGATTTGGCGGCGGTGCGACGTCCTCCGCACTACATTCTATTTTTAAAAGTTCGTTTTTCTTTTTCGTTTCTGTACTGTCCTCTATGATTTCGTTAAGTTTTATAACAGGGCCTGTGCCTCCACCTGGTTCAATTTAAAAAAGACGTTGTTTTAGAATTATTTTGTAAGAAACCAATCGGTTATGGTTAACTTAAATAGAGAAGGTTTTTAATGTGAATTTGCATTCATTTAGAGGCATTGGAGCCAAGCTCAAATACTCAAATTGACCCCAATTTATTTATTATTTCTTTATTTATTGGTTTTTTTCTTACACAATATTTACTGACTACTTTGACAATTATGTAAGTATTTATATAACACATCACAAACCATGTTCGGCTGGTACTTTAAATAGGTTATACCTGAGCTACAAGTACGAGCCAAATAAAATGTCTACAATATAATGTGAATATTCTCTCTGCATTTATTTAAGCGCCTAGGATATGGTTTATTGAAACCTTTAGCTAAGCTAAGCTTTAATAACATCAGGACTATTCTAGAACAATTATAGAACTTAATCTACTCCTATCTGCTTTCTCCCATCTCTTTTTTATGCTCGGCAGGAGTGATATCATGCCCTCACAAAAACATGTGATAAGCAATTCTTTCCTTGCTTTTAACCAAGTGAGTGAGGTCTGGACTGGAGGCCTACCCCTTCCCTAATTTTACAACAACGCACTGGTGTCCATGAGCGTCTGTAATCACTTAACATCAGGTGACCGACTCGTCACCCTATCTGGTCCCAGCTGTCACCCTAAGCGACCGAAAACCTCTCTGGAGTTATTTGGCGGACATTGACAATCAGAAAGATATAGCCATAGAGAGAACACGGGGTACAGCTGCCTGTAAGTGAAAGGGATACAGGCAACGATAGAGATGGATGCCAGATATTTTCTTCTGTCTCTGTTTAGCTAAGCTGCGATTGGCTACTTATTAACCCCTCATATTCCCCAGCCAACCATAGAGTTCGGCTACAAAGAGATAGAGGGCACTATCTATTATCCATCTCTTACGTTGCCTATATTGCTAGAATTGGGGTCTAGTACTCTCTTGGTTATATCTCTATGTTGACAATGCTTACGCAATTCACCAACTATCTATTACTGCAAAGTACGATTTATTTAGTTGATACTTACTAATCACAGTCAATGTTTCGTTTTTTCGTGCGTCTTCCTTGTAGCTGGACACTCCACACTCGTACACCCCCGAACTTAGAGGATGTATACTCATTAACGAGATTGTGTCATTTTCTTTGATATCTGAAAGTTAAAATTGCTTTTAATTTGTACCACAAGAAAGGAGGGGGCGTGGGCAGGAAAGGGAATTTCATGTACAGTCTCTCAATAGCCTTTAAAAGTCCTCTGCTTGACGCTTGACATAGGCCTCTCCTTAGAAAGGAAGTTTTGACTTACTATACCACCCTGGCCAGACGGGTTGGTATAGGGTTTGTTTCAAGTTTTCCTTCTCTTTGCAGTGATGTTGTCCTGCCTAGTTTGCTCCCTTAGTCGGCTCTTACGACACCCGCGTAATGAATAGGGGTGATGACACTCCGTATTTTTTATCCGTTACCACACTCAACAGACAGCAAAATCAGTATTGTCTAAAATACCACTCATTGAAATAATTATTACTAGAATTTAGACTATGGTGAAAATTTGCCAAATAAATAACTGTTACGTCTCATATACGTTTTATGTGGAAATATTTGTATCTAGATTTATCAAAAGAACGCAGCTACGTGTCAGCTAGGAATGTATCAAGATGTGAAATTACAAGATTATGAAGCTATGATTACATACCAATTGGACCGAAAATACGACGTCTAAAAGTCATCGGAGCTCGACCCGATATTCTCTGGTAAATCAGTATTTTATCATAACTTGGCGATAAGGCTGGTGTCCAGAACCACTTGACAACAACGGATGACTCGTCATCATCATCTGCTAACTCATACTGACAGCTTAAATCAGCATCTTTTCCAAGCTCAATCAACGGCGGTACTTCGAATTTTGTTATCGATAGCTCCCAAGTACCTGCAGAATTTAAGCCAAAACACACAAACAAATACAAATATTAACAAGATAATCTATAGAAGGTCCTGTTAGTCAATAATATAGTCCTAGCTACTATACTATACTCATGTTTAGTTAAATGTTACTACTCCTAAACTTGACTAAAGGCTTCGCGATACTATCTCTGTTCCCCTATCCTTTCAATCCTTAATTATGTACGTAAAATCAGAACACGAGCTGCTGAACCCAGGGTTATCTTAGTTCAGGGCCGAGGATTTGTTTTTCTCATAATAACCCTCTATGACATCAACAATCTATAAACGTAAATATGCAACACTCATGACGATAAAATTATATTACTCTTATTATTATAATACACATACAACCCAGGAAGGTTAGTACTATAATCAACTAAGCTAAATAATTAAACATAAAATAATTATATGTACACATACATAAATATTTTATATAGTACATCACAGGATTATACATGGGTCACAGACATAACTCTTCAGCCTGTGACCCCTACCAATGCAGTGGTCAAATGTTAGACAAGTCAAGAGTACTTAAAAGTTATAAACTTATAAGTCATGCAGTTAGCAGTCGTTAATTCCAGTACCCACATAATTAAATAAATAAATAAATATATTTCATGAAATACTAAGTAAAATCATCACTATATACCTAAACCTACCACATGAAGTAAGAATTATCACATTAATTTGCACTTGTAAGATGTACGAGTAAGTAATTGATTATTTTTACCTAAATTTCTGTTCAATTTGTTGATTTTAAAATTCGGTCATTTGACCAACTAACACAAGAGAACTTACATATTTAGTAAAAGAATAAACATAAAATATTGTCTCTAGCTGTTTTCTTACCTGCTATAAAACACAACAGCAAAAAACATGCTCGCAAGAGCGCTTTACTTTTGATAGTTCTGATCGACATCGTGAAGCGAAGTGTAGGCGTGATGTGTGAGATAAGACTGAAACTAAATACTGGTATAGGTAACTAAGGGTGCTAGCGACCGCTGTTTTTCTAAACAATCATTTATTTACAAAAGAAGTGCAAAAGATAACTACTCGCTCCCCGATTCTCGTAAGGATCTATTACTAAGCTATTTTTAATAAGTCAGGTGATTAATTGTTAGTTATTTGTTGTATAATCGTAAGTAAGTAATGAAAAAGACTTTTTAAGACTATTAGTATTAATTAGGACCATTTAGCAAGACCTATTTCAGGTTTCTGTACATATGCATCTCAAGATTCACAAATGCAAATAATGAATATTATAATAGAGACATAAAAGGAGCTTTTTAAAAACTTTCAACATTTACCACTTCTCTACTCTTTATAGAGGTCGCAAACTTTAGTTTACAGTATTTTTTGTATTTACCTAGTTTTATGTATTCTACTTTTTATAATTTAATCGTGATAGTTCACTTAAAGAAATCCATCCCCAAGTTCCCTGGCTGTGTTTATATCTACAGATGAGACGCGAAGTACAGCCTCACAAAATGTGTCATGTGGTAGGTAAAAAAATGTTAGCATGGTAACATTGTTATAACCTGTCTTTTACCGGCTGTTGTGATCAGTTGTGATTGTTTTGCTTAGTTTTGCTGTATGATATATTTGTGTAGTGTTCACTTATAAATTGTAACAATGACAACAAACCCGAGAAAGGGTACCGACCCTGCGCCTATGGAAGAAAGTGACCAGCTCGGCATTAGACCATTGTAAATTAATATTTTAAGTTTTATATGGAAGATTTGAATTTTAACACATTAAAGAGTTCTTAAACTGATCATATACGAACTGTTAATTGTTTTTTCAGTAATATTTACTTGATTACAAGTATCCCGTTGCTAATTAGCCAGATAAGATAATTTTCTTTCTGATGCCAGACATTCAGATAATTTTGTTAAATCCTTTTCTAAATATTCTAATGCTATTCTTACTATTCATTAAAGCCTAGAAACTACAATAATTAAAATTGTGATAAATCCCATTGAACATTTCTAATTTCCAACATATACCTACTCCATATTTTTTAATAGCTTTAGTACTTCTATTTACACTTGTTATATATGATGACACATCAATAATAGTAATAATAATAACTTGAGACACCTTACACAAATTAATTACAATACATACCATTAAATACATCTCTCTCAATTTGAGATTTAAGAACTTGTCGGTGGAGTAATTGCCACTGCTATTTCTTGCGATCTGTTTGACCTCTTGATAGGCTACAACTCCCACTTTCTCCTTCACTTGCTGTATATATATTGTTCTAGGCCGTCCTCATTTTCTCTTGCTAATTTTTCTTCCAGTATTATTCTAAAGAAGATGTCCATTTTGCTTCTTCCGTTTTCAATAAATAAAAATGACCAATTAACTAAATACATACATTCACATAAATACACAGTCCACAGTGTTTGTGATGAGTGGGTTACCTACAACATATGATGCCCAGGACATGCTCGACACACCCACTTGGTCCAAACGTTAGTTAGTTCTTCAACCACTTAATTCTACTTTTTCTTTCATTTCTAATGTCATTTCACCTGGCGGCCAGTTGTCCTACAGTTTCTTTTCATAGATTTATATTTGTGTTCTATATTTCAGAGGTGCGGGTCAAGAAGTGGGCAGATCGTGTATAATGTTGGAGTTTAAAGGCAAAAAGATAATGGTAAATAACGTTTTTATGTTCCGTTAGATATGTATTTGGATTGGGATACTTAATGTTTAAATGTTGATGAAGTTTTTATCATGAATAAAGGATGTATAAAATATTAAGAATGTATAAAATATTAATAATGTTTTCTTTTTTATCTTTGTATAAAGATAAAATATTAAACAATTTTTTATTTTATTTAATTATTTTTTAAAAAGACAACTGCATTAAGAGTATATCCTATTTCGTTGGGTACTTTACAAACATACATGAAACAGACACAAAGAACACCCAGACTCAGAACAACACTTTGTGTGATCCACAAATTGGGATCAGACTCACAACACACAGCGTAGTAGTAAGCGCGGCGTGGTGACCGCTTAAACCACCACACCATCCGTGCAGACAATAACTATCGATAATGATGAGAAAATGACGCCAATCAGACAGACAGACATGTCAAACTTATAATACCTTTCCAATTGAATTGGGGGCTCATAAAATATATGTATTTATTATATTTAACATTTCCAATATTTGTAAATTGTTGATTTCATCAGTTTTAGGACTTATAGTTCACTATGCATTTTTAACTTATAGCATTCCTTTTGTAGTTGGACTGTGGCATACACCCTGGGTTATCTGGCATGGATGCTCTACCCTTTGTAGATCTGATAGAAGCTGATGAAGTGGACCTTCTTCTTATTTCACAGTGAGTATTTTTTTTAAGGACTTTTTTTGTTTTATATAGATTTCTGGTTGTCTTAAGTTCTGTCGTTTAAATAGGTAAAACTCTGAAATGAAACCTATTTCTTAATGTGAATGGTCAATGGGTTCAAGTGCTGGTGCCGGGCCTATCGCGTAATAGACACACACACACACGCATAGATAGCGACACATTAGTAGGTTCAGGGAGTATTCCTTGCGACGCGTCAGTCGACACCTCCACTGTCTGCTGTGTTACTCCCACTACCTAACCATGTTTGATACGAACCTAGCAATGCCCCTTTGGATATTACTTCAAGAAAATAGCTTACTTAAGCTCTAGGCAATCCAAGGTGTTTAAGTAGCTTATAGAGGTATTTAGCTGGTTCCTCTCGCACCCACTCCCACGTCATACAACGCAACGAAATAACTATTTCTCACCTAACGACGAGATACATAGTTTAATTATTGTGGTAGAGCCAATGCTTCATTCAGCACAAAAGCACCAGCTCGACAGTAGTGATACCACGACCTAACAGAAGCAATTATTTTGTTACTTTCCCTGAGTGAGTGTACTTGCGCCCAAACCTGCCTCCTCTCTGACTATTGGGGGGGGGGGGGGGGGGGATATTACTTAGTTACAGCTGTTCATTGACGGTAGTATTCCCTTACCGTCAGAAGACCCATCTGCTAATTTGCCCCCCATACCATGAAAAATCTTATTTTCCATTTCAGTTTCCACCTTGACCACAGCGGGGCGCTGCCATGGTTTCTGACGAAGACTTCCTTCAAAGGCCGCGTCTTCATGACCCACGCCACAAAAGCTATTTATCGATGGCTCGTCTCCGATTATATCAAAGTTAGGTAAGTACAGTTATAGCGCTGGGTCTTGGAGAGCTATTCTTCGGTACATACAGGAGATTTAACCACCATGGTCCGTGTGGTGACGGATTAAGAATACAGAGTGTCACCACCCCTATTCATCCCGTGGGTGTCGTAAGAGCCGACTAAGGGAGAAAACTACGCAGAACAAAAGCACTGCAGAGAGAAGGAAAACTTGACACAAACCCTATACCAACCCGTCAGGCCAGCGTGGTATAGTACGCCAAAACCTCCTTTCTAAGGAGAGGCCTATATCTAGCAGTGGATTGTTAAAGGCTGTTAATGAATGATGAACCACCATGCCCTAATTCTTGATGGCACCTAAAGAGCGGGAACGTTGCTTGTGTCTTTTAAATTGCTGGCGTGGACGGCGGTAGTCACTCGTCTGCTTGCCTCTAATACCATAAAAAATCATATCCTAAATTAGTTAGCTTTAGTAAAATATATTATTAAGGTCACCTCAAGTGGAGACAAGTGGAACTCATCTAATATTCCAGAAGAACTTAGAACTTTCCAGAACATTGCTCAATGTTCTAGTTATTATGAAAAACTCTCCAGAAATTATTTTGTTCTAGATAAAAGGCATCTATCATATGTCCGTTTCAAACACATATCCTATCATTACCATTTAGTCCTATTCGAAGAAAAATTCCACCCCTAAGGGTGGTGACATATCAAGAATACGGAGTGTCACCACCCCTGCTCATCCCGTGGGTGTCGTAAGAGCCGACTAAGGGAGCAAACTACGCAGGACAACAGTACTGCAAAGAGAAGGAAAACTTGAAACAAACCCTATATCAACCCGTCTGGCCAGCTTGGTATAGTAGGCCGAAACCTCCTTTCTAAGGAGAGGCCTATATCCAGTGGATTACTATAGGCTGATGATGATAATGATGATGAAGGGTGGAAATGAAAAAATATATCTATCACACACACACACATAATATTTATCACAAATCATCGAGAAGCCGCGTGAACTTTTTAAAATATTTTTTTTAATATTTTTTAACTAAATATGTTTGTTTGCCACAGCAATATATCAACAGAACAAATGTTATACACGGAGTCGGATCTGGAGAATTCAATGGACCGTATCGAGACGATCAACTTTCACGAGGAGAAGGACGTGAGGGGGGTCCGCTTCTGGGCGTACAACGCCGGCCACGTGCTCGGAGCCGCCATGTTCATGATCGAGATCGCTGGAGTCAAGGTAAATAAAAAATTGAGCTTATTTTTAGGGTTCCGTACCTCAAAATGTAGGAAAAGGAACCCTTTTAAGATCACTTTCTTGTCAGTCTGTCCTTTGGGTGGGAATCCAACCAACACCCCCCTTGTTCAGCAGTCAGCATTACTAACCACTGGACTAACAGACCTGTACGATCTCTCAATAACCTCACACATCTCACATACGGCTATCTGACCCAACCAGGCAAAGCCTGTGCAATGGCAACTAGACTGGTTTGATGCCCGGACCGGGCAAAATTATATAGGGTTTTTCAGAGAGAAAAAATAGCCTGAATTACTGCTTATATTGACAGTTACCTGGTAGTAGGTAGTTTTTCAGCCGTTTCGAAGATTACTCATAACAAAGGGACAGACAAACAGACAAACAAAAAATATTTAAACTGGTTTTTAGGCACAGGTATCGTGCAAATTACCGTGTGAGCATGATGTGACCGATTATTTTGATATTACAGACAGACACTTCATTTAAATGTATAGTTTATTATGAGTTCAGTCATTTGTTCTGTATCTGGGTATTATTTATCCATAATATATATATTGTCTAGTATTCGACAAACTGTAGGTTTTCGTATCAAATAAAACCTCTTCTTACTTAAAATGTTGATATAATTGTCTAAGATAACATTTACAGTATATTCTAGACGAATTTTCGTAAGTAATGACTTGCGTTTTTACTACAATATTTTAGCTATGAGTTGTGGGTGGCAGTGAAAAAATATTGCCTTCAAAAAAATAAAAATGTCCGTCGCATAAAGATCGATTCTTGATTGTCTGTGGTTAGATTGTTGTAATAGGCGTGAACATATATATATATGTATACAGAAATATGTAAGTATGTTTATTATCAGTCTGATTACTGTACGGCTCTGCCTAGTTTGGGATCCGACAGCCTCCTAGTGTTAGATGTGTGAGGTTATTATTATTGGAATAACATTTTACTATAAACATGAAAATTATGATTAATACCGTAAGCTTATGTTTCTAAAATAAAAATAAAAACAATGCATTGTTAATTGTTATAGATACTGTACACAGGCGACTTCTCCAGGCAGGAGGACAGGCATTTAATGGCCGCTGAAATACCGACAGTGCATCCGGATGTTTTGATTACGGTACGATAATATATATGCACGTATGGCGTAGTGGTTTAAGCGGTCGCCACGTCGCTTCCTGCTACGCTGAGTGTTGTGGGTTCAAACCCCACATGGGACGACACTTTGTGTGATCCACAAATTGTTGTTCTGAGTCTGGGTGTTCTTTGTGTCCGTTTCATGTATGTTTGTAAAGTACCCCGCGACACAGGATATATCCCTAATGCGGGAGTTGTCTTTAAAAAACAAAAAAATATATATATTTATATGTTAGAGAGGGCAGACGAGCAGACGGGTCACCTGATGGAAAGTGACTATCGCCGCCCATGAACGTCTGCAACCCAGGAGTCACAAGCGCGTTGTCGGTCTTTTAGGAAGGAGTACGCTCTTTTCTTGAAGGTTTGAAGGCGATAACTCGTTCCACAGATTGGTTGTAATATATATAATTTAGCACGTGCACTGTATATTTCTGTTCGAATTAGAGCCGCCCGACCGTTTATTTTTTATGGGACCGAGCAGGGTGATACCACAGCTTCGCAAAACTGGTGTTAAGTAATTCTTTTGGTGCATTTCAACGAGGAATGAGGTTACTGAGACCCAACAGCCCCTCGGGGGATACTCATAGGGCTCTTGTATTGCAGGCGCCAATGAGCGGCGGTAGTCACACCATTAATACATACTAGACAAGGCAATTATTGCTATTTTTAAAACATATTCATTTAATGAAATGATTAGGTTTAGTCATAGGTATTTCACATTTGTTTGTGATTTAGTTATAGACAAAGATAAATGGTATTAAAATCAATCAAAATCCTTTTTATCAAAGATTATGTTTTTTTTTTAGATTTAGAGATTTTGCGCATAATAATTAAGTAGGAGTGGTTTTGTAAATCAGTCACAGGTGTGGTGATATCATGTAGAAATCATATGATTTATCACATATGATTGTGATTTTCTGCCATCTCTAATACATACATATGTATGATTTTTTTCTGTGATACAGGGGTCAAATAAGCATATGGGTTACCTCAATAAGAAGCATGGTTCTCCCACGGTAATATATCGTTTTAAAATAATCACCTCATCACATCCACAGCCTTTAAAAGTCCACTGCTGGACATAGGCCTCTCCTTAGAAAGGAGGTTTTGGCCTACTATACCACGCTGGCCAGACGGGTTGGTATAGGGTTTGTATCAAGTTTTCCTTCTCTTTGCAGTGCTGTTGTCCTGCGTAGTTTGCTCCCTTAGTCGGCTCTTACAACACCCACGGGATGAATAGGGTTGGTGACAATCCGTATTCTTAATCCGTCACCACACAGACGGAAAAGACGGTAAATAATAACGTATGCCTTTCTCTCAGGAGTCCACCTACGGCACTCACATCCACGAGAAGCGAGAAGAGCGCGAGAGCAGGTTCACCGGTCTCGTCAGCGAGATCGTACAGAGGGGGGGACGATGTCTCATTCCTGTGTTCGCGTTGGGACGAGCCCAGGAACTGCTCCTCATACTTGGTTCGTATTTTTACTTAAAACGTATTATGAGTGTGGGTGGTTTTAACAAATGGCCCGTTAAGTGGTTAATGTGACTTTTAAGTCAGAGGTCGTGGGTTCGATTCCCACCCAGGAAGGATATTGTGTGATGAGCACGATCATTTTTTCTGTATCTGAGTGTATTTATCTATAGTATGATGCATTTAGAAATATATAAGGAAGTTTATCAGTACAGGCTCTGCCTAATGAGATTACGAGTATTATTATAACTAGCTTGTCTGAAAACTTTGTTTGTTTGGTTGAACATGCTAATCTCATGAAGTATTGTTTCGAATTAGAAAATTCGTTTAGTGTTGGATAGTGTATTTATCGAGGAAGACTATAGACCACTCTACGACGAATGGTAGACGAGCATCAATGGGGCAAAAATGTTGCATAAACCGGGAAATTTATTCCTTTTGAGATACCTTTTAAAATAAGGTTTTGCCATTAAAAATAAACATGTTTCTAAGTCTATCCGTCTTATGGTTACCATGTCCTGAGCTATCCATCCTCCACAGACGAGTACTGGTCCCTCCACCCTGAGCTGCAGGACATCCCGATCTACTACGCCTCGTCTCTGGCCAAGAAGTGCATGGCGGTGTACCAGACGTACGTGAACGCCATGAACGATAGGATCCGGCGGCAGATCGCCATCAACAACCCCTTCGTGTTCAGGCATATCTCTAACTTGAAGGTAAGTGGACACCAGATGCAATTTTGTGTTCACTATAAGTTAAGTAACTGGACTGTTTTAAGTGTGCATAAAAAATTAAGTTTTAGCTCGAAGCATATAAATACAGGGTGTAAGGGACGTGTAACGAATACCAAAATAGTGTATTCAAACTATCATTCTGAGTCGAAAATCATTGGAATTTTCGGCAGCTGTCGAATTTTAAGGTCACTCCCCGTAGGTATCGCACAAAAGTAATAACTACATGTGTATTACGTGCAAACAATCTACGTACACTAACACATGTTGGGGGCCGGAGGGAAGGCCCCGCGCGCTTCGGCTGTTTAATTAATTACATAGCAGTTTTTGACATTTATTTCGGTAAAATGTTCTATTTACTCATTGTGATATCATTTTTAACCAAAAAATAGAAAATTATGAAAAAAATCCAATGATTTTCGACTCAGAACCATAGTCTGAATACACTATTTCAGTATTCGTTACGATGCCCCTTACACCCTGTATATACCGAGAGGTAAAAGATTTAATCAAAAAGCTTTTAGTATCAAAATGATTTAATAAATTTGATATGACTTATAATTAAAATGCCTGTTGTGTTTTAAGCGATAGCGTTTTCTTCTCCAATGGAAAATACGTCAAGCTCTGGTTTCACTTTATCATATAAATGAGGGAACGCCCCGTCCGCTTTGTACTTCTTGCGGACTTCCTCGTAAAGAGACAGATCAAACATCACCTCAAACTCTTCACGAGTCATAAATATATCCGCGTACAGGAAAGAATAACCCCCCACTTCCCTTGTAAAGTCTTCCATTTTCCTCATAGCGGCTACAGGGTTGTACGGCTTTTTATCCTTCACCTTCCCCGGAACGCCATACACCCCTAAATCGTTATACATTGCGTAATTTGTCCCTGGGACTAAGTATTTCGAATCCGGTCTTTTCAATTGACCCGACGATGGACCGTGATCAATAATTTTACAAGGATACACCAGCAATGGAAACTTCTCGAATAGAATGCTGGCTATTTCAATCTGTCTCTCTAATTCTTTGATGGGGAGTACGATATCCTGGAACACCTGTTTCGTGAAGGTATAAGCTCTAATTCCAGGTGTTGTGGTCCATTTTAAGAAGGCTGGTTTAGGAGGTAAAAGCCATCCAAATAAGTACCGGAAAATGGTCTTATTTCCAAAAGATAACATATCTTCTACTACCCAGAAGATAGCTCTGTTGTGTCTTAATAAATAGTCTCTCAAAGGAATCAACTCTTCAGATTCTCCCTTCTCTAAGAAGGTCTCCACGTGCTTGTAAAACCAGGGCTTGTGCCATTTTGAGCAGCTATTCACAGGGATGTTGGGGTCATAGTCTGCGTAATCCCCAACCATGATCACAGCCTCATCCTTACTGTAAATAGTACCTTCGATGTAATCAGGGAATTCTTTTGGAACCTTCTCGTAAGTTCCAGAAAATTCTCTCAACATATCGCAGTATTTCTTCTGGCCTCTGACTGGGATGTACTTGATTTTGATGTAAGGTTTGATCTTCACGATCTTGATGGTCATTGCTACTAGGAAACCTAGACTTCCATGGCACCAGGGGAGTGTCTTGAATAAGTCGGCGTATTCGTTGTCGGCTGTAGCCTTTACCAAGGAACCGTCGGCTAGAACCACTTCGTAGCTCGTGATGGTTTCGTGGTACAGGCCTGCCTTGTGGGAGTGAGTTGACATTCCAGTTCCAAAGGCCAGACCTGGAAATATAGTAGAAGTTTGTCTATATTCATGAATAATATAAAAATTAAGCATTAATGTTGTAAACTAACAATCCAAGGACCTCCACAAGTAATTGCCTGAGGCGAAGAGTGGTGGGACTTTAGACTAAGTTGGAGTCCACTGCTGGACATAGGCCTCTTCTTAGAAAGGAGGTATTGGCCTACTATACCACGCGGACCAGACGGGTTGGTATAAGGTTTGTGTCAAGTTTTCGTTCTCTTTGCAGTGCTGTTGTCCTGCGTAGTTTGCTCCCTTAGTCGGCTCCTACGACACACACGAGATGAATAGGGGTGGCGACATTCCGTATTCCTAATCCGTCACCACACGGACATCTATTTATTCTGTAACAAGACATTAATAGACTTTTTAAGCTATTGCATATCTTCTATCGCGGGCCTTGAGCGTGGAGACCGAAGCCAGAAATTCCGAAACGAAAATAACCTAACACACCCCACGTGACACGTGATTTAGTTTTGCCATCTATCGATGAATAGCAGAAATTTAAATGACTTTTTTGAAATGTCACGCTTGTCTCTTTAGTTCAGCAACTCGCCTCTAGGTCGCATTGGTTGTATCGGCGTTACTGCGCATGTAATCCCCCTCTTCGCCCCGCAATCTAATTAATATCAAAGAAAAAAAAACAAAGGAAAAAAATACTGCATATATAAAATAAATAAATAATTATAATTGCATAAGTTGATAAAAAATGCTATGTAATAACTTTACCGCGGCAGTCCCCGAGTGCCACACGTCTTTTTTTATTTATAAGCGTGGGACTATGTGACCAACTAACCTCCTAGAGTAGCATCCGTCAGTTCGATAGTCACAGCTAGTGAGTATCCCCTCGGTATAAGATACGCCGTAATATCGCCTATAGTCACCATGGGCTCCACTCTGACTATCATCTCTGCTTCGTTAAGCTCCAAGATATCGTACAGAGGGATGGGCACTTGGTGATGTAGGTGCTTTTGGAAGAATGTCGTGGATAAAGACAGCCAGTTGGGACGGGAGGTGCAGAGTAGACGCCGGTCTTCTGGTGGTAGCTTGTTCCATTGTTGCACCTGGGGAAATGGAATTGAATATTCAGTTATTCTGGATAAACGAGAGACTAAATGGCTAGTGGTGGAGTCAACCCCAATAATAAAAACGGTCGTCTGATCACAAACTAGGCAGAGCCCGTGCTATGGTAACCAGACTGCTGATAAACATGCTTATATATTTATAAATAAATACATATTATAATTATAGATAAATAACACCAAGTCACAAAACAAACGGTCGTGCTCATCACACAATTATTTGTCCTAGGTGGGAATCGAACCCACGACCTCTGGCTTAGCAGTCAGGATCACTGACCACTAGAGCGTCCCTTCATTGGCTTACTTGCTTATTTTCATTTATTAGTCTCGACTGAATCACGCCTATCGTGACCTCGCTTAACCAAGGTGTCCATATTAATATTAAGTTGATCTTTTCTTCAGACAGTTAGAGATTTAGGTGCTTAGATTTTATTACAACGGCCAGTTCGAGTTATACTCTCAATTCATCTTAATCTCATGACGACTGAATGGCGTATTGGTTTGTGTAACGGACTGCTATTCCAAAGGTCGCGGGTTCGATTCCCGCTCAAGTCAAACATTTTGTGCATGAACATTTAATGTTTGATTTGGTCTGGGTGTTTCTATGTATAATATGTATGTATTTACAAAAAAAAAGTATATTTGTATTTATATCAGTTGTCTAGTACCCATAGTACAAGCTCTGCTTAATTTGGGACTAGATGGCGTTGTGTGAATGTGGTACAATATATTATTAATAACTAATCCAATAACTGGTGCTTATAACACAGGGTTTCCCTTTTTTGAGCACCAGTCGCTAAATGTGAAGACTTACTAACTAAATGTAGCCCGATCAATACATTGTAACTACTGAAATTGATTTTAATAAAAAAAACAAAAATTATGTTTTTATAATCTTTTTTCTACCATTGCCTAATTCAGCTTGCCTTATAAATACTCTTAAATTCTCACCTGATTCATCGAGTGCCCAATTGTCGGCAATAGGGGACTAAAACCATATTCAGCAAAACCACCCACATTTAATACGTTCCCAAAACAACCCCCTCCTCAATTCGGGGGGAGCGGTTTACTCAATCCGTGTGATGACGGATTTAGAATACAGAGTGTCACCACCCTTATTCATCCCGTGGGTGTCGTAAGAGCCGACTAAGGGAGCAAACTACGCAGGACAACAGCTCTGCAACAGAGAAGGAAAACTTGAAGCTAGCTAGGCCCTTTTGGCTAGCGTGGTATAGTAGGCCAAAATCTTCTTTCTAAGGAGAGGCCTATGTCCAGCAGTGGACTAGTATAGGCTGTTGATGATGATGATGGTTTACTGGAGAATGCGTGACCCATCTTCTCTTTTGCCCCCTAACCATAAAAAAAGTGAACTGACGTAGCTGAGATGCTCTGTTGTGATCCTATGACAAATTCTCTGGAGTCCAGCTATGAGTGACCTAAAGATGAGAGATGAAATTAGTGTAAAAATCACATACTCTCTGTTGTATCTCTCTGACGTTGCTGTCATGACGCTGAGGATCGCTGGTCAGCCACCGCACGTACGCCTTGAACCTCATCAGCACGGTAAAGAGGAAGCTGGCCGGTAAACAGAACACGGCCACCACAAACTCTCTGTGATCCTCCAGCCATTGGATGAGCCAGGATTTCAATGAGTCCGGTAACATTTCTGTAGGAAATTAAATTCAATGAGACTTTTTAGTATTAGGTTACACGGCTCTTAGTTTCTGGTAACATCCAGCTCGAGTTACGGGTATTTGAGTCTGGCCTGTTCGTAATATGGCTTATATTTCTGTAAATTCTTATACTGGCAAGAACGACATCTTGTAATCTTTGACAGGCCTGCTGGTCTAGTGGTTAGTGACCCTAACTGCTAAGCTGGTGGGCGTGGGTGGGTTTGATTCCGATTCGATGAGCACGATTATTTGTTATGTGTCTATGTGTGAAATTTCTCTATAATAGAGATATATACCTAAGTATGTTTACCAGCAGTCTGGTTACTATAGTAGATACAGGCTCTGTCTAGTTTGGAACCAGACGGCCGTTTGTAAAATGTGTGATTATTATTATTCATATGTATTATGAAGAGGAAAGCTTGTTTGTAGTCGACAACCTCAAAAACTAAAGAACCGATTTTGGTAGTTCATTCATCATTAAAATGATACTTTAAAAATGACATAAGCTACATCTTATTATTTATAGGTATAAAAAAAACACCTTAAAAACCACAAAAAAAGCAAGTTTATTATTTCGTAATCATTTAATAATTAATAAATGTTTTTAGATTTTTGCAACTATGAGTAACTTTTTTGTCATTTCATCTGGCAAACGAGCATGCAGTGGTACATTTGCGATCAGCGTTTTATCTAACGTCCCGACTACTCGTTTGATCTCCCCCCCCCCCCCCCCCCTGTATCATCATCATAATTTAACACTATAATCCTAAATTAAAAACGTGTAAAATAATATATATTTTACATTATTCAATAGTTATTTGAGTAATGTTACAAACAATACCAAATAAATTTCATACCTTGCAATTAAAATATTAGGACGTAAGACCATAAAGATCGTATAACCAAAATGTTTATATTTGAAAATTTTCATAAAAATCTCCAGGTAAAGATATATTATTAAGATATCAGATCCATTTTCTGATATTTTAAGAATAGTAAGCGTCAGTTTAACATACTACCGATTCATTCAATAATTTATAAGCTAACTTATATACTAAAAACACCGGCAAATATACATGTTTATTTGTTTAATACTCTTCTTCTAAAAGTATAACGATACAATAATCTAAAGACATGTCTAATATCTCCAAATACTTTATAATACGTATATTATGTAAAAAAAATCATACTTTCAATTGAAATCCACACCAAATATTTTTCTAATCACACACCCATCCGTCCCGGCTCACTCGCGTCACAACACTACAGATAAAACAAAATACACGCTCCGTTACCCACAATCTTATCATATTGTACGATTACACAAGATTAATAATTAAAAATATAATTCTGTAAGTTAATATAATTCATTAAAAAAAACATGCAAAAGATGTTAGATTTATAAGCATTATGGTTCTTGTGTTTCCATGGCTGCCGTGAAATGAAACGTGTTTAAATTTAGAGACTATCAAGGTCAATGTGGAAACAAATTTAAACCATGAATGTTCTATGATGGGGATAAAAATGTTAATACATTATGTGACCGTGGGAGAGCTGTTCAGCACAAATGGGCGGCCTCGCCTGCAGTACCACGGCCTCAGCAGAAAACTGATGTTAGAACATTTTTTCATTGTTTTTCACCGAGTGAGTGAGGATTAACGGAGCCCAAAACCGATTCGCATCGCATTAAGAATACAATGGAACCACCCCTATTCATCCCGTGGCTGTCGTAAGAGCCGGCTAAGGAAGCAAACGACGAAGGACTGCAGCACTGCAAAGAGAAATAAAACTTGACACAAACCCTATACCAACCCGCCTGGCCAGCCTGGCCAAAACATCCTTTCTAAATAGAGGCCTATGTCCAGCAGTGGACTGTTAAAGGCTGTTGATGATGATGATGATGATGATTACGGGAGGGAGAGAGTTACATGTGCGTTGCCCTCCCTCCTGATCGTAGGGGAAGGCGGGGTTGGTTGAGGGGGTTAGAAAATTAACACTTCTGACTCTTAGATGTTGGCCCGTCAGCTTGTTTGCCTCCGTATTCAATAAAAGTAGTACTATAGATAGGCCAGTGTCAATACCCAAAAAAATCCTAAAAAGGGCGGGAAATTGCCGATGATAAGTACTTTTATATGAACATAGCTATAGAATCATTTTACATAACAAATGGAAAGGACCTTGACTCTATCAGACACTATTAATTCGGCAGTGTGTAAAAATTGACAACGTTCAGTGAATTTGAACTTTATAGTTATAAACACAAGTACAATATTGCTTTAGAAGTTTAGTTACTAACTACAGCTATTTAATCCGAGATTGTATTGTGTGACGTAGCTGTTCAGGTGTCGAAAAGAATCTAATCGGATTCTTTAACTAAGATTATTTTCTATTACATATCGTCAGGCCCGTCCCTAATCTATTGGAGGCCCTGGAATCTATTTCCCAGTCCATTTTAGCAAAAGCTGACCCAAGAAAGCCAGACTTCGGCATAGCTCGACTGGAGTGATACCATGGCCTCACAAAAAACCGGTGTTAAGCAATTCCTTCGTTGTTTTTTACAGACTGACCTCCCTTCCCCTGATCAACAGGAGAAACTCCAGGGTGGAAACACACTTGTGGCTCATGCACACAGCTGCTAAAACTGTGATCAACCTAAAAATATTGGTGTTTCATTCCAGGGTATAGATCATTTCGAGGACATAGGCCCGTGCGTGATCATGGCCTCGCCCGGTATGATGCAGTCGGGCCTGTCCCGGGAGCTCTTCGAGTCGTGGTGTACTGACCCTAAGAATGGAGTCATTATTGCTGGTAATGTATCAGTTTTGCTACTATTAATCACTATATAACTTTATGGAATACGTAGAAATCTCGTAGACACACGTCTTGGATTGATGTTTAATGAATTTGCGGAGAGAGGGGGGAACCGGGGTGGACCCTTGCGCATATAAATGATTCACCTGTTTCTGTGCTGTGCTATACATTACTGCTTTTAACTTAATATCTTATATTTTTCATATTATTTTGGCTATTTACATATAGTGGCGGAACTGTCACAGGTTGCACTAAGGATGGGAGGTAAAATATTGGGTCCGGATGTCTAATAGAAGCGGTTCCTGGATCTCTTCTATTTTATGCGCAGTATGGAACTTTTATGGGTTTAGTCGGTTCGATTCTGACACACCGCTCTACCGAAAACCCTGGTGTGGTGACGGCCCGCGTGGGATTCCACAGGTAAAAGAAAGGTGGTGGGAATTGAGAAGCCACCTAATTAAATGAAAACAGTTTCTTTATTGTGGATGGATCGACGTTGATGCCTTCTCCAATTCTACCTCCACTATCTAAATTTATATGTCCTTAAATTTTCTTTATTTCTGTTTATTTTTCACCTAATATTACTTACATGTAAATCCTAACTGCCAATGGCACAGCGAGTACTATGACTACATGTAGTTGTCTCTGTGTCCAGGTTACTGTGTAGAGGGCACGTTAGCGAAAACGATTCTCTCGGAGCCTGAGGAGATCACATCCATGTCGGGTCAGAAGCTGCCTCTCAAGATGTCAGTGGACTACATCTCGTTCTCAGCTCACACAGACTACCAGCAGACGTCGGAGTTTATCAACATTTTGAAACCACCGCATGTGGTATGATAGAAGCGCTAACAACTTTCTTTCACAGATTCTTTTAAATAACTAAATTGATAAGCAAGCAAATCCTGCCCTCCCTCTGGTTCTGGAGTGGACGGGGACTGGGGGGTGAGGGGGGGGGGCAGGATGGTGAACTCAAAAGGCAGCACCGCACTTGTTACTATTTGATTTGGAGCAGGCAATGGGTGGCGGTAGTGACTTACCATCGGGTGACATGTTTGCTCGTTTTTTCCCTATGCTCATAAAGAAAACAGAAGTGAAAACGGTAACAGTGGCGCGAGTCAAATGTTATTTTTCATAAAATATATTATTTTGTTTGTTTTTCAAATATGCCGTTCATATTGCCCAATGCGCCTAATGAAGTTCTGTCTTCAAAACCCTGAAATACTTTGCTTGTTTACTTTTAAATTATGTAGTGTATTGTTAATGTTATCTGTTATTTATAATAATAATAAAACTAAACTCTGAACAAAGGATTTATAAGGTATTATATTTAAAAAAAACAATCGAAACAACAAAATACACATACCAAAAATACAAATACACTTAAAAAAATATGGAAAGAATTAGACTGCCGTTTCGAAGACAAGCACTAGGCTTGTATATACATAATTATTCTTTCTGATAGACTTCTTACAATAGTATTCTTTGACATCTTTGTTAGTTTGTAGGTGGTGGGTTCGATTCCCAGGACAAATAATGTGAGGTCACATATTCTGTGAACCATGAAATTCGTGTGACGTAATTTGTGGATGGTCCATAACTGGAATCGCGTTTCTGAGCGTGGTATGTGAGGTCACGGGGGAGTCGCTGACGAGTGGTGTGCGGCAGGTGCTGGTGCACGGCGAGCAGAACGAGATGTCGCGGCTCAAGGCGGCGCTGCAGCGCGAGCACCGCGGCCGGCTGCAGATCCACACGCCGCGGAACACGCAGCAGCTCGCACTCACCTTCCGCGGGGACAAGACCGCCAAGGTACCGACATACCACTCTCCTTCTGAGAGCCTTGTGTCATTTTTCTAGTTTTTAATCTTCACCGATCGTAATGCTGTACGCCCTGGCTGTCGAGAGCGAGTTGCATAGACAGCTGACTCATCAAGATATCGACCTCCGGTCTTGGAAGTGAGTGATATGGCGACTCACACATACAAAAAAAACAGAAACATACTACAGCGCCATCTAACGGAGACACACTGAACTACGGAGTAACTCCTGAATGACAATTGCTAATCCTGAATCGCGATATGAAAAATTCTCTCGCCGTTTAGCATATATACAACTTCCCAACATCAACCGTTAAGCCGCGGCCCACCAGGCCGTCCTGCCGTCACCTCGTGTTGGAGGGACATGACACCTGTTCCTCCACAATCTGAAACCTATTGTATTAAACACACTTAAGCGTCAAAGAGCCAACAATAACCCATAAACCGGTGGTTATATAGGTGCAGGGTATGCAGTAGAACCTGTCGCTCTATAAATGGCTTACATAGCCTCAAAACAAGATGTATGGCTACGAGACAGTGACTAAATCGTCTGAAATAGACTTGGGAGGCCAGCGAATATCGATCAAATTGTGATTTGGTATAACTAGAAAATAAAAACAGCAAACAGGTGTTGAGCACTGCTGTGCTGAGCTTTCGGGTTCGAAGCCCGGGTCGGACCAAATGTTAGTATGACCTCTAAATATTCCATAGTACACGCTCTGCTCAGTTTGAAACTAGATGGCGTTGTGTGTTACATGTCCGAAATATTATTATTATTACATTTTTGTTAATCGAACATATTTTGTACAGGTAATGGGATCATTGGCCGTAGAGAAACCAGAGCCAGGCAAACAGCTACAGGGTATTCTAGTCAAAAGGAATTTTAATTATCACATACTGGCGCCCTCCGATCTTAACAGTGAGTATTTTTAATTTAGTTATGATACAGACTGTGACTCCTGAGTTGCAGGCGTTCATGGACGTTGGTAGCCACTTTCCATCAGGAGACCCGTCTGCTCTTTTGATCTCTATGTCATTAAAAAAAACTTGAAAAACTGTAGTAGTACCCACATTCTTACCTACTTAATTTTGTTTTTGTGGGGAAGTCCCCACGGCTCATAACCTCACCTAAGCCTGTATCTGTAAAAAATGAAGACGGTATGTCTGAATAGATGTTCTGTCATCAGGTCTTGCCGGGGCCTCGTCTGTAGGGTACACAAAAAGAGAAAATCTGTGAATGTAAAATATTAAATTGATTCAGTTTTTTTTTGGTGGATAGTGGTGGATAAAACTCTCTAAACTAAACTAAAAATCTCAAAAAAAATTTTTTACACCAGTGTCTTAGTAGCGTTTTAACGTAGTATTATAAATTACTAGTTGACGTTAGTAATATACTAAAGTTAGGATATTTAAATTCCTTGCTCATCTCAAGGGAATACTATGTGTTAATCCAGTGTGTTTTGATTGATCCAGCCGTTGAGCGTGAAGAAGTAAAAAATATACAAACACACTCACAAACTTTATAGCTTTATAATATTAGTGTGATTATCATCAGAACTAATGAGAAGACCATTGGCAGAAGTAGTTTTATATCAGACTTCATCAATATTGATTATTTTAACATGTCAGAACTTGTTTGTGTCAAACAACATAAACTTATTAAAATACTACAGAATTAATTCAAACATATTTAAATGGTGTATCTAATGTCCAATAATCATGTTTATTTTATTCGATCCTAATATAAAAAAAATGTTTTCTCATAAACATATATTTTAAAGCCGAATATTAAAAAAAAAAAAATTACTGATCCTCTATCGCGCAATCGAAATTCTCGACTGGGATCCCTTCGTGTTTAACGGATTCAGTAGTGTCAAAACATAAAGTATGTTTTGAGCAACTCTGTGCCACCCCCTCAGAGTACACGGAGCTGACGTCGTCGGAGGTGACGCAGCGGCAGTCGATCCACTACGGGGGGTCGGTGGGGCTGGTGCGCCACGTGGTGATGCAGCTGGCCGGCGCCATCGACTTCCTCAGCGAGACGCGCTGGCGCGTCTACAACTGCGTCGACCTCACGCTCGACAACAACACCATCACGCTGGAGGTACCTCCCGCTCTCCTCAAACTAACCTGTTCTGAGTTTTATTCAAACTGTTGAAAAAAAATTAAGGACTTGACCACTTGAAACTTGCAAAGTATGCCTATGTACTATGTGCCTGTTCTAAAAAAAATATAAACAAAAAGAATCTTGCCTCGGTTACGTATAACTACTGTTTCGGTTCTCCGTGCTGGTACTTTCTTTGGGCACTTTTATTTCAAATCCTATAAAAAAAACCCAAGCTTTTAATGTTCTAGTTCAGCATGTCACATTACCTTTAGTTCGGGAGATCAAAACTCCATGGTCTTTCGAGCTTGGAGCTCGAAGGACCATCGAGTGACCATTTTTATACTTCCAAAATAATTGTTGATGATTTATGATTTATTTATTGATGTCCGTGTAGTGACGGATTAAGAATACGGAATGTCACTACCCCAATTCATCCCGTGGGTGTCGTAAGAGGCGACTAAAGGCGCAAAACAACGCAGGACAACAGCACTGCAAAAAGAAGGAAAACTTGACACAAACCCTATACCAACCCGCCTGGCCAGCGTGGTATAGTAGGCCAAAACCTTCTTTCTAAGGAGAGGCCTATGTCCAGCAGTGGACTATTAAAGGCTGTTGATGTGATGATGTGTGATTTATTGCTGTATTTGTTTAATTTTTATTACTGTTATCAATATGAATCGTCTTGTGGTCGTTAATGGTGGTGTCGCGTGCAGTGGTCGGCCCAGCCCGTGACGGACATGTACGCGGACGCGCTGGTGGCGGCCATCCTCAGCGCGTCGCAGCTCCCCGCCCCGCGGCACCTCCCCCTCGCCCCCAAGCTCGACAGGATGCACTTCAAGGTCACTGCTCACCCAACTCTATATCTCTAGCGTTCGTGACTCCTCTCAACGGGACCTCACAACTATACCTATCACCTATAAAATATGGATAAAAAATGAAAAAAATTGTAATTATACAATTCTTAATTTAAATTACAATGAAATTTAATTATTTTAAAATAATGTTATTAAATATTAGAATTTTTTAATTAATTCTAATTATTTCTTCTTTATAATGTTTATGTAGGTATACATTTTTTTAAATTTTGTTGACCTGCACTATACAAATACGATGAATTAGTATCAAATAACCTAAAATTTTGGAACGCTATCTCCAGGAGTGCGCTATCGAGATGCTGCAAGAGATGTTCGGTGAGGACTCCGTCCCGAAGATATTCAAAGGAGACAAGCTGCACGTCACCGTGGACGACAAGCGAGCCGACATAGACCTACTCAATATGGTAATTTATTCTTTGTATTTTAACAACCACATACATCTTGACGACCGGATGGCGTAGTGGTTTGTGTAACGGACTGCTAATCCAAAGGTCGCGGGTTCGATTCCCGCTCAAGTCAAACATTTGTGTGCATGAACATTTAATGTTTGATTTGGTCTGGGTTTATATGTATAATATGTATGTTTTTTCCAAAAAAAGTATACAATGTATTTATATCAGTTGTCTAGTACTCATAGCACAGGCTCTGCCTAATTCGGGATCTGATGTGAGATTATAATTCGGTTGCAGGAGGTGAGTTGTCCTGCGGACGAGGCGCTGGAGCGCGTGGTGCAGTCGGCTGTGAGCAAGCTCTACGCGGCGCTGGCGCCCGTCAGGCCTCCCCCACCGCCCGCTGAGTGACCACACACGTACGGGGGTGACCACTCACGTACGGGGGTGACCACACATGTACGGGAGTGACCACACACGTACGGGGGGTGACCACACACATACCGGAGTGATCACTCACGTACGGGGGTGACCACACATGTACGGGAGTGACCACTCACGTACGGGGGTGACCACACATGTACGGGAGTGACCACTGACGTACGGGGGTGACCACACATGTACGGGAGTGACCACTCACGTACGGGGGTGACCACGCACGTACGGGGGTGACCACACACGTATGGGGGTGACCACACACGTACGGGAGTGACCACTCACGTACGGGACTGACCACTCACGTACGGGAGTGACCACACACGTACGGGAGTGACCACTTACGTACGGGAGTGATCACTGTGCTCTAAGTATTTCAAAGACTTTAATATTTGTATTACAGTGTAGTAATTATATAGTTACATTTTAATATTAAAATTAAGACAAGTGGTAACGAATTTAATTCGTTTTATTTTGTGTTTTCTTTTTTGTGCTCTTTGAAATGTGTATGTGTAAGTATCAGAAGGTTGATGGTGTGTTTGTTGTAAAATAAGAAAACCCTTAGACCGTGATGTTACGATATCTGCGGTCGTGTGAATAAAGACTTAAAACCCTTACTTATTGTTTGTTTTATAGTTTTTCTGGGAAAAAAATTGAATAAGTTACTCCTTATATAGACAGCTACCTGGTAGTAAAATATTATTAAAATCGGTCCAGCCGTTTTGAAGATTACCCGGAACAAACAGACACAGACAAAAAATATTAATACTGGTTTTCAGGAACAGAAATCGTGTGAGCATGAAAAAACCTATTATTTTTGACATTACAAACAGATACTTCAATTTTATTTATTTGTATAAATCAATAATTAAACATATATGACATTATTGGCCACAGAACTGAAAATAATTAAACATGGTACGCTGAAGTTATGAGCAAACGCTCTCAGTAACAGAAATACGGGCTCAACTAACGTCCGCCGAGTTGGGGGTTATTTTTTTTAAGGGTTTTTAAAGGTTACATTATTATAATCACACACACAATGTTTTAACATGTGGAGATGCGTAGGTTTTTAGATTTTTTTTTATTAAAGTCAATTATTTATTTCAGTCCCTAGAATTCTCGCCATTGAACGTTTCGTTTGTCCTACTGTTTAGTTGTCGTATGTTCGGTAACATTTTATTTTATATAAATTTACGTAAATAATTATATTTTATACTCATTTCAATAGTTTTCATGCACACATATATTATATATTTTCACATCACATCAACAGCCTTTATAGTCCACTGCTGGACATAAGCCTCTCCTTAGAAAGGAGGTTTTGGCCTACTATACCACGCTGGCCAGACGGGTTGGTATAGGGTTTGTGTCAAGTTTTCCTTCTCTCTGCAGTGTTGTTGTTCTGCGTGGTTTTAGTTTTTATTGCTTAATTCATATTGGTGCAATTTTAATAGTCATTTTCATTATAAAAAAAGATAGAGATATTATAAAAAACTATTGTAAACTGAGTTTAGACTAGAATTAGTCATAAATCAGGCGCTATCCTTAATAAATCGTAACAAAACTATCAATTGCTTCCAGCTCAACAATGTTGAGCAAAAGTTCGCTTTTTCTCACATACACAAACACAACAACAATGTGTAGGTCACACCAAAGTGTTGTCCCATGAAGGATCGAAACCAAAACACTCAGCGCAGTAGGATGCGGCGAGGTGACCGCTTAAACCACTACGCCATCCGTCCATCAAAGTGGACTAAATATGCCGAACGGATGTCAATCTTTGATTATTTTTTTTACTGCTGTCACCGTCCGTGCAGTCAGTCAAACTATTTATTTCAAGAAAACTAATAAATGTATTGAATATCAAGGAAAAATAAATATATATTATTATGTCTGTATGAGTACATTTATTTATATACAAAACCCCGCACAGCGAGGAACTCTTAACACAAATTCGTTTCTTACATAATGTTGTAGCACATTTAAGTTTATCACAGACGATCAACGGCCCATCACGACTGTGATCGGCCAATATCTTGGTACCCAGCACAAGTAGGCTTGACCCTACTACTCCACTCTTCCAGTTCAGTATCTCTAGGGGTTATTCCTAGAACTTCTTAACATGATTCTTCTACTCCCACTAGGAGCTCTTGGAGTACCGTTTCCAGAATTTCTTGACGTCATCGTGGCCGTGCCTGGTGACGACCATGGTTCGGGATCGTTCGTTCTGCCACGTCAGCACGCCCTGTTGCTTTGCGTAGTCGCGGAGTACTACAAAGTCCGCCTGGGAATCGATAAATTATTTATTAGACTGAGAAACATTTTTTTGCTGTGTTTCAATCGGGGAGATGTGCGAGTGTGCTGTTTTCATCATAGCTTTAAATCAGGTTTTTTTTTGTTGAAAAAACTGATTAAGATTGTTTTTAGCTCAAGGTCTGTACAGATATTTAAAGTTTACATTCCTGTCTTGGATGTACCTTGTCTTAAAAGATACACATATTTGTGTGGTCTTTCGAGCCGACTTGACAAACAAACTTAAACATTATAAGTACCCACATCTAATTCAACATCATTAAAGAGTCGCCTTTGGTTAAAAAATTACCATGTTTAGTATTTTTTTAAATAGTAATATAATAATATGAAAAAGTCATCTAACATAGCAAAGCGTGACGTCACAAGTTGCTATTTTATTCAAGTGGGTATAATTAGACTCAGGAATATGTTTTGGGTCAGAATAAGTTACCTGTGACAAGAACTGGTTGTACACAACCCCTTCGGTGTACGTGAACCTGTTCCGTTCGGTCTCCCACAGCTTGATCTGGTCCACGACCGTGGGAGGCAGCATCGATGTGGATCGGATGCCACCAGTCTCAGACTTTAACATCTGAAATTCAACAAGAGTTATAAAAATAACGAAGTTCCATACAACTATTCATCCCTTATTTTACCCCCTTAGGGATAAAATTCCCAATAAATCTTTCTTAGTGGATGTTATGTATCCCCAGTGGTTTAGACTCTGTGTTGATGAATCAGTTAGGGCAATTCATTTAATATGTATGGACTAGCTTTTGCCAGCGGCTCCGTTTCCTTGAGTACGGTAGTCTGTTATAGTAACTCCATTTCACAGATCTCACACACGGCCTTCTGACCCCAAACTAGACAGAGCCTGTGCTGTGGTGACCAGACTGATGATAAATGGACCTACGTATGCAAAACGGAATCAACCCTTACACAGAAAAAAACTGTTTTTGTCTGAATTTTGAATACAAAAAAAATTGTGTGCTATTTTGGCAAAACTTTATTTGCAATATTATATAAAATACTTTATTCTACATATATGACTTTAATATTAATGAAAATAATGTAGCATTGTGTAGTAATTCAAGAAAATTCAATGGTTCCTTGGTAGGTCCAAATATATATACTTATATATTTTTAAATACATGCATATTGTAGTTAAATTACACCCAGACACAATAAATTGTCACGCCCATCATACTTTTTTTATCATGAGTGGGAATCGAACCCACGACCTCTGCCTTGGCAGTCAGAATTACTAATAACTAGATCAAGAAGCCAGTCAATATGAGTGAAAATGATCAGCACCTGTGGATGTGAGTGTTGTTCAAGGTAATGTATGATCTGCTGCGCGGTGATGCCTCCGCGTAGCGCCTGGCGAACTGACTCGCGGGTCAGCACCCCCACCACCAAGTTGGGGAACCTGGGAATAATAGTAATAAATATTATCAAGCAAAAGCCCTTGTGGCGACTTCAACATGCAGACACAAAAATAAACTACAGCGCCATCTAACATAGGAACACCGAACTACGGAGTAACTGCTATTCCTGTATCGCGATGTGAGACTTTTGCACGCCGATTAACATTATACAACTGCCCAACATCAACTGTTGTGCCGCCTCGCCTGGTCGGAGGATCTTCCCATTGCGTTGGAGGGACATGGCACCCGTTCCTCCTCGCCCTTACAGGTTATTTACATATGTCCTACTACTTAAAACCTAAGGCATTCTATTCTAACATTAAATAATAAGTATGTTTAAAGTTGAACTAGGTTTTTTGTACATCACCCTAACATCAAACGATTCAACTTCCAAACCTTCAAGAAAAGAGCGTAATCAAACCTCAAAGATTGGCAAAGCGTTCGAGACTCCTCAGTCTCTCCTCGCAGTCATTTCCTCTCAGGTGACCCGTCTGTTCGTTTGTCCTGTATTTATAAAAGAAAACCACCAGGTGTTATCACTTCGCCTGATCCTAGAATACAATCTTGGTATTGTTGGGTCTCACCTGTACATGAGCTCGGTGAAGAGTCCGAGAAGCGCAACCTGCAGGTTGGTCTGTGTGTAAGCGTACACGCGGTAGTTGGTCTCCACCACGATGTAGCCTTGCTGCTGTGGGGCGGCCCCCCCCTCCGTCACTGAAGCGATGTTCAGCGCCAAGCGCGTCGGGTAGAACCGACCTGCCTTACGCTGTTTACACAATATATTAGTATTTTTAGAGCTATTTTTCATATTTTCTTTAGAACTAGAGCTATCTGACTCCAACCCAAATGTTTTTTTAATAGTGACTCGCCAGGCCCGAGAACGGGCAGGCGCTGCCGTAAGCGCAGGCCTGACAAGTGAGGCCATCTGTCACTCTAGCAGAATCAGGCCGGGGTGGTGGCGCGACGCGCTACGGAGCGCGCACGCCCTTCGGGAAGGGAACATCCGGGTTCCCACACAGGAGGGGTCATCTATAAGCCGTAGATGGCCCGAGTTACGTCGGGGTACCAAGGCTTTCCTTTCTAAGGTATATCTGGTTCCCCGGCTACTGGTACCCGGAGACGGCGTGCGGTTTTTGGTCGGTTCGAGTCCGACATAATCCCCCACTGGTGGGTGGTATCCGAGGGGAGTTCCTCTCACAGGAAAAAAAGGCCCTGTTCTAGTGCACTTTCAAACGTCAGGAGTATCTATACAAATAGTAATAAGATATAAAAACGTTAAACCGTCGGGCCCGTTTGGCAACCGAGCCACGAATATCTGTTTCAATCGTTACGGGTACTCGGAGCCCTAAAAAGTCTAACAACAGTCTATCTACAGCTCTAACTTGGGTTGTGAAGGTCTGATGGCAGTCACTCCACATGTAGTGCAATGAAAGCCGATTCCAACCTAATTTGGGGAGACTCGGGAGGATGATGATTAAAAAAAGAAAAGACGTGTGGCACTCGGGGAATGCCGCGGTAAAGCTATTGCATAGCATTTTTTATCAACTTATGCAATTATAATTATTTATTTATTTTATTTATTCAGTATTTTTTTTCCTTTGTTTTTTTCTTTGATATTAATTACATTGCGGGGCGGAGAGGGGGATTACGCATGCAAAGTAACGCCGATACAACCAATGCCACCTAGAGGCGAGTTGCTGAACTAAAGAGACAAGCGTGATATTTCAAAAAGTCATTAAAAGTTCTGCTATTCATCGATAGATAGCAAAACTAAAAAGTATCACGTGGGGTGTGTTAGGTTATTTTCGTTACGGAATTTCTGGATTCGGTCTCCACGCTCAAGACCCGCGATAGAAGCTATAGCAATAGCTTAAAAACACTAGAAGAACAAATAATAATAACTCCACATATCTCACACACGGCCGTCTGATTTCCAACTAGGCAAAGCCTGAACTATGCTAACCACACTGCTGATAAACATATTATACATATTATAGATAAGCACACAAAGATACAAAGATGAGGTGACCCTGATGACCTAGTGACGTTTATATCCTCATTGCAAAGCCTAACATAGACCAGTCTGCCGTCACCATGCAGGCAACTTGAAATTAGAATGCTAGCACCTATAGTAAAACATTTAGAAATTTGGTAGAATACATTTCGCACATTAACATCCTAAACGCTGTAACCTCCTTGTTCTCAAATTAATAGTCAATTTTATTTTACACTAGCTGTGGTACATGGTGGTTAATGAGGAATAAAATTGGCAAGAAAAATAAAATATAAACAATCTTTAAAGAGGTTTTTACATATCAACAGCCTTTAATAATCCACTGCTGGACATAGGCCTCTCCTTACAAAGGAGGTTTTAGCCTACTATACCACGCGGGCAAGATGGGTCGTTATAGGGTTTGTGTCAAGTTTTCCTTCTCTCTGCAGTGCTGTTGTCCTGCGTTGCTCCTTTAGTCGCCTCTTACGACACCCACAAGATGAATTGGGGCGTAACAACACGGACACAGGTTTTTACATTTAAGCTCAATGTAGTAAACTTTTTAAGTTTTTGAAGCATACACAAACCAACTTATCATGATTATAACCTTTATTATATTTTTATATACTTCTTAAAATCTTAGAATATTTAGGAGGAGATTTACCTTCCTCTGATAGACAAGGCCGAACTCTCTCAAGTGTTGCAGGAACACCAACATATTGTTGCTCATGCCTTCGGTGCTGTAGTCCTGAAAAATATATTAAATGTGTAATAATTGTATTAATTTGCATGCAAATTAAATGTTAAACAATCATTTAATCTATACTAATACATAATTATAAAGCTGAACAAGGCCATAGGCTGGTATATCATATCACCCTACCACCAATAGCAGAACATTAATAAAACATGTTGCAAAAAGGGCAAAATTTATTATTTTAGCTCTACGTGTAAATTGATAGAAACAAAACATTTTTTTTTTGACAGAGGGGGCAGACGAGACGGATCATCTTATAGAAAGTGACCATCTCCGCCCATGAACGTCTGCAACTCAGGAGTCACAAAACGCGTTGCCGGTTGACTGCCATGTCATCATCATCTGCCTACCTTTATCCCAATTTTATTTGGGGTACTCAGTATGTACTCATTTCACTGTTTACTCTCTTTCCCAATCACGCAGTCTACACTTGACTGCCATGTCAGAGGTTGTAAATAAAAACAATCTACCTTAAATTAAATTTGTGAAAAAAATATTTTAATAATTGTGGAAACTACGCAAAAAAATATCTTGAAAGAGAAACGTCAAAAAAGAAGAACTATGTATAGGCATTTTAGGATTGTTCACATTTTAGACTATTTTACCTAGCAGGGTTTAAAGGACGACCTAATGGCGTAGTGGTTTGTGTAACGGACTGCTATTCCAAAGGTCGCGGGTGCGATTTCCGCTCAAGTCAAACATTTGTGTGCATGAACATTTAATGTTTGATTTGGTGTGGGTGTTTCTATGTATAATAAGAAAGTATTTACAATAAAAAGTATATAAGTATTTATATCAGTTGTCTAGTACTCATAGTACAAGCTCTGCTTAGTTTGGGACTAGATGGCGTTGTGTGAATGTGGTACAATATTTAAAAATATTATAAAAAAAAGAAGTTGTTTATGAAGAATTTTGATATTTTTTTTGGGTAGAGCACCGTTTGATTCTTCTAACATAGTTACATGCATACCTTGCCGAGTGTACTGAAGCTGAGCTGGTAAAGGAAAGCGAGGCACTCCGCGGCGCTGAGACTCCTCTTTTCCGCCGTGTGCAGGTAGTGCTGGAGGAACAGCCACACCTGGAAACATCACACTTTTTCTATTATGTATCACAAAGCCATAACACACAATCCTTACAGGAAACCCAATGCGATTGTGGGGCTACAAATAATATTAAAGTAATTTGACATTTTACAATAACAGAAATAGAACTGAAAATGAAAAAAAAAGCAAATACTCATACGAGAAATAAACATTTAAATATTATTAGTTCTACACTACTACATTTTTTTTTTAAAGACAACTCCCGCATTAGGAATATATCGAAACGGACACAAATAACACCCAGACTCAGAACAATAATTTGTGGATCACACAAAGTGTCGTCCCATGTGGAGTTTGAACCCACAACACTCGGCGCAGTAGGAAGCGGCGTGGCGACCGCTTAAACCACTACGCCATCCGTGCAGTCACTTATAACCCTCGCGAGTTCACTCGAGTTACACAAGAATGTATCAAATATCAATTCCAGCATATTTATATTAATTGTTTTTCCTGGTGTCCTCATGTCATTAGATCATCAAACAAGCACTGTTAAAGTCGTTTTTTTTATATTTAATCTACATAAAAAAACATATTTACCTGTTTAGCAGTACTTAGAAGTAGGAACTGGAACCCTGCACGTGTTATTACTGCAGACCCGTCTTCGGCATCTCTGAAATAATGAGACGAAGAATATTTTATGTACTTAAAATGTTGTCTAAAATCTCAGTGTTAGATAGCCATCTATACAAATAAATAAAATTGGAGTGTCTGTTTGTAATATTAAAATAACCGCTTTTTACTAAATGCATGTGTATGTTTACACGGTACATATGCCAAAATAACATTATTTACAATTTTTGTCTGTCTGTCTGTCTGTTTGTTCCGGGTAATCTCTGGAAGGGCCGGACCGATTTCGACGGGACTTTCACTGGCAGATAGCTGATGACAAAAGGAGTAACTTAGGCTACTTTTTTTAGACTAGCTTCGCCCCGCGGCGTTGCCCGCGGTTATAACAGCAAACGCGGCTAGTTATGTAATAATAATAATAATAAACTGACACATCTCACACACGGCTGTCTCTATCCTAAAACAGGCAGAGCCTCATAAACATCTATACAAATAAATAAAATTGAAGTGTCTGTTTGTAATGTCAAAATAATAGTTTTTTCATGCTCACACGGTTATTTGCACGATACCTATGCCGAAAAACCAGTTTAAATATTTTTTGTCTGTCTGTTTGTTCCGGGTAATCTTCAAAACGGCTCGACCGATTTTGATAATATTTTACTACCAAGTAGCTGTCTATATAAGGCGTAACTTAGGCTATTTTTCTCTCACCAAAACCCTATAAAATTTTGCCTGGTTAGGGAATCGAACTTCCTAAGGCAGTGATTTTCAAATTCCACGCGAACGAAATCGCGGGCACCAGCTAGTACCAGCTTTACATACTGGCTTTTGCCCGTGGCTCCGCCCCCGTGTATGTAGATTATCGCGGTATATAGTAGTCTAGGTCTTTCCTCTTAAGAATCAAAGTTAAAACCGCTAGGCTTAGCCGTAAAAGCGTAAAAGATAGACAGATATAGTTACTGTCGCAATGTCGATTATAGATAAATTACACCCAGACAGAACAGATGATCATGCTCATCACAGAAGTACTAGTCCTGGGCGGGGAATGAACCCAGGACCTTTGGCTTAGCAGTCAGGGTCACTCACCACTGGACCAACTAACTAGCTAGCCGATGTGGGTTTTTATTCTTTGGTTAATTCTCATTAACCATGATATCAGTATCCTCATGAGATGTTTATAATAGTGAAAATTATCAGACCTGGTCATAAGTCCAGCATGTAGCAGTATGCGGACAGCATCGGCGCTGATGCCCTCGGTCTGAGCGCTGCCCACCATGTAGTGCAGGACGCACTCCCAGCGCTCCAGCGCGTACGCGTCCAGGAAAGCCACGTCGCGAGCCTTGCCGTCCGGCTCTAATGAGGACGACATGCTCCAAGGGCGCCCCCTGTACATAAAAAGATTTTCAAAAATTGTATAATAAAAATATTAAGGATTTTTTTTTGTTACATTACACTAAATTTAAAAAAAAAAAAACTAGAATCAGGATTGACAAAGGCTTTCATACCGTTGTATTTTAAGCCCGCATTCATGAAAAAAAATACTGATTCAAGTTATTTGCACTGGTTTAAAAGATAATCTAGGTTAAATACAGAAAATGATTGGTTGAATAATTAGTTTATTTGTAAAAATAATAAACTCACATTCACTCTGTTAATGTTGGTTAGAACGTTTTTTTTTTTTTTTTTGAAAAAAGACAACTCCCGCATTAAGAATATATCCTGTGTCGCGGGGGACTTTACAAACATACATGAAACGGACACAAAGAACACCCAGACTCAGAACAACAATTTGTGGATCACACAAAGTGTCGTCCCATGTGGGGTTTGAACCCACAACACTCGGCGTAGTAGTAAACGGCGTGGCGACCGCTTAAACCACTACGCCATCCGTGCAGTCATATAATATTGGCACGTTTATACAAGGATCACTGGTTTATTCCCTGTGTGTAAAATGTAATATAGAAAAAACTTCTCACCCTCCAAGTAGTGCCACTTTTAAGTTCTTCTTGAACGACTGTGCGAGCATCCAGCCAGGCATACCACCAGGGATCGGGGCCTCCTGCCATACTGACAGCTCTGACAATGCCTCACAGGCCTTAGCTTGTTCTCTGATAACAAAGGAGGAGACCATTATTTATTTCTTTATTTACATGACCTTTAAAGCTTCAAGAAAAGAGTACTCCTTCCTAAAAGGCCGGCAACGCGTTTGTGACTGCTGAGTTGCAGACGTTCATGGGCGGCGCTGGCGATAGTCACTTTCCATCAGGTGACCCGTCTGCTCGTCTGCCCACTCTAACATAAAAATAGTAATATATAACCACAGTTTTGAAATAATGTCTTAAAATGAGATAGACAATTGAACTTGACAGGTCAAAAAGTCAAGTCTAGTTAATTGTATTGAGAGCGGCAATTTTGTTCTGCATTTTAATGCATATCTAACGTATTTATTTGGATATGGAATTAGAATAGAATAGAATAGAATAATCTTTATTGTACACCAATTCAGGATATTATACATACAATAGTATTCAAGGTTAATGACCATGTACAAATGGCGGCCTTATCGCTAAAAAGCAATATCTTACAGGCAACCTTTGGATGGACAAATAGACTGTAAATAGGTAATTTCATGGGCAGATTTGGTGAGAAAAAGTGTAAAGGAAACTAAAAACGAAAAGAATAATATTTATACAGCACAACAGCATTCCTTTGACAATTACAAAACAAAGTAGTGTCAATTGTATACAGCAGTCAGTCCCAGCAATACCTACTTATATAAATACAAGTAAATACTAACTATAAGGATTGTATAATACATAAACAAATAAATAAACTCTACCATTCATTTGCAGAGGAATACAGCAGATAGGATATTATACTGCATTGTTTAAAATAGCTTCGTAAATTACCCATTAGTTTTTGTAAAAGATAAAAATGGTTACTGTGGGGTCTCCGTAGGAGATATACATTTATAGATAGTTCAACTCAGTTGTGCGCGCGGCCCTATGTGTGCGTGGGCTTGTAAATATACAACTTTCATTCGTGTGGCAGTGACGCGGCAGTCGTCGTCCGAGCAAGACGAATACCACACGAATGAAAGTTGTATATTTACAAGCCCATGCACACATAGGGCCGCACGCACAACTGAGTTGAACTATCTATACCATTGCAGACATTTTTGTAGATCTTTTGAGAATATACAATTTCATAGTACATTATTTTCATCTATATTCAAATATTTGGAATTCACAGATTTCCTCTCCTATAATATGCATGTATTGTACATATAAACCTTCCTTTTGAATAACTCTGTCTATTGGTGGATGAAATAAAGGTCATAGCTGGAGGTGGATGGACAACAGTTGCTAGAGATAGAGGAAAATGGAAACAGTTGGAGGAGGCCTTTGCCCATAAAGGCACACACACAGGTGTCAAATAGAATAATGTTTTAATAAATCTTTTTGTAAATGTTTTGTATAAGATGTCTGAATAAAGGCTATTATTATTATTATTGGTGAAAACCACATTAAAATCTGTTGAATAATTTGAAAGGTAAGTGTACAAGAAAAAAGGCGACTTGATTTTATACTTTGTACAGAAGTGTGGATGTATGGATAGTGATGAGTACCCTCACATCCTTATGTTGAGTAGTCTCAACTGTATCAAACATTCACATTTTGTTTAGTTGCACTTATGTAAGAGCCAATTAAGCCAAGCCTATTAAGTTCATCACAAAATATTTGTCTTGGGTGGGATTTGAACCCATGACCTCTGGTTTAACAATCAGAATAGCTAACCATTAGACCAACAGGCTCGCCAATCCAAAGGTATTTCCCTCAAAATAAATATAATTATGGTTATTTATAGTTTATATATATAATATTTAGTAGAAAGTTCACTAAATATTATTCATATTTAAAAAAAAAAATAGCCATAAAACATAATAGATACAATATAAGCACATACTTGGCAAAAGTTTGAGATACCCAAGAGGTGACAACAGCCTGTGGCACTGGCTGCTCCACGAACAACAACCTGATAACGAAGTGACGCGCCAATTCGGGTAGTTCCCTGAAAAATTGTAAATATTATGATTTCCAAATTTGGTCTTGTACTTAACCTCAAATTTTATATTTCAAAAACATTATAGTAATTAACATTCTCTTCAGTGTTAAAAGATATTACATAGGTTCTCGTACCGATATACCGCTAAACATATTGTAGGATAGTTGTACAGAGTCTCCAAGAATTGCGCCGATCGACTTTTCAGATATTCATGAAGATCTTTGCATTGCAATGTGGGCGAAGGGTTCAAATTTAATGAAGATTTGGATTTAGAAGACTCTGACATTGTGTTTTGTTATTAAGCTAGCTTCTTAGAGGTATTAACATTCAAAAGGTGGATACTGCCTTTAAAAATAACAAACAAAAACAGTAGTTTGTAACAATCTCGGCTGATGATTTGATAGTTAGGTCACATTTGACAGCCTTGACAGTGGATGACACTGACAACTATTTGACATCAGATCAGAAACAATTACATTTGTTTTAAAATTATATCTTGAACAAAGCCTTTTAGTCAAAATCCGAAACTGAGGTGAACACTAAATGAATCACATTCCAATTAGAAACAATCTTGTAAAAAATAAAAGATTTGTTTTATCAAGAGTCTGCGAGTGAACAGCTACAGATTCCTGATAACCCTTTAACATTTTCAAACGATTTCCTGTATAAAAACAAATAAAGAGTAAGTAGTAGTAGAATAAACAACTGTTACTGGATGAGTAGTTAAATAAAGTAAGTATAAGCAGGTATATCAAGATTCTACAATCTTAATTATGCTATAAAATTATATTGAAAAGGAAAATTTGATTAGGATCATAAAAGATAAGCATAGAGTGAACATGAGCCCTAATCTTGCAATATAGGCTACGAGAGAGATGAATAATAGATAGATGTAGACATGGGACAAAATCACAGTGTATACATAGGTTAGGGTTGTTAGGTAGGTAGGTTAGACGCCATTTATCAGTAAATCTAGTAACTTTTTAATTATTAAGTAGAGAATGGTGGCTATGTATAATTAAATATTTACTAGATTTACTGTTGAATAGGCGAAATAGGGACTTTATGTATCGTCTGAAAGCGTCTGCGGCTTATTGGCCACAACGCGTGAGTAAGTAGTAACCCTAACTTACGTACGAAAAAATCGAATGATAAATCACCTATCTTTCACAGTTCACTGTGGTTTTGTCCCATGCCTGAAGACGAGCAGAGTCTCAGGAGTCACAATTAGGAAGGAGTACCCTCTTTTCTTTAAGGTAGTATTGGTCCGGAAATACCGCAGGTGATAACTTGTACCACAGATTGGTTGTGTGAGGCAAAAAGTGCCCTAAAAAGAGCACATCTAGACTAAATAAATTACCGGTCTTTTACAGTTCACTGTGATTTTGTAGAATGCCTAGATAGATGCCTCTATTTCTTTCTTACAAAAGTAAATCACAACAACAAAGTTAACACGACAAAGTTAATCATCGGGCGTTCATCTCTCTCATTGCCTGTATCGCTTCCAGTCACAGGCAGCTGCACCCCATGTTCTCTCTATGCTTATTTCTCTATTATTTGGAAACTTAGAAATTTTAAAATATCTGTGGTAACGTTCCAATACACGCATTTTGTTTATAATTTCATTTAACATTGACGTAGCGTATGATGCATTTCTTGACACATGACATTTCGTTATCAAATTTTTGTATCTTACCTAACCCTTAACTGCTTCTAGGTATTTAGAATAACGAACATGTTCAACAGTTTTATTTTTAAATACTATTTTTATTAAATGTTACGTTTCAGTTATAACTGAGGGGAAGTCGTAAACATTTATGTGTAACTAACTTCTAATATTTATTTTTTAAGTCAAATTAAGATAATTAATTAATTAAGATAAAAATACTGTCCAGTTTATCTATTATGTCTAATAATTTTTAAAACCATTGCCCCCCAAAAGGTGCGCGCAGCACGGCACCGGTTATTGTGGAGAGCCTTGGGGAAGGCCAATGTCCAGCTGCTAACGTCTTTCGGCTGAATTGATGATGAGTAATATTCGCAACTAACGAATTAACGAAACTATTCAACAGAGAACCGACATCGCATGGAGAATGTATCAGTATGCTGAACTGGAAGTGGGCCGCTCATGTTTTCAGACGGTCTGATAGTCGCTGGAGCCGACATGTGCTAGAGCGGAGACCGCGATAAAACAAACGTAGGCACGACGGACAGACGACTTGAGAAAATTGCTGGCAGCGAAAAAAAGGGATACGGACTGCCCAACACCGGAAAAGTTTTCGCTGCTACAACATAATTAATATAAGCTAATAAGAATAACGAAACATACTGTTATTATGGTTATATCTTGTTAGAATATTTTACTTATTAGAAACAAAAAATCTATAGATCCTAAAAAATATGAAATAAATAAATATAAAGGTGTATTTCTGTTTCCGTTTTATTACTTACATTCCACTTTTAAAATAATTAGAATTATCTAAATTGCTCTCATTCTCATAAGATAATATTTTTTTAGAACTAATTATTTATATTTTGTGTAGAAAGTAGGTACCTATATAATTTAATTTTTTGTCTTTGAAATCTACGTGACATAGTACATCTACAGACATCTACGTTTAAGTGTGAACATCAGCAGAGGATTGTAGAAATAGAACAGAGCTTGAGATAGTAAAACGCGTCAGTGTGAAACCAGCTTGTAGTTTTGGCTCTACTCCAAATGAGATAGCTACTTATAAAGTTACTTGCTACTGACTTATACTTAGGCTATCACATCAACAGCCTTTAATTGTCCACTGCTGAACATAGGCCTCTCCTAACAAAGGAGGTTTGGCCTACTAAACCAGGGTTTGTATCCCGTTTTCCTTTTCTTTGCAGTGATGTTGTCCTGAGTAGTTTGCTCTCTTAGTCGACTCTTATGACACACACGGAATGAATAGGGGCGGTGATACTTCGTATTTTTAATCCGTCACCTCACAGAGCTTACTTACTAGCTGCACAGAGGTTATACTTAAGTGAAGCGTTTAGTACGCTTCACTTAAGTATAAGTATATTTTAAGTTTAAGTTAAGTATAAGTAAGTATATGCATTGCTTTCACAAGAGGAGTGTACGAACAGAGAAAATATTGAGCCCCATACACGTTCTCTAAAAACACGTGCTAGTAATAAAATAGGGCTTTACGATGTTATATCAAAAAAAAAAGTGAAATAGGTACCTACTCTGATGTGCCAGAATCCCTTGATAGTAAGCAACATATCAGTTCATCTTGTCTTCAAAAGATTCATCTCGCAAAATACTGCGCCCCTAATAAGTTCTTTTCCGACTGAAAGTCTTACGTAACTTATTCGTTTTGTGGTTGTACATACCCTTAACTCATTACGGTAATAGTTAGAAACAGTGTCACACTAGTAAATCATATTATAGATGAAGGTATTAATTAATTGCATCCATATTATTACGTTTAAATTCGATTGAAAACACCAATATTAAAGTTACGAAACTTCTGTGATATGAGTTTAAGATATAAGTACCTTGTCCTGTTTCATTTCTTAAACTTTGTTCTCCCACAGCACCGCATATTACTCTCAAATAAATATAGTAAGGTATTCATTAGCAAACTATTCTTAATCATTTTACATACTAAATCCTAAACGATCCGATCCTATATATATAAATACTACGATCATTGTTTTTTAAGTTGGAAAAGAATAAAAGGGGAAAAATATATCATGTAATTTATGTCGACATAACTGAAAACAAAACGTTGATACGAAAATTATTATAAATAGGTAATTCTGTTGAGTTCTTAATCATACGTCTTGTATTGCTTAGTTGCATAATTTGTTAAGTTATACACTGTACTTATAAGTACCTAAGTAACCAAATATTCTATTCCGTCTAGTGTGTAAGCAATAAGCAACATGTGAGGGTTGTAAGGCAATAACATAGAGGTACTGAAGAAGTGAAGAGCCGAGAGCGCCTTCTATTTATACAGGTAGACGTGTAACTAAGTAAGTTACTTGTAAACACAACAACATGCCTACCATACCTACATACAGACATAACTTGTGAAAAGTTTTGTAAGAATTCAATTCAATCTTGACAAATACACATACTTAATAAATATGTGTTCATATCCAAGGATCCACAAATAATGGTTCCATGACGTTTGGAATCGCTGAGAAAAAGAAATACCTTATTCATAATCCCATACAAAGAAAAAAAAGGTTTACTTACTCACACAGCCACACGGGTGACGCATACGAGTATAATTTCCCCGTGCACACACACACAGCGCGCTGCCGCACACACGCGCTCTCGTAGACCGAGTTCCCCGCATTTCATTCTCGTCGGCAGATGGCGGATGCAGTGGACGCCCTCCGTCAGTCGCGCATAGACAACTCACCGAGCGTAGTGTGCTTGCGGTTCTCTCAGCACCATTTTGTGTATATCTTTTCGAACGGGACATTGTGTGTATGTGCTCCGTGAATAATTGTAAACCATAACTATAAGAGTTTTGAACAGTGTTCAGTGTTTCACTTTCGACATGCCCATCGAGGGATCGATGCGATATCTCGGGCGCCCGTAGAAACCGCGCCTCCGTCATGAGCGAGTGATCGTCGACGTAAAAAAAGTTAACACAGGAAACATGTCTGGGCGGACCGCCGACGCGGATGCGAGCGAAGGGTTCCAGTTCGAAATTCGAATGCGGTCATGTCATCGCCTCTCGGATTTCTCATAAGTCACCGTCCAATGTCAAAATCGTGCACGTACCGCGAGCGCCGACCCTCCGGATCGTGCGGAAAATGCAATCGTTGGTAGTTTGGTGGGCGGTGGTGTCAGCCGCCTGGGCGCTGGCGGGCGCGTGCTCAAGCTCCATCTCCAAGCGGCCGGCCAGGCCAGCGCGCCCGCAGCGCCCGCATCCCCAGCCGCAGCCGCAGTCGCGGATTAACGTTACCTTCCCCACGTTCAAGTGCGAGCCAGCCTACTCGGAGTACTACTGCCTCAATGGGGGCACGTGCTTTACCGTGGTGATCTCGGACAGTCCAATCTACAACTGCGAGTGTCGGAGCGGGTTCGTGGGCCAGCGCTGTGAGTTCAAGGACCTGGACGACTCGTATGTGTTTTCGAGTCGGCACCTCATGATGGAGACGGCGTCGATCGCCGGTGGTGCGACGGTGGCCGTGTTCCTCGCCATTCTAGTCTGCTTCGGCGCGTGGGTGCGCCTGCACCGGCGCGGCAAGACGCCGCCCTTCTCGGAGGAGCGCGGCCAGGTGCAGCTGGTGGCCGTGGCGGCTCCCAGCGGTCGCGTGGCGCTGTGCAAGGCGCCGAGCCAGCCCGCCGTGCTCCACTAGCCTCTCTGTGGACATTCGCCGGACAATGAGTCCCTTGTTTATATTGTATGTCGTGTACATATTATAGATAGATTATGTGTTAAGTTATGTGGAGAGAACGGAAGATATAAGGAGAAATTTATGTGATAATTATTTTACGAAGTTTATAATTTATTCGGAAGTAATTTTTTTGTACATACCTCTCGGATCTGTTCCGTGGTGGGTTCCACTTCGAAACATTGAAAATTTCCAGTCTCCTACCCCAGTGTTCGTTTTGTGGATTGTAACCTGTACTATTCTGTTCACAATGAGTGTGTATCGGATGTGTGAGATCGAACAACGACCATGTACCTAAATGCTACTCGCTTCAAGTAGAGCTGTTATATGTTATATTGTTGTTTGCACTGTATCAGATGATACAAAAGGCTGAGCTGCTGTCCCACACTGAAGACATCAGTTCCTCGTCTGACTCTTTTGGTGAACAAAACAGTACAAACAGGAGTTGGTCTGTTCAGTGCGGGGAGATGGTGTGTGCCCAGCCCTAGCTGTGGCACACACTGTATGTTATGTTTGTTAAGGTAGCGGAGACTCTTATGGAGCTACAAACGCTATACTTAGATAATTGTGAATCAATGTTAATTGTATTTATTAATATTCCATTCTATACAAATAGAATTTGTGATGAATTTATTGTATGCTTGTGCAGGCAGCGAGTAGCGCAGTTTGGTTCCTATTGCTGTTCTGGGCCGAGTGCCCGCACATTCCATCTCGCGGATAGAGTATTTTACTGGTGTCAGTATTATTTTGTAATACAAGTCTTAAGCCGGCAGCTTTATTTTGTAATTTATACCTGTTATCCCACTGGGATAGTGCTGTATTATATTTGTTTAAAGGCTGAGTATGTGCCGTCGATGAGGAAGGCTTTTTTTGTAAATATAGCCCGTGTAGGTATTTATTAGATATTTATGATCGTTTATTTATTGACTGCTTTATTTAGTTAATCTCGATGATCAGTGCATCCACGGCGCCTAACTGAGCGGTTAACGGTTGTATTTTCATTTCACCCTGCTAAGCATGGCCTCGCGTAATGTATATTCAATTGTAATCTCATTATGAATCTCCTTTAGCATTGTTTTGTAAAAATTGAAACTACATTGGATGGTGTGTAAAATATCGTGCCTCGACAGTGTATACCGTCTTGTAACTTTGTTCTATGATTTGCTGCATATTTTATTTGATTGTAAAATTCATAACCATTATTATTCATCATTCATAAACGTTTAAATGTACTCTGAATTAATGTTTACTTATAAATATTGTTTCTGTGCTGTAGAACATTTGTGTATTCAAATTGTAACAATGTCAATCTGTAATGCAGCAATTTAGGTATGTAAGTCTGTGTAATGCTCTCTAAATGTAAACATTGTTGTCTATTCTTGTAATTACTACACTATTAATAGAGATAACTGCTATAAAAACCTGCATGTAAAGTGAAAAAAATAATCATAGGCTCCAAAAATATTGAGTGAGTGTCTTAAACCTAAAAAAAAAAGTTCTGGTTTAAAAATTTTGTCATAAAACTTTAATCTAGTACATGCTTATAAAATATAAGTTAATCTCTATTGATGTGTACACTGTGAGGCACACAAAAAAATAGCAAAGATAAATAGGCTGTGAGAGGGCAGTGAGGAGTGGTGGGGGGCAGACGGGTGTTTTACCCTAGACACAGAACCATTACCAATGGCAATTTCATGTTTGACGAATATTTTTTTGCCGTCTGCCCACCACCACGTTTTGCAACAAAATCTAAAAATGTGACCGCTAATGCGGGGAATTGTGGAGTGAAATGTCGAGTTCCATGTACATTAATTCATATGAGATACTTTATATGAACATTCCAAAGTATATGTAAAATATTACCTACAACACTAATAATTTCGAAGTATCTGTTAAGACGCTACTTGTTAATTATACAATTTTCTATTGATCATTTGTTAAAGAAAATTATATGAAACTAAATCCTTTTTTTATCTTTTATTTTACAACCATTGTAATATAAGATTGTGAGGCTTTGATTTAAGGAGATTTAGTCTGTATTTCGAATAACATGCGGTGCCTTTTGCTAATTGTTGTTATCTTGAACTAGTTTCCATCAACGGTGTCGGTGTCGGCATTCTCGTGTCCGAGTACAGGTCTAGTGAGTATGCACTCGTTATTAGATAACTATTCATTAGTTGTGCAACTATCGAAATGATCCAGTGAGGCAAGATAAATGCGTCACGCGACGCCCCCGTGAAAAACCACTTTACGCACACTTGTGCAATAATTACACCTGTCTGCGTACGAATCAATTCGAAAATAATAGATATCTGCTGTGTTAAATTGAATAATGACTCGGATTTTCGTTATGTGTATTGTTGCACGATACAGAAAATATCACGGGACAGTCTGAAATGTTGCCGCTGTTTCATCACGTCTCGAAATTCGTAAAGAAAACGTACGTGATCCGATCTGTACGCCATAAAAGACCTTTAGAGGTATAAAGGCGCAGTATGACGGCACTCCATTGAGCGTGTCTGGGAGCATAATTTTTATGAATACCCGAGCGGACCGGTCCGCCACCGACGTCGCATGCATAGAGTTCATTGAATGAGTGCCCGTGCGTTTGTTGACATTCCCCGAAAACCTGCCCCGCCCGGAATAGCTGTGTATCACAGGCTCCCGATGGATGGACAACGACCCAAAATAGACGCCGCGCCGAAGTAGATTAAATGCCGTTTTTGGTTTCAATGCGTACAGAGCTTACGTTTTTTTTTGTGCAGGAAGTGGATGGATTACGAATACCTAGCTGCCAAAGTGTGTCATATTTTTACACCCCTTTGGTGTTTTCGTCACAATTTTTAATGTTATGATTGATTCCATAATCATTTCCTCAAAGATTGTATTCGGAACTACGTGAACTTAACTCCGAATGAAGATTTTTTTTAAATTTCCCTGTCATTAATTTAATTAAAGTTGAATCTAATTGAAGTGAAGGATAAACTTTATATCTAATGCGTTTTCAGAAAGTATACAACAATATCATAGTTAAAATAAGTAAAATAACTAATTACGCTTATATTTATCAACTAACTGGGTTTCTAAGACGACGTCTTAGAAAGCTCTGTGATGTTTAATATGAGAGATTTCGGGCGCAGCATTTGTGAGAATTTAGTATTCTATATACTCATTACATTATATTTGCCGTAAATTAAAGCTTTAATGGCAATTATTAATTTCCAAAATAGTTTTTGCTCTGATTTTTGGTTTGTGTTTGGCAGTGAGGCATACTAAACGTGCCCGGTTACTCGTGCCGGTAATCAGTATTGTTATAATAATGGCGACGCAACAATAGAGTTGGATCTCAGAAGCGTTCGTAACTTGATAAGTTGAACTCGTGCTGCAGCTAGTTAGTCGGTAACGTCGAAATAAAACGAAAGTAGATACAAAACAACAATTATACAAAGCTAGACAGCGGACGTCAGCAAAACACTGTGAATGAAAACATCAAGCCAAGGCAAAGCGAGACAATCGCGTCGAGCACTTCTACTAGCCTCTGTGCGCTTTACCCAGTGGCAGTTGAGCCGCGGCTGCTGTGTGTGTTCGTCCAGCAGGGGTTCTGGTCGCTGGTCATGCTTATAGACGGTGCGTCGCTCGGCCCACGCTCGGTTCGTTTATGGCCGTCGGCCGGTGGCCATTGCGTCCAATTATCGTGCCTACGTGTTACGGCCCACTTGTCATTACCTTGCCTCGCGAAAATCTTCCTGCGACATGTATGGAGCCGCCTGTGCCGGTTCACAGAGTGCTTCCTCTCCATGAAGTGACACGATTTCGTCAGAAGATCAGTTTAGCATATCAGATCACTGTGTTGTAATGTCCAGAAATCGGAAAACTGTCGTATTAGGTATATTTAAAAAATGGAAATTATGTAAAGTCAGCCAATTATCATTACGATATTATACGATGAATGGGAACCACAGTCTTGACAAAACATTTTTTTTATATAGCACTTTTTAAGAGCTAAGCTTCATAAGGAATTTTCATCCAAAGATAAGTCATCATGTAGTGGCATTTGATGTAATTTTAGCCTTTTTCTACTAGTTTTTAAAAATCTTTTGAGCAATAACACATATCGTGTAGAATGTTTACCTTTCTGCATTTTTACGTAAATACGCACAAATATTTTTAAAATATTCTGCATTTCAGATTAAAAAGGGATACAGATACTCTAATATATGCGCAAGAAAGCCAGAGATTTATGAGATTATCTGATCTCAACTGTATGTTTGGTGCCACGTAAGAGGCAAGATACATTACTAAGCTTCTTTTCAAACACTATTTATGGGAGTGCTATTAAGAAAAACCGACAGAGTATATAGCAAAATTTATAAAGGAAACTGCGACGCTCTCAAATATTTTTCTAATTTCTAGTATTCTCTTTGGAAATTTTAAATGGAATAGGACTACCCTCGACATAAAATCTATCTAATATAATAAAAAAAATATACAAAGACATAAAATAAAAATTAAGTTATAAAAACATCTTTAATTACTTTAAACCTTGCGTTTTTGTATCCGATGATCGACTTCTATTAAACGGACTGAATGCAGTTCGCTACTTAGGTTTGATATAAAAAAGATTTTTTTCATAAAGAAGTAGGTAGGTACAAATTTATATAAACATAAAGCTGACCTATTATAGTTTAAAAGTTATTAAATCTGCATCCTTTGTGCGTTATTACTGATAATATATACACATTTGGAATATATAAAAAAACATAAATTTATATCAGATGTTCTATAAAGGCTTATGTCCAGCAGTGGACTATTAAAGGCTGATAATGATGAATATAAGTATATGGTCCGTGTGGTGACGGATTAAGAATACAGAGTGTGGTGACAAAGGGATGGTGACCCCTATTCATCCCCTGGCTGTCGTAAGAGGCGACTAAGGGAGCAAACCACGCAGGACAACAGCACTG